AATAAACATCAACACTTTCACATCACTAAAAGATAATACAAAAAATAAAAACCTATGTGAACTATAGTATAAACACAAACAAAAGTCTACCCCAGAAATAAACTATGCTTCAAATGTCACACCTGAAATCAGTGTCTCCCAAGACCCAGCCATGTTGGAACTTGGGGAGCCGAGCAAGAAAGCAAGGAGCCCTGCTTCCTGGTAAGCCACTTTGCCGGCGAGCAGTGGGCGCGCAAGGGTGAGAACAAGTCAGTGTCTCCTGTGAACCTGCCAGCACAAGGGGTGAGAATCAAATGTCCTCTCCCTCCCTCCACACTCCCCGCCTTCCCTCCTTAGCAACTGGATGGTGTTGAGCACAGCCTGAGTTGATAGCAACTAAGGCACATAAAGCAAGTGAATGTTTGTATTATTTGGTTGATTATGCTGCCCTGGGGCCAGAGGTCTGAGCATCTCTTGGGAGGATGACAGCATGCAATATAGCAAATATGGAGATTTCCTCTATCTTCTCTTTGAAGGCCAATATTGTTTTCACTGTTTTGCTTTGTTCTGATTAATTGCCTTGCTCTATTCAATATTCTGTTTTGATAAGTTTTATAACATTCTGTTTTAGGTTTGATTCTACTACCTGATTGAATGAACAACTGTTGTGAAGATAATGAGATATACTATGGTACCTATTACTGTTATCCCAGTATCCTGCTCTTAAGTTCTGTACCAGTTCCACTGTGGTGTCTCGATTGGCTTTGTTCTGTCTTGTTCTGTTGTATTTTTCTACCTTCAAAAAACAAAAGTCACATCCAAGGCAATCTTCCCACATGATAACTGTATGTTCCATACACAAGAATTACTCGCACTGTTAGTATGCATGTTTTGTTTCCCTGTACTTTCTTGTAGGGTACAGTTGACAGTTGTCTCTGTTTTTACGTTGTTGTACTAGCGTTTTGTGATGCTGTGCCTGCCTGTTCACCAGTCAGCTCTCCAGTATGCTCCACAATTTTTTTGTGCAGTTCCCCTGTCAGAAATGTTTTACTGCAAATGGTATCTGATGAGTTCCAGTCCCAATCCTCTAAGAAAACTTCTCTGTGATATTTTGTATTTGTTATTTTCTATGTACACTATCAAGCTATTTATGTCACACATGTTCAGGATCGAGTAAAACACAGTAAGTGGCCAATGTTGTGTGTTTTAAGTGACACAATGGTTGCTGCATCACTCAGTGACAACATCTACTCCACATTCAGTTGGAAGCTTCCATCTCGAGCTTTTGTTTTGTCAAGGTTTCCTATCAATATTTCCATCATGGTAAAACATTGCAATCAGCAGTACCACTTTGCTTTTCTTTGCCATATATGAAGCCAATGTTGTATCTTGCTGAAATTCAAAGATTGTACTATCCAATTCTCTGTTTTAAAATTGCAACATTTCACTTGGCATTTCTGTTATGTTCCTGTGTACAGTTCGTATACTGGTCAATTTATGCTCTTTTAGCAAATGTAACATCAATTGGAAGCCAGTAAACCAATAGTTGAATGTTACATTCTGATTGGTTTGGGAGATGAGAGCAGCAAATCTGTTCACAACATCATTTGGTTTATTACTATATAAATAAGGAACAGATGGCTGAGTTCCAGAAAAAATGTCTAAAGTGAAAGGATATTAAGTCTTTGCATCTACAAGGACATAAATTTTTATGCTGTATTTTGACCCATCACTTTTCCATAAGTCTTTTACATTCCTGAGATCATCATGAGAAATCTTTGCTATGTGCAGGAGGCCTATAAACGCTTCCAGTTCAGCTAGTGAGTTGTCATAATCAATATATTTTTAGTATGGATATTGGTGTATACAGAGTGTTTTACTTGTGTTTCAGCCTTTGTGTACTTCACAGCATCCTGTAGCATTTTGTCTGTTACAGCATTGTTCCAACACTGACAGTGCTGGCATTCTATCCAATATGTTTCATTCCTGATCCTATATTTTTGGACCTAGTTCTAACACTGGATTCTTCCATTTGGTTGCATGGCCATTTTGCAACATTTCAACTAGTCAAATATGTGCTCCTATTCTCCTATTGCTTCTAAATCAAAAAGGTCTGCATTGCCTGTGTCTGTACTAGCTGATTCTTGCTCTGAAATATTTCACTGTCACAGGAACTCACATGGCTCACATGACCAATGTCACAGTCATCATCATGGTCATTGTCATCATCATTATCATACACCCACATCACTCTTCTGTTAGGAAAGCATGTATTTTACTATAATAGCTCATCTTCGTCATCCATGCATGAGTAATCTGATGATTAACTTTTTACCTCCTTCAAAACTTGCAAATCTGATTTTTCATGTGCCATTGTACTGAACTGGGCTGCTTCTACCAGATGCATCAAAAAAGAGCTTTTTTTGAAAGTGAATCTTGGACCCTCTGTGATAGTCAGGTAAACACACACAGAATCAGTTAGCTAGAGCATGAAAGTGGATCCCAAATCCACTTCTGACACTTTTGCACATGTACACTCTCCTTGATATTCATCATACCAAGTGAGTAAACATATAGAGTGCTTCTAGTTTGCCTTAGTGAAAGGTACTGAGGTACACAGTCAGATACTATAGTACAAATTTACAGTAGATAAGAGATGGGCCTGCTTGACCCAGGCTTTTGCTTCAAGGGTCTTTGCATATAAGTCTTTGCCTCAGGTTCTGTTTTCAAGCTAATGCCTGTGCTGTCTGAACCACTCCATAAGGCCAGAAGAAACTCTAGTGCTCATTGATTTGTATTTAAGTGGCCTGACATAATCCTGTGTCAAGGACACACAGGAGTAGCTATACAGAACAGGAGAATGATGGTACGGACCATCCACTGTGTCTGAGTCCATTTTCTATTGCTGTAATAGAATACCTAAGGCAGTGATTTATGATGATTGGAAATATATTTGGCTCCCAGTCCTGGAGACTGGAGACTGGAGACTGGAGAGTCCAAAAGCATGACATCAGCATCTGACAAGGGCCTTCTTGCTATGTCATCCCATGGTAGAAGGCAGAAAGAGCAGGAGGGAGACAGCCTCACTTTGTAACAACTCACCCTCTCAGTGGGCACAGTCATCCAGTCCTCACCCCTTACTAGGCTCCTGTCCCAGCAATTGCACTGGGGACAAAGTTTCCAACACATGAACTTTAGGGGACACATTCAAACCATGGCATCTGTCCAACAGATGACACCTGGGTCTGTCTTGCCCTGGCCATAAGTATTAGCTTCTAGTCTCTTAAATGATCCCATTTCTAGTTCTATTGGGTTATTTCTCCCTTCAACTTCTGATATCCAATGAAACAGAAGTGATGGCATGGGTCAAATTAAATGTCTTTCCCTTCAGTAACCCTCGGTGTCACAACTGTGGCTGAGAAGTTGATGCAGCTGTAACCTATAAGTACGGCCTCCAACAGGGAAGAAATGCAAAGTACCCCTTTCCTTCAGTTAAAGCGGCCATGATTGCTCAGTCCAATAGACTGGGGTAAGCTTAGTCTCAGTGGTTTTGGGGACTTCTATCCCACTCCCAGGAAGGCTTGAGAAGTCTGGTGCTGAGTGAGCCATCTAGAGTTGTCTCCATTTGCTCAGGCTGGTAGCAGCCCTGCTGCCCCCTCACATTCCTCATGGAAGTGGCTGAGTCTGGAGTCTCTGCTCCATGTTCCCTCCCTGCCTTGTGCCCTGAATGGGAGAACTTCAAGCCTGCCCCTGCCCTTAGTCTCTTGTGAATGTGATTCTTCATTTTCTCTCTAGGATCTTTCTTTCCCTGGCTATGCTAGCATAACACAGACATGCTACAGATTTCTCTCGACCCCACCTTACCCAGAAGAACACACTGAAGACAAAGGTCATAAACTGGTTGCCTGACAGAAAAATACTGCCCACAGCCTTGTTTTATTGTTTTATTCTCAGTGTTTTATAAAACAAATTCATCTCATAAATTCAGATTTCTAGTTTCTCTGGAAACAGAGTATCTGGCAATGGGCTGGATATGGGCATGTGCTCTTCTATGGGGAGAGTATAGGTACCCATGACTTCACCCCTCTCCAAGAATTCTGGGGTATTAAATTTACTTCATAAATTCAATAAAGACTTACTGAGTACCTTTCAAGTGCCAGGCTCTGTTCTAAGCCCCAGGGATAAAAAAGTAGCAACAAGGACTAAGTAACCTATTTCAGTGGGCAATGTGAGTTTTAACAATAGCTACATTAATATTTAATATTCAGGCAGTAATAACTAAAGGTGAAAAGCAGATGGAAGGAAGAGAAGGTAATGAGCTTGGGGTGGGAGGTGGATGAGCTTTTATTTTATATAAAGTATTCCTATAAATTGATAAAGTGACATATAAGCAGAGACTGAGGCAATGATAGAGTCATGAAGCCAGGAAAAGAGATTAATGTCTTTAATCCACCCTTGATAAAACCTGTGATGCAAAGGAATAAGCATAAAGCCCTTTGGGAGCATTCCAGGATAATACACAAACATCAACACACCAACAGTTCTTATTTGTTATTAAATTTGCATTCCAGTAGAAACTAAATGTAAACTAATATCTATCTAAGTTTATACTTTCACTATTGTAAACATTTTTAGTAGATGAAGTTAAAATTTGAATATCATATTTTCCCTTCTGGAAGAGTGAATCAATGCTACTTTACTTCCTGTCTGGGGGAGCTCATCTATCTGCTTCAGTCATGGGATGTCTACAGCCTGGTCTATTATTTGCACTGTTGGATGATGCACGGTGTATTCTTTAGGTTCTTTTCTTGGGTTATGATCACAGCTGGTGCTCAACTACTACGCGCTGGCTGGTCATACAGCAGGATTTGGTTATCCACATAAACATGATGCTGCTGTAAGTTCACTTTTCTATTTAGAGAAGCGAGTCAGCTAGAAATACCTCCATCGTACTTCCCAAACGCATGCGTACTGTGTGAGTGGCCGAAATAGTAAGTGGAGTAAGTGGCAGCTTTAAAAACCAGCCAGCTGCTGCCTTCCAAGCAGAAGGTCAGCAAAGGAAAGTGGAAGTTGAATTCTGAAGGATCAGGCACCCTCAGGAGTTTAGTCGTGGTTGGGATTTTGGAGACTTGAACAGCCAGTGTGGGGTTTTTCCTGGATTTCTTGCCTGTGGCCTTTCTGTTTTCTGTCTTCAGATTCCAAGATGAACGTGCAGGCTTGCTCTAGGTGCGGCTACGGGGTTTATCCTGCTGAGAAGATCAGCTGTATAGATCAGGTCAGTAGACAGTTCTTAGTCTTTGGAAAGAAAAACAAACATGGGAATTTATTTTCTTACATAAGGATATGGGAATTCTTTTCTGAACCACAAGAAGAAGTAGTATTTCCATTCTTTTGTTAGGTTCTAACCATTTTTAGGCCTATGTTACCTCAGAGCAGTTCCTCACTTATTTAGCATATTATATTATGCATGTGGTTTTTAATTCACAATCACTAAATTTCGAGGTTTTTTTTTTTTTTTTTTTCCCTAAAACACATAACAATCTAGGGTCTGGGGCAAAAAAAAAAAGGAGTCGTTAAATCCTTTCTATGTGATTTCTAGATATGGCATAAAGCGTGTTTTCACTGCGAAGTCTGTAAGATGATGTTATCTGTTAATAACTTCGTGAGTCACCAGAAAAAGCCATACTGTCACGCGTAAGTGTGCAATGACCCCTTCCTGACCTCTTTTGAGTTTTGCTTGTTTTTCAACAAATGGCCTACTAAAGTTTCAGATCAGATACTCTAGGGTTAAATCCAAGAAATGCCCTCTCAATGTGTTCACTTATCGAATACAGCTAATGTCGAATTTTATGCAATAGAACGAAATCTTCAGATTTTTTTTATAAATGATTAAATCTATCCACTGTAAAGAATTTCAAATTATTAAATGTTTTCCAGAACAATATAACTGTCATAGCTATGCATATGGAACTTTCAAAGTGTTTTACCTTTAGATAATCTTCAAATTCTTTCCTATTTTTCACAGTTTTCCAGTAACCATATCCGATTAAATTTTATCTTTAAGCTTAGTATACATTGAGCTTATTTGATTTTTTCCTGTAAGATTCATTGTTTAGAAAATCTAGAATATAATTATTAAAATTCACATTTATTGATTTAAAGAATTACAACTAGAGCTACTCAATCATCTTGGATAAATTTTTGATTTATAATTATTTTTTTGTAGCCATAACCCCAAGAACAACACTTTCACTAGTGTCTATCACACTCCATTAAATCTAAATGTGAAGACATTTCCGGGAGCCATGGGTGGGGTAAGTCATTTTTGCATTTCAAAATAGCCTTCAAAGAAAATCCCTGTGCTGAGGCACCTGTTAGATTTTTAAGTGTCTTGATGTGAATCACAGAATGTTTTTAAATAGCAAATGTTGATTCTTGTTCTCCTTCTACATTAAGGATACACAGAATAAACTAGTTCCCATAGTTGACGTCTTGGATTCTAATATAATCTTTGTGTCTGGCCGGCTCTGAATACCCTGACGTTAGTTTATAAATAGGCCTGGCATGCAGTAGGTGCTTACTACATAAAACAAAGCTTATGTGGGTGAAAAATATTACAAAGACCCTTCTTTTCCTTCCTTTGGGATGTTTTGGTAGAGAAAATTAGAAACGTCCGGTTCCATGCTTACCAATCCCTCCGAACTCAGTAGTTTTGCAGTCTCTGTTTCTCTTTAGGATAGGGCTAGGTCAAACATAAGCTTGTATTTTTTTATTTAGAAATGAAGTTTGGGGGGCTGGGGATTTAGCTCAGCGGCATAAGTGCCTACCTTGCAAGCAGGCAGTTGTGAATTTGATCCCTAGTACCAATAAAAATGAAAAAGACAAAAAAAAAAAAGAAATGCAGTTTGGCTTGGGAGGTGGAATACTAAGTAGACAGGGAAGCCATACTAATAAATCAAATCTCTTAGGAAAAATCAGCAGTTTTTAGCTGTTGATTGAACTCAGGCATCTATTAAAGTGATGAATCATTGAACTTTTTTTTTGCATAGACCCGGGGCGAAGTTGCTTTATGTGATGGAACTTAGTACTATTCTAAAATTAGAAAATTGCGGAGGAGATGGAGGGCTGTCTAGTAATCTCTCATCCCCTGGGATTCTGTCACTGAAGTTACCCGGCCTCACCCTCACTCTTGCCTGATGGACTGTCCTCCTCCTTGGGAAAATGGGCATCAGATAGAGCTCCTGCTCATATGTCAAGTGCTTTCAAGTTCCTTATTTCACTAAGTTAAATGGGCAGTTTGTATTATTATTTTTATTTAACAAATGTGTATAGCATTTATTAGAGAAATGCTTAATTCACACCTATCATATACGTCACAACCCAGTGAAGAAGGTATTGTTATTATTCCAGTGTACAGGGAGGAAACTGAGGTCAGAGATTAGTTTACACATCTATTTCTAAGGATTCACAAGCTCTGAGAGTTCACAGGCAAGCTGAGAAAGATGGTGCACCCCTGTAACTCTAGCATTCTGAGAAACTCAGATAGACGAGTTCTCAGGATTAAGCCGAGTTTGGGTACTTTAGTGATTTAGTGATACTATCTCAAAAAATAAAAATTAAAAAGGGCTGGGGGTGTAGCTCAGTGAGAAGACTCCAGATCCATTTTCTAGTCCCTCATAGAGCAATGAATTCACAAATTCATAAGCAGTCTTAGAGTACTAAAAAGACTAATGCTTTTAGGAATTCAATCTTACCTTTTGATGTTTGAGGACAGTTGCATGAAATTACAATTAATACTGCATTTAGCTCTTAAACATAATGCTAAATCCTGCTGAGTTCTTTGTGTTTTCGCATTTATTCTTCATGAGAGTTCTCTGTGTAACATCAGCACGTTACAGCCGAGGGTGCTGAAGCGAAGCAATGTTAAGTGACCTGCCCCGTTTTACTCGGTTTGTTAGGTGCAAATCCAGATCTGTTTGACCGCACAGTTCGTATAACTGAACACTTTATATACACCTGCAGGGTTGGCAAACTCTCCAGAAACAAACAAGCACCTCTTTAGGTTTTTATACATCTAGATGTTACTGCACTTGTGCAAAAGGAAATGTACTTACATATCACGATGTTCTTTGCATGCATTCCATTCTCTGCGGAAAGGCCCACGGTGTCTACCATTCCATTCAGAATTTAAGAATTTAGCATATCATACTTCATGATTTGCTCTAAAAGCAGTACTTGGTGCAGAATTGACACAAAAGTAGACAAAGAGCTCAGTGGCCTAGAATACATGGTCCAGAAATTGAGCTGCTCATATGCAGTCACTTCAGTTGTGACAAATTCACCATTGTTGTTTAATGTAGCAAGAATGATCTTTCAGTAAAGTACTAGGGAGATTGCTATTCATATGGAGAAAATGAACCTTGACTCCTACCTCACATAGATGCACAAAAGTCAACTCAAAGTATATTGTACTCAGGATATGAAACATAAAGTTATATCAGCATATGAAAAATATCGTCATGAAACTGGAAGCCAGCATTTTAGTGAACTCCCCAGCTGATACACAAACAAAGTGCAGAACAATAATATGAATTGTTTTCTGAGGTGGTTTTAGCTTGGGCCTTTGATGTGCTATGTTGACTTTATGTCAGTATTTTTAATTGAACTACTCGATAGAGCTTTGCACACAGCAAGAGCTCAGTATGTGCTACCTGGCTGGTGGCCCAGATGAAACCCAGCAGCAGTGACAACAGACTGTGCCTTGTACAGCAGTGAAGATGCTTTGCTTTGAGACTTGGAAAAGATCCTCTGGATTGAGCTATGCGTTACTGACTAGTTTTCCTTCTCTTCTCTGATGGGAACATCACTGACACCATCCTGTGCAGATCAGTGATCAAGAAGATGATAAGCACTTTAAATCAGCTTTTCACTGGGACATGAAATCCAAGGATGGGCCGGGTGTACCTGACAGGCAGCCACTGATGAATGAGGTGAGAAAAAAGTAATTAATGGGTTTGGATAAGAAAGGACAACACGCTATACAAATGGAATATGTTGCTCATGCTATGCAGTGTGCTATGCAAATTAAGTGTACTTCTGGTAAAATCTAATTTGGTTTTTTAAAATGCAGTTTATAATTCCAGCTATCTAAAGGAGGCCTCTATCAATGTGTCCAGCTCCATTCCAAGTTCGCTATCTTGTCCTGTCCAGCCACTATGTTGCTCTCCCTGGGAATAGTCCTCCACTTGAGACGGATACTGCCCTTGCATCCCTGGACACTTCACTTAGCCCCAGCCCTTTTGTCCTGATCCCCACCTTCCTGCCAGGACTCAGCTGGCTTTCCCTCTTCCAGCCTAACTTGCCCATGCTGGTCACACAGAGCTCCCGGGATGTTCCTGACCTTTCTCGCCACCACTCTCTGCCCTTTGTTTTTAAAATTCCTCAGTCATCATTTTTTAATTATATCCATAAGACTTGCATTTTTCTTACATTAAAAACATCCTAACAGTACATGACAAACCCTTGATCCACCATCTCTGGTCTCAGTTCCCTCACTATTATGTCTAGACATCTATCTATCTATCTATCTATCTATCTATCTATCTTATCTATCTATCATGTCTAGCAGTCATTTAGCTATTTTTTGTTTATATATCTATCAATCATCTATCTATTCTCTCTCTATGTCTAACTTTCTAATGTTTATGTTTGGGCTCACCTATTACCATTAGTGAGGCATCTAGATGGAGTTATTTAACTCTCCTTTCTTTCAGTTTTTGTGAAGATTAAAAGAATATATTAAAGTATGTGAACAGTGATAGGCATAAGAAATATTGGCTCTTAATACTTTTACTAGTAATTATATATGAATTTTTTCTATTGAATTGTATTTTTTTTGTTTTTTCATGAAACAATGTGTATTGTTTTACAGTTTGTGGTTCGCACTCAACAGATATCTTGGAGACAGTTCAACATCAGCATCCTTTTAAGTGCACCCCTGGGTGTGCCATGGATGCACTGTTACGAGTGTGTCACAGTTACTTTCTTGTAGCTGAGACAAAATACTCCACACTTACAAGTTAATGAGGGAAAGGTTTATTTTAGCTCACAGTTTGTATAGATTTTGGTCCATTGTGGGCTGGCTCCAAGGCAGAGCAGCTTGGCAGAGGGCAGAAGGGAAAGAGTGTGTAGTGTGACAGGGAGGAAGCAGAGGAGCCATCGAGGCAGGAGGAAGGGTGTATGCTCTTGGGCCACACCCACAGTGACCCATCTCATCTCACCAGGCTTCACCTCCCAACATCACACCCAACTATAAGCCCATCAGTGAACTACTTCAGTATCAGGTACCCATCATCCGGCATCACACACTCATGATCCAGTCACCTTCCTGAAGCCCCACCTCCGAGCACATGAAGCTTTGGGAGCCCATCTAGACACAAGCCATTGCAAAGTGATGTCACATATTATTCTGCTATCGGGCAGGGATATTGCCATTATATTTTCTCTTGCAAAGTTTTTGAGGTTTTTTTGTTTGTTTGTTTTTTTTTTCCTGCAAAGTTGTCCCTTGTTTACGACCTCTTTCAGACACACGTGGGTATTTCTCTAGAATAGATAATTAAAAATGAAATTTTTGGGCCCAAAAGTGTGCACTATTTTGATTTTCGTCTTTTTTTAAAAATCCATACCTGGGATCAAACTCATGACCGCACGCTTGCAAGACAGGCACTTATGGCGCTGAGCTAAATCCCCAGCCCATAATTTTCATAGAAACTGTTCAATTACTTTCCAAAGTGGCCATACATTTTCTACTCTTTCAGAGAATATATTCTCTTTCAGAGATTATATGTTTCCCACACTCACCTACGCATGGTGTTTGTGGGTTAAAATTTGTTTCAAACCTGCATTTTCAGACTGTTCAGCTTGCTAAGTGTGGTTAAGCAAATTTCATTTGCCTTTCCAGATCTCCAAGGCCTGACTCTATCCAACTGTCTGCCTCATGCCCCTGTAACCCACCGAGCTCTCAGGCTCTTTCCCACAAGTGCAGTCAAACCCAGCTTCTCATGTTCTTCCCATCTCTACCTTCATGCTTTCCTTCAGGGAAGGCCACTTTCCTGGAATTTATTTAACAAATATTTATTGAACTTGTTGTATGACAGGCACTGTCCCAGGTTTTTTGGGGTGCAATCTGTGAACAAAACATGAAAAGTCCTTCCTTCATGGAGCTGACCTGGGGGGTGGGGAGACCATTCTTTTTGTTTGTTCTGATAACTGACCTTTATCCTGGAGGCCCAGCTCAAATTTTCTTGCCAAAAATAGGACTCATCTCATACAGAGTATTTTTTTTTTTAGAAACTCTTATGTTCAACATACAGATGTTTTCTAAGTACTGTTTGTTTCCTATGTTAGTTTTATCTTCAAAGTTAAATCGTAAGTATCTTGAAAGAGGAATTTTGTCTTCTTTTTTTTTCTTTTCTTTTTTCATTGTCAGTTACTGAGCACATATTAGGTGGGAGATGTTTGAAGTTTGTCTGAATAATGCTGATTCATCTCAGCCGTCTACAGGGACTTCCCCCTGCCCAATTTCAGTGCAGTGATGTGCAAAGAAATGTTCAATTCTATTTGGAATTGTCCTGTCATATCAGTGAATCTCAGGAAGTTCAATTATTTAAGATTTTAGGCCATTTTCTCATCTGAAGAAATGAACATTTTAGTTAGCTAAAATGTATAATAGTGTAGTGAATATCTTGATCACATATGTGTATTGCTGGGAGTGTGGGGTGACGTGTGGGGTTTTGCCAGCCCAATGTGTGGAGTGTGTATTTCTACACATCTTTTTTACTTTCTTTATAGAGAGGCTACTGGCCTGGATATGGGGAAGGGAATGGCTGGAGTCCAGGGGCCCTGCCAGATCCTGAAATCGTAAGGATGGTTGAGACTCGACAAGCTCTTGGTGAGGTAAGGGCATTAAGAACTGTGGGAGTAATAAAACCCAAAATGTGTGATTTTCATTGTAAAAAAGAGAGGAAAAGAAAGTGCTCTAAAGGACATAACTGCATGTATATTTAAGCATATAAAATAGATAACCATATTACTGAGTTTTTGTTGGTCACTGAACAGAATTATTTGTAGTCTCACTGTTTGAATGTCCACTTTATATGCTTTAATTTTATAACTTGAACAACTATTTCTAAGATGACAATATGTAATCTATCAACTAGTGATTTCCTATTGTTTATTTTTTTTGAAATTCTGTATAACTTGTGCCCTTTTTCTGTTTTTTTTTTCTTTTTCTCCTTAAATAAAATTTTAAAAAAGAACCTACTTCAAACAGTTGATTCAGCAATTAGTTTAAATGTTCCTATATTTTAAAATCTGTAGTTGCTAAACAATTGCTGCTTCCCGTAAAGATTTCCGTGTCCTACTCTCTGGAATCTGTGTATGCCTTACATGTTCAAGTGAATTCTCAGTTAAGGATCTTGAGACAGGAAGACTGAGGATTTTTAGGGTGGGCCCAAGGGAGGGAGGGAGAAGGGTCAGAATCAGAGAAAGGCCAAGTGATGACAGAAACAGAGGTCAAACAAAACCCTGTGAGGTGAGAAAGACTACTGACCTCCAGAACTGTCAGAGTCCTTAGGAAGTGAGCGAGCAGGAAGCAATTCCAGCCTGATTGCAGAAATCCTTAGCTATTTGCACACATGCCCTCTGTCTCTCCACACACCTATCCTCTGAATAATCTCCTTTGGAAAATACTGTTCATCTAGGCAACTTTTCCTTTAGAAAAATGGAAAGAAAGTAATAGAAGCACAAATGCCAAGGTGATATTTCTTCTTAGGAAAACTGCAGGTGAGGAGGAACAAGCAATATATTTTACTCCCAAAGTTATAGAACTGACTGTAGTGGATGAATCACAGCAGTCTCTTGCATTAATTGATCCATTATTATGCAAGCCTGGAGTCAGAAGATGCTGGTGGGGTTGTGCCAGGATCCACAAAATCTGTTAAAAATATTGAAGAGGATTTTTGCTGACCTGGAGAATAACAGTTTTTCAGTGTTGATGGTGTTATTCAAATTGCTAGTTGAAAGCCATTATTAAACTTATTCCAGGTGATAGAAACATTTCCCAAGCAATCAATGAATCCAGTTTCACTGCAGTTTTATTAGATTCATCCTGTAAATCATATTATTTTTATGCTATGGCCAATAGGGGTATACAGAAGACTATGGACAACAGGGTGGCAAGGGGAGCTTCCCAGCCATGATCACACCTGCTTATGAAAGGGCCAAGAAAGCCAACCAGCTGGCCAGCCAAGTGAGTGTCTCAGTGCTCATTCACCGTTGATTATGCTCATTTTTGTCACTAATGAAGCCCTGAGATTCACAGGGTAAAAATACAAGACAGTATTTTTAACCGTAGGGTTAGTGCTATATTATGCAAAAAGCTCTTTTTCTATCATCTATCTTCCATCCCTGGATTGGACCATACATCCACAACATGGAGAAAAGACTGTGTAACTTATCCAAAACCTGGTCCAAACAATTTCTCCAGACTGCTGCATTTTATTAACTGGATGGCAGAACTTCCTGAAGAGTGGAATAGTTTGTTGGTTAAAAGGTTAGATTTTGGAACCAGAATGCTCAGATGTGAATCCTGGCTCTACTGTATATTAGCTATAGAGTCATGGACAAATTATTTAATTTCTCTATTCTTTGGATTTTCATTTGTAAGGGTGGGATAGGAAGGTCAATAACCTCACCAGATGGGACTGTTATGGAGATTCACATGTATTATTGCCTAGAAGTATTTGGCACCCTACTGAATTTAGCACATTAATATCGGTGCTTTGGGGACTGTACTAGTTTTGCCACAGGTCTGAGTTGAATGTAGTCTGATGGCATAGCTCCAGGAGAGCTACCTGGAGCTGTGACCTTGTGCAGCCCTAACTCTGTGCTGTCTCCTAATCAGGTGGAATACAAGAGAGGGCATGATGAGCGCATCTCCAGGTTCACCACAGTGGCCGATACCCCTGAGCTGCTGAGGGCTAAGGCCGGGGGACAGCTTCAAAGTGAGGTAAGAAACAATGGATGCTTAAATGCAGTGGTGTTCACTGAAGACCCCTCATTCTTTTCTTACCTGGCAGAAGAGGGAGGGATAAAGCAGAAGACAGCAGAGTCCCATGTGGGCATCAGGAGGAACTTTCTAATGTGAAAGATGGTCAGTTGGGTCCATGAAGTCAGCAGGCACAGACCCTGCAAAAACTCTTTAAACTGAAAACACTAGATCAGATGAATTGCAAGCCCAATGTAGCTGATTAATCCGGTGAGTTGCCACTGTAAGCAAGAGAAAAGAATTTCTAAATAATTTTTGCCACTTGCTTTTTCATAGTCCATGTACTTCATAGCAAACATAGGCCAAGCTTTAGTACTGCTCCCAGTGAGGAGTTGGAGTACAAATCCAGCTTCATCCTAGTAAGTGGTTTCCACTTGTGTTGGCCTAGGTCTGGGACTGAGAAGCCTCTTTTGTCTCCCACCCTTGACTGCAGGTCCCCAAGGGCTGGAGCCCAGCCTTTTGGTCCACATCAGGTGCAATACAAGCTTATGCTAAACATGCACTTGATTCATCGAGTGTCTCCATGTTCTAGGCACCGTGCTGGGTATTGAGAATTAAGAGGTAAACAAGATGTACATAGTTCATCAAGCCATAAGCCAATTATGTGCCATTGCAGCTGTGACAGGGGTGGGTAAGGTGTCATGAAGCCCTTAGCAGAGCAACTCACTGGTATCCTCCGATGGTTGCAGGATCTGGCATGTAATTTGCACTTTTTCTTTTCCTTTAAAAATCTATTTTTCAGGTGAGATACACAGAGGACTGTGAACAACAGAGAGGGAAAGGCAGTTTTCCTGCTATGATCACACCAGCTTATCAGATAGCCAAAAGAGCTAATGAGCTGGCCAGCGACGTAAGTGTACACAGCAATGCTGCCATATTACACAGAAAGCTTGAAGTCAGTCTGAGCCTAGCTGTTCAGCCTCTCGTCTACTTTTGGCTGCGTTCTGGAGCCAAGCAGTAGCTTTCTTTCTGTGTCCAATCACTTGCTCTGATAATAATCTAATACTTGTATTTCTAAGAGATATTCCTGGGACCCAAACATAACAAGGACATTCCACAAGACTTTCGTTTGTAACTCCTCTGTGCTACATTCACTGATATTTTCCTTTCCCTCCCATATAGGTGAAGTACCATCAACAATATCAGAGAGAAATGAGGGGAATGGCTGGTTCAGCCGCTGGAGCTGAGGGCGTGTGGACAAAGGAATACACAGACCAGTATGGCCAGGTGTGTGAGAAAGTAATTCCTGGGAGGCTGGTCTTTTCTATGGCCAGTTCTCCATTTGGCTTTTACTAGTTGTGACATTTAATCAGGGCTTTGTCATTGTTCTATTTATGAAGGGCAGATTTTCTAGGGCACAAAATAGTGAATAAAATTCTACAGGATTCAATTTGGTCTACTTAGGGAAACAAATTTCAAGAATAAGGCCTTCTTGGGTTCTCATTGGAGAACACTCTCAAGGACAAAACCTGGCCCTGTTTAGCCCATCACTGCTGTATGAAATGGATCAAAATACATGTTTTGAAAAATATCGAGCGTCTCACTGAGTAACCGGGCTCATTTTCTTAGAAGGCAAACTTCTCATCTAAGTTGCTAGATAAAGCGGTGTAACAAAGAAAGCAAACTTTTATCCTAATTTTATTTTCCAAGTGAACTGGACCTTGTCATGGAGTAGAAAGGGTGAGATGCTAGTTACAAGCTAGTTTTTACTTGTATTTTCTGGCCAGGTGTTGCAGGAGAGAAAGGATATATTTTTGTTGAGGCTGAGAGTAAAGAATATTGGAAGAGTATGTGTGTGTGCTGGAATGATACTTGCAAAGATTTTAAGCGATTTAAAAAAAAATTGGCATAGTATGAATTATCTGTACCACATGACTTGTATGGCCTTTAAAAGGAAGCCACAAAAAATTAATTCCTGTCTTTAGAAAAACTAGTTGTCATTCATGGGCATATACTCACATGAGTCTTAGGCTGGAAGTGAATGAAGATCAGCTGTGACCCCTTTGCAAATGTCTGCCTGAGCAAAAATACTTGGTTTTAAGTTTAAAAGGCCATTCCCTCAAATTATACAAGTTAATGAAATGATCTCTTGCTGCTCTACACTCAATGAAAATATGATTTTACTGGTTCTATGTCTTAAATATATTATTTAGAAGGTCCAAGACAACTCCTAGAAATCCATTTTTTTAAAAATCTGGCTTTTATATTGAAAAAAATATTTTGTCCATTATTGCACTGTTTTGTCTGCCATTAGCTATAATACCCACATAATTTCAGATGTGTATTTAGATGTCCACATACATAGATGAATGGCAACTTCATAGTATCATCGTTTTTCTTGGTTATTAATATACTTTGAAGTTTCCAGGCTTGATAATAACAAGTGCAAGATCAAAGTAGGTGCCATTTGATGGCACTGGTAACAGCTGTTGGAAGGACACTGCCCAGGGTGGTATTTCACTGTGGGACTTTGCCAGGGCATAAGTAGGAGGGAGTGAGAGAGAGGCAGGCAGCAGATAAACTATAAATATCTCTAGGGCCCTCAGTACCAAGCAATTCATTCTTCTTTAAAATGACTCATTAGACTTATAAAAAGACTAAATCATGTAATCAATTTATTATTTGTAATCAATCAACTCTTTAACAACGGATTAGGTGTCGTGATTCACACATGCACACACACTCATACACAAAGCTACAAAAATAAAACAATAGAGCAGAATGGGAAAAATCATAGAATAGATTGCTAAAGAATTTGAGAAACTTAAAACTTATTGCATTTGGCTCTGAATATTCTGGCATCCAAGTGAAAAGGAGCATTTAGGCTGAACAGTTTTCATTATTGAGTGAAAGGAAGCTAGGCATTTTAAGTTCACTCAACTGTTATGTGTAAGTGCACGTGTGTGCTAACGTGCAAGCTGGTGCTGGGGTGGGGAGGCCCACAGCTTGGAGGAGGCTCCTGAGTGATGGAGTCATGTGCTCAGTGGGGCATGATAAGGGCTGGGGCTGTTTCAGCTTTGGGGGCAAAGTGCAGCAAGAACTCAACCCGGAAGCAACAGATTCTGACCCAGGCTGGTCTGGGATGGTAGTGGACTCAGAAATTTCTAAGAGAAGGCTGCATCTGAGCAGGTCTTGAAGTACACTGTCAGCCAGGAAAGGGTTACCTGGGTCAGGTGATAATGGTTTCACAGGAAAAGGTGCCCTTCGTGGGAGTGGTTGGGTAGTATGGAGAAGTGAAAGGAAAAATTAAGAGTGACATTACATGTCGTATACTTTAATACACATTAACTCCCACTTTAGGTTATCTGAGGGCAGTTCAATGTTTCCCACCCCCACTAAATGACACAAATATTATAATACTTGTTTTCTGGTTATGTTGCACACATAAGTAGAAGAAATAATACTGGAGATGTCAAAATATCCCCATGTGTAGATATGTTCTTGAAACTAAGTAAGGTAGTGTTTGAGACTGAGAAGGCAGAAGACTTCCCTGATACGAATTCACACAGGAATATCCCATAGCAGCATAGGACTGGGTGACTGGTAGAGTATCTTGATTTATTTGGTGAAAATAATTATGATCATGAGAATGGTTATCATTTATTTAGCGCTGTCTGTGTGTATTTGGGGCCTGACTCAAGGTCTAGCATCTTAGTCACCATACTGTACAATTCCTATGGCAATCACTGGAATTCCCCGTGTGGATGGGCTTCTATGGGTACGGGCTGTGTGGATGGTCATTGATGATCCCCACCCATTTGGAGAGATAAGTATTACTGATCAAAGTTTTTGGTTGCCTCAGCAGGGTTACTTAGAGGAATGCGAGGAGCCCAGGGGAAAGGGCAGCTTCCCAGCCATGATAACCCCAGCTTATCAGAATGCCAAGAAGGCCAATGAACTTGCTAGTGATGTAAGTACCACATGGTGGGAGGACTCCCAGAGCCACAGAGAAGGCAGAAGAGAAATGAAAGGAGACTTACAGGCTGCTTTTACTGAGATTTGCACGCAGATACATTTGTTAGAGCTGAACCAAAGTAGAATGTGAGCCTTGCCTTCAGTTCTCATGCAAATTCCTGATCTCTGCTTACTATGTTGAGAGTATTTGGTTACATTCATCTGCTTCCAAGGAGATTGGCATGGACAAACAGCATAACTCACTCGAAACCATTGAAGCAAATACAAATGCTGGTTCAACCAGATAATCTGGGATTAAGAGAATCTGTACCAAAGATCCATTCGGAAATTGAGCATTTTAGGCAAAGAGCTGATTAAAGTAAACCACAATATTATCAAACTGGATGAAACCCAATGATAAGTGATTTTGCTGACAGAACATAAGCCAACTGGCAGTCTTCATAAGATAGACTAATTAAACTTGATAAGGTATAATTTTCTCTGCAGATCTCAGCATGGCATCACAAACTTGATCTCTAATCAGAAGACTGCACTTATTTCAGGCTCTTTGCCCATCACGACTCAGCTGTTGCTCAGTTATTACCCATTTAAACAGAGCAGCGCCACCTTTGCTCTGAGAAGGAATGTACAAGACGTTACTAATTTCCCTCAGCCAGCCATGGGAGGAAGGATGTTGAAACCATGGGCAGAAGGGGACTGGAATTGTTCTTTGCTGTGATTGCTTTAACACCTTTCTTTATGCTAAATTAGAGTGGAAGAAGTGTGAAAAGGGCCACTGCATTTTTAATAGAAAGACCGAGTAGTTTATTGATTTAATGGACAGAAAATTTCACATACTTTTTTTCCTTGTGAAAATTGTATTAAGTCAATGTTAACATTAAATTGTAGACAGTTTTGAGGAGCTTTATCTCACAGAACACAGTAACAACAACTCTAGCCCCCTTTATGCATTTCTTTCAGATAAAATACAGACAAGACTTCCATAAGATGAAAGGTGCGGCACATTACCACGCCCTTCCAGCCCAAGACAACCTGGTCCTTAAAAGGGCTCAGAGTGTGAACAAGCTTGTGAGTGAGGTATGTATGGGGGAGTATTCACCCTTATGAGCTGTCACCCCTTTGTCTCTTAGAGAGCAAATGGGGTGCTCCTGTCATAAAAGATGCCAGTTCAGAGTGTGGCATACACTATGTATGATTACCAATTTCCAAAGAGTGGTTATGTGTTAAAATAAAATTAATGAGCAAGCCTAGAACCAAAAATATTGAACCTTTTTCAGGTTGCTAAAATCTTTCTTCCCAGATCTTACCAGACTATAAATATTCAAAAGCATAAGGCAATAGATTTCTAGTTGCCAGAAGGAGTCTTGAATGACCCAGCTTTTAAATAATACGTCATAATGACAGGGTGGAAAACAAAGATTAGAAGAAGTACTACGAGGGTCAGACATCTGTAGTCCCAGTCTGGGGAAGCTTTGTCACCTGACAAACTGTGGGAGGATGCTCCTTTTAGGCCAAGCCTGTCTTTGAGCTGGGGGAATGATGAGGACCCCTTCACATCCTCCACGAGCTCCCTCTATGCTATCTGTACTCCAGTATCTCTCCACAGCAGCTCTTCTCTTTATATTGCTTCTCTGGATTTGGCAGGCATTTCTTCCTTCCTCTGGCCACAGGCAGAATCATGGCTATCAAACACAAAGCATTATCTGCATCTCAGAACACATTGCAAATGTCCTATACCGTTTTTCTTCTCTAACTTCTTTTTTTTTTTTTTTTTTTTTTTTTTGGTCTTTTTCTTTTTTATCGGTACCGGGGATCGAACTCATGACTGCCTGCTTGCAAGGCAGGTGTTTATGCTGCTGAGTTAAATCCCCAGCCCCTCTTCTCTAACTTCAAAAGGCAGGTCCTTTACCCCAAACTGTTCATTGACTCCTGATCCTCTAACTTTAGACAGCTGTGAATCACCAAAGGACACTTTCTTGACATTTTGAAGTAGTAAATGGCCTTGAACTTTGCATTTTAACTAGTGTTCCAGATGATTCCAGTGCTCTAGAGCAGTGATGGCGAATCTTTTAGAGACAAATGGAATCCACAGTGCACTTACTTATCACAAAGTGCCAACATTGCAATTAAACCTAAACACCAAGGTTTTAGTTTAGAAAAAAGAACTCACATATTCACAACTTTTGTCTTAAAAGAAAAACAAAGAACATACATGCCATAGGTTTTCCCCAGTGCTGTATACCACAGGCTTAGCCTGTTTTGTAAATAAAGTTTTATTGAGGCACAGCTCCGTCATATTTATATTATCTGTGGCTACTTTCCAGCTACAAGGATGGAGGTGAGCACTTGTTATACAGACATATGGCTGGCAAAGCCCAAAATATTTTCTATATTGTCTAGATGGGACCTTTGCATTTATTAGATTGTCCCTTTGTCATAGACTTGGAAAAAGAAAGTGTCTGCTTCTGTTTCACAGAGTTTCAGGGACAGAACCAGAACCAGTCCAGCTCTACCCAGGCAGAAATGTTACTGTCCATTCTTTGGCCTCTCTATATGTGAATATATGTAACTGAATACATGAAAATAATGACATTTCTATAGTGTTAGAATCCAACTGTCTATGCAGATTATTTTAAAATTTTGTACGATAATGCATCTTGCCTACTTTAAAAGGCATGTCCCCCACTGTATAGTTTTATCAGACCTGATAACAAATTAAGCTGTATGTCTGTGGTAGTAATAAGTCACAAGGGAAACTTCAATTTCTTTTTGCCCTGTATTTATTCACTGAGACATTAATGGTAATTGTCCTTACCTGCCTTCTGTAATTACCTAGGATGAGGAGTCTATTTAATAATAATGATGGCCTCACATTTTCCATCCAGGCACCCAAGGGAACTTAGCCCACCTCTTAAGTTAAAGACCCCCTCCATCAGAGTAGTCTCCTTTATTATACTCTTGCTTACTACTTATTTTTGGTTAAATTTTATTGAAGTGCACACAGAGATACCTGTATACATTGTTAAATATATTGGCTCTCTCCAGTGGACTTATCTATGTAACTAACTCTCAGATCAGGAAACTGAAGTCTTGAATGTCGCCTCATGATTCTTATGAAACATTTTCATCTGAGAATAACCACTTAATATCTGAAAAACAGTTTTACCATTAAAATTATTTTTGTGGTGCTAGAGACTGGACTCAAGACCTTGTGTATACTAGACAAGCCAAGCCTCTGTGATGAGCTATACCTCCAACCACAGTTTAGCTGGGTTTCTTTTCTTTTTTTTTTGAGCTGTATGAGGTCTTACAATATTTGTTCTTGAAAAGGAGCACATATTTTTAATTTTCAGAGTGAAATCAACTTTTCATTTTTTGCTTTTATGAAGGAAAACACATACCTACAGTATTCTGTGCTTGGGATTTTACAATCTTGGAAGTTTTAAAAAATATCCCAGATAAATCCTGGGGATGTTTTTAGGAATAACTTTCAGTTTAATTCCATTGTGTACCTGGTGTTTTGGTTTTCAAGGTAGAGTATAAGAAGGATCTGGAAAGTAGCAAAGGTCACAGTATCAACTACTGTGAAACGCCTCAATTCAGGAATGTGAGCAAGATCTCAAAATTCACCAGTGATGTGAGTCCTCCATGCCTTAGCATTTGGGCATGATTTTAGAGCTTAATTTGTAGGTATCCTAAGAGACAATCTAAGGAATGTATTCATATGTCTTGGAAAGCATGGCTTCTTAGGTATAAGTACTTGTGGGTTTTGGCTAAGATTGCCTGCTGGGATTGGTCCTTATAGTGTCATACCTTGCTGTGCTGTCTTCATTCTCATACTGACTTTACATCCTCAGAGCAGGACCTGTCCTCTCTCTCTTTTGCACCCCTTTTGTGCTGCACAGTGCCCTAGTGATGGATGCTAGCAGTGGAACCTGGCTGAGCATGTGACATCCCCTCTCAGTGTGACTTCATGCTTTTGGATTAATACATAATCTCCCCTAACCCTCATGTTCATCCCAGCAGCTAGACATTATTTCTCCATCTTCCCAGATGAGTCAGTAGATACTAGAGTGGTATTTGTGAATTTGGACACTCTCAGAGAAGCTCTAAAGATGTAACTTGAGAACATCAAGGACCTATTGTAGATTGCATGATTTTTCCTTCTGTTTGGCTACATATAATAGTAGAATTTACAATTACAGGTGGCACTGGTAGGCTCTGATATATAGTAGCAATATATTTAAATATTCCTATAGCATTGAAACACAAGGGTAGGGGATTTTTTTTTTTAATTGGTACCGGGGATCAAACTCATGACCGCCTGCTTGCAAGGCAGGTTCTTATGCCACTGAGCTAAATCCCCAGCCCCAGGGGTAGGGGATTTTAATGTAACTTCATTAGAAGCCACTAGATTTTAGTGTTTGTGATCTCACATCATTACATTTTGACTTTTGCTTTATTTTAAGCAGTATTTGGGAGGAACATCATTATTTCAAATGGTTGCAGTAGTGACCAATTTTTACATACAGAATTGGACAATGCTTATTTTATTCTTTATATACTTTCGTTGTTTGGTATCTTTGGGAGAATGATTCTACCACCCCCTTGTGAATATCAAAATCCTCAGATATTGAAGTCCTTCTTACAGGAGTGGCAGAGTATTTGCTTATAATCTTTACATATGCTTGCATATACTTTAATATCTCTGGATTACTTAGAATACCTAATAACTATTACTGTGTTTAAAACATACTGGCAAGAAAAAAATCAGTACAAATGCAATTTTTTTCCTGAATAGTTTTCATTCATGGTTAGTTGAACTTCAGCTACAGGCTGGTTACAAGTGGAGGGGAGAGTACACAATGATTCGTGCCAGGTCCAGCCTGGAGCTTTGCAGACAGTTCTGCTATCAGTAGCGCTAGTCTGTTGGAGAGCTCCACATTTACATGGTAAAATGTCACACTGAAAAAATCTGGTAAATTTAAAACTGAAAATGGAGGGGCTGGGGATTTAGCTCAGCGGCATAAGCGCCTGCCTTCCAAACAGGCAGTCGTGAGTTCGATCCCTGGTACCTATGAAAAGGAAAAAGACAAGAAAAAAAAAAAAATCTGAAAATGGAAAAACAAACAAAACATCAAATCTGCTCTGTGCTGTCAACGCCCATTGGACACCATGTTCTTATGTGTTTGTCTGCCTGATTTATGCTTGCTTGAAATTTAAGTTGTTAAAAATAGTTCGCTTTTTGTTTATTCAGTAGGACTCTGGTTACTGAAGCAGCTTAATTTATATTTTGGGTTTAGTGCATTAAGACGGTTATGTTCAATGAGTTGGGAGGTTTTTGTTGAAAATTTTATATTTCCACATAGAATAAATATAAAGAAAACTACCAGAACCATATGAGAGGCCGCTATGAAGGAGTTGGCATGGACAGGCGGACCCTCCACGCTCTGAAAGTTGGCAGTCTGGCCAGCAACGTGAGTGCTTTGTGCACAGGTCTGAGAGGGTGGCGTGTGCAGGGGGACATGAGGACTTCAATGAATTCTTCAGCCTCCCTTTAAAACAAGCCTCTATTTTAGCGTGTGAAGACAGATCCATAAGAATTTCTAAATGTTAATCAATGCAGCCAACGATTTGTAAAATTCCTTAAGATTTTCAAAATCTTAATTTATCTTAGCTTTCTCTGGTTCAAAGAGTACTTAGCTTTATTAGAATTGACCCATTGTGATAAACATTCTCAATTTCTGAGAGGTAAAGAGATATGGATAAGCATGCTTCGTATGTGAAATTCCCCAGGTTCAAAAGCTTTTGGGATTTACCTGCAGCTAATTATCTGGGTTGCTAGTGTGTCCACTTGTTTTATTCAGTCGCTGTATTTATTGAAGACTTCTGGTGTCCAGGCACTGGTCAAGGTGATGGGGTAACAAAACAGACCAGTGCCTCTTAGTGGGTCATCTATTGATCTCCCTTTGGCTTTGTCCATCTGCTTCACAGATTTGCAAATGCCAGCTTATAAATCATGGAGGAGAATTAAAGGACACTTAAGGGAAACTGGTTTTATTACCAAAACATACAAATGTCAGATTTCCTCTGCTTGGGAAGGTCAAATTTGACCCTGAGGAAGAAATTTTAAATACTCTGAAGATTTGACTTTATTTATTTTCTTGGGGTTAACCAAGAAGGGCTTTCCTTATACATTCACTTGTGAGTGTTCCTTTCTCAACAAAAATGACAAGCAGTCCCTTAAGTAAAAAGTGAAAGATAAAATAAATATGCTACAGAGAGAAGTTGACTGATTTTACATTAATAATTCAGATTAATTTAAGACCAAAGTGTGAACATAATTTTCCTTGGCGGTAGTGAAAATGAATTAATTGTTTCTGGCTATTTGAAAACAATCCTTAAAGACATCTCAACCAGTTCAAAAGAAAATGAGGACTGATTTCTCTTCGCTTGTTCTTGCCTTTGTGTTTTAGGTAGCCTACAAGGCTGACTATAAACACGACATCGTGGATTATAACTACCCAGCCACTCTCACTCCTTCCTACCAAACAACAATGAAACTGGTTCCTTTGAAAGAGGTGAGTCCTCTTCCAGTAGCCCTTTGGCTTTATTTCTTGTCACTTCCTTCCTGCAGTGGGGTGTGGGGAGGTTGTGAGTCTTCAGCAGCTGAATGGAAAGAAACAGGATACAATTTATAGGAAAGGGAAGGGACTTAGAAAAGGGGAATTCTTTTTTCCAAGGGGGTCCATTTGTGCATGGCTGGAAACTCAGATTTTCAAGGTAAAGTGGGAATGATTCTGGTTTTTGTGTTACAAATAGCCTGAAATTCGGTTTCTCCTCTTAGAATTTGGAAGGCTATATCTACTGATCACATTCATAATAGTTATTCTTTAGCAATGGTGACCTTTTTTTTTTTTTTTTTTAAATCTTTGGAGTATAGTATATTAAGGACTGAAGAAAATAAAATAAGATGGACAGATGGATGAAGGGTAAGGGACAATGCTAATTTTTGTTCTTTAGGAACACATTGGAAAATTATATTTGCCCCTTCATTATTGTAGCATATAAGTCTACAGTTAGGCTTGTCCTAAACAAAATTGTACAGTTAGTTAAATTTATTGGCTTCTAAGCATGAGTTTTACTACACTTATAATTTTTTTTAAATACAGAAAAATATAAAGGAAAAGATAAAAGCCATCAGTTATTGTAGGAAGTAGTTAAAGTGGCTTAGAAATGAGCGGGTGTCATAGGTCTTAGCAGAGGTGATTTGCAATCAGTAGTGTAGCAAGTAATTCTACACACATTCACTGACTGTCTTTCAAATCCTTTGGGGGTGAGCACAACTCACCCCATAAATGGCAATTGATTTGGGTTTTCCTGTTTCCTATTTTCCCTTCTCTTTTGCTTGGTGTAGGAACTATAGGATTCATCTAGGTCTTACAAAGTGCCTAGGACATTGAAAACTAATAATTGGTGAATCATAGTCTACTGGATGGAAAGGAACTTCTCAAATATGTAATATAGCAGGAGATAGGAAATAGAGAAATATAAGAACTTAAATTGGCTTTGCTTTTCCCAAGAAATTTTGTTGGTTGACTTACTCATTTCACCTTAATGAAATCCATAGTCAAACTTAGCCACTGCTAAAGCTATTTTCTGTCTCCTTTGGCTGCATGTTTCACCCGGGACGCTTGCCAGCTGAGAACATTTTGAAACTTGACTGTGTCCTTTTGCAGTAGAATTCTAGAAACGATACCTAATGAATAGCACACATGTGCAGACACACACCTGAAATAGATTCCTACAGCTGTGCACTTTCATTAACATGATTGTTATTACATTTATCTAAAAGACTCTGGATCAAACTGTAGACCTGGACTATAATGAGCCCATCTGGGGATACCTGACACTATGCTTAAACTGGACTGAACTAGAAACACTAAGTTGAGTGTAGAGCTAGATTCTCAATCAGCAGCACATAAGCCACTTCCAGCCTCAGGAGTACTTTATTTAGTCATTCATGTTAAAAATAGCTGTATGACCATAAAGAAGTGGTGAGTTTGCATAAAAAAATGTTTACCTTTTCTTGAAAAATCTACAAACTTGGGAAAAATGGTCCTAGTCCTTGTGTGGCAGCGGTGGGCTGGGCCTAGTGGTGGCTGCTCTCTGTGTCTTAGATTCCTTTACTTTCCCTTCGTGGCTCTGGTGTGAATTTATCCCACCTAATGAAGGGCCTCTAGTATTCAGGAAGTTTGAGGAATTGATTCCAAGAGAATTTGCATTCTCTCCATCTGGTAGCCTTAAAGGTGGTGGAATTGCTATGAACCTAAATAAAGCACAGCCTTTAATTAGAGAGCATTTCCCCTCTAGATGGGTTTTATGAACATTAATAGAATTAAAATGAGACTCTATCTTTAGCAAAGAATTCCTTCGGAATGTGGATTGAAGCCATGGCCAACCATTTGTGATGTTAAAAAGATGTGATTAATTATGGAGACTGTTCATTATGTCCTACAGAGCAAAATAATTGTGCTCTGTGACACACTCAATGCAGAATTGTCAAGAATAAAATGCTATTTTAAAAATATAGTTTTTGTGACATTTTCATGGGCCTAACTCTGAATTCTAATTGACTTATTATGAGTTGATAATTTTTCCCTCTGAATTAATGCATTAAGGAGTCATGGTACTCTAATCTCATTAATAGTTGACATTGAACTGACTTTATAGTTCCTAGTTTTCTCTGAATACTCAAGGTACACAGAATTTTTCTCCTTGAATTATTAACTAAAATTCACAAGTACTCAATGCTGTCCTTTCCTCTAAATCCAGCCAAATACTTTGTGACCCATGTCAGGAGCACTACTTTTCCTAAGCCTTTTTTGAGGATTAATCTGTGAGCTATTTATTTGTGCTGGGAGCATATTTCCCTGTCTAAACAATGCCAGCCCTGGTTGTGGGTAATCTAGGAAACACCAGTAGTCCCGAGCACACTAGCTATGGCATCTATGGTTTTACTGCTTACATTAAGAACCATGTTTGGAGTCAGACTGCTGGGATTTGAATCCAGACCTTGACACCTACTAGCTGGGAGACCTTCAGCAACTCACTTGAGGTCTTTATGCCTTAGTTTCCACGTTTTAAGGTAAGCATAGTATTAGTACCCACCCATGGGGGGGTTGAGAGAATTAAATGAGGTGACGTGTGAAGCACTAGGAATGGGGCCAGCACACAGTAAGGGCCATGTACTGGCCATAGTCATTATTAGCTGGTGTTGGGAGAGGCAAGAAAGAAGTGAGTACAAGCCCCAGGAAAGACAAGCTGGCAGCCAGTGGACCCAGAGTGACCTGTAAGTCTAGTTGGCTTGTATCATTGAATTTTAAAATTATGAATTAATTTGCCTGCATTTAACAACTGGAAGATTTTATAGTAATATGACTATCTTGTTTCTTGGGAATAACTGAAAAATATGGCCACTCTCTTCTCTGCACTGACGCAAGATGCCCATCCACCATAGCTGGGTTAAACCAACATCTTTGGCTACATTCCCCACCACTCCTCACTACTTCCCTGACAATAAGGCCTGGCATTGAGTCTTACACGCAGTAGAGAGCCGGTTCTCATGCACATTTGTCATCTTTGGGTTGTGGACTCTGTACTGTGTGCTGCCATCCTGAGGAGGCAGTGGTAGGAGGGATGAGAAGACAGAGAGGATGATGGAGCCACGTAATTTAAACATATAGGAAATGGTGGGAAAGTGCGTGAGTGGCCAAATGGGGCCCTGTGAAGGGCTGAGCTGGCTGCTAGAGGCATGGGCCAGAGGCCTGGGTGGAATCCAAGGACAGATGGCGATGAGACGCAGCTGGGGATGGGGAGTGTTAGGCAGAGCTCAGGCCTACAGAAGCTGCCACTGCTGTGGAACGCTGAGTGGGGTTATGGGCCTTGGGCAATGAAACAGAGACTGATATCTGTGTGTGAGGCCTTTGATGGTGATTTAGTCTCCAGGACCTATGTTGGTCTCAGGTGTTCTCAGGAACTGCATCAGTTTGGGGTCCTGGGATCAATAATCTGGGGCAGGGCTGTGTTGGAGTTCAGTCTCTCTGCACAGATACCTGTGACAGTTTGTCAGAAGAATGAATGAATGAATAGATGAATAGATGAATGAAAGGAAACTAGGCAGGTGAAAAGAAAGAAGGGTAAGATGAAGGATGAATTTACTTCTTTCCCCTTTGCCTGGATTTTGGGTTACTGGCTGGAAGTTGTAAAAGGGGTCATTGGCCATCTACAGCCCATAACCTCACCTTCTTTTCCTTCATCCTGGCTCCCTTCTTCCTGAACAGGTAACAGGGCTCCTCCTCAGCAGTTCACTCACACCTCCTTACCCACTCTGCCTAGATCTGCAAATCTAGGCCTTTACTTCTGTGCTCCAGTTCTCTTTCCCTCTGCTTTAGATCTTGGTTATGTACACTTGGAGGAAAATAAGTCCATTGGATGAATATAATCTTGCATGTGAATGACTAATAATTCTTCACTCTGAAAAGCAATTTGTGTTTTCTAAAGGAAAATGCTTCACTGGCCCTGTGGTAGCCAGGACTGTCCTGATTCACCTTCTATTCAGAATTCACGTCACCTATGCAAGTGTCTAGGTGATGCTTGGGAACTCATGCAAGGTAGAAGCTAGTGTCACACAGGGGCTGGTGTACAGGCTGCACACATGTTGGGACTGTGCCTGCAAAGGTCCATTTGAGGTCCTTTGCCCCTATAACAAGACACCTACATGGCCTGGAAGGAGTTTCTCTTTAAAAACATATCTTGTGTGTGTGTGTGTGTGAAGTATGAGACATACACAGAAAAGTATACTAAGTAAGGATATACACCTTGAATTTTGATAAAGTGGCCTTATGCACATTTTTATTGGGACTTAGCCTGGGAAAAGAATTATTGGGACATAGGGTAGGTGCCAAGAGGCCATTGCTGGGTTGTACCATTCTGCCTTCTGCCAGCAGCATTAGAGGAGTTTCCACAGCTCTGCATCTTTGTCAACACTTGATATTGTCTGCTGTTTAAATTTTTTCTCTTGAGGTGGAGGTGGAAAGATATCTTGTTGTGATTTGAATATGTATTTCTCTGAATATTACTGAGGATAAGCACCTTTTCCTACGCTCTCCAGCCAGATAGTTGATCTTTTTGTGAGTTGTCTGTTCGGGTTCCTCCCAGTTTTTCGGCCTGTTGGCTTGGAGTGCCTATTGTTATTCAGCTGGAACCTTTGGTTCTTTTTCTAGTCATTTGAGACTTAGTTGGGTGGGGGAAGGGCACCAAGCCAACCATAGAGGTAAGAGCAGGGTACATCTCGCTGTGCCTGTTTTTATTCAGGTCAACTACCGGCAAAGCATTGACAAGCTGAAGTACAGCAGCGTGGCCAGCACTCCACAGATGGTTCAGGCTAAAATCAATGCCCAGCAGCTGAGCCACGTAAGCTGACTTGTGTCTGCCCAACCCAATGTGGGGGTCTTGTGGTGCTTGGGAGGCCTCTGGACATCTACCCCAAAGAGTGTACTTTATTAATGGTGGCATGTTTATTACAGTGCAAGATGATCCCCTTTATTTAAAATGTTTCATCATGTAAAAATTCAAATATGCTCAAAAGTAGAGAGAATAACCTAATGAATATCCATATTCCTATCAGCCAGCTTCAACGATTTCCAGCTCCTGGCCCGCCTTGCTTCAGTTGTATGCCTTCCTCTTCCCCATTCCCTATTCTTATGAAGAAAAGTCCAGGCATTATATAACCTAATCTGTAAATAATTTGGTATTAATCTCTAAAAGATCATAGAAAGTTAAGCATGTTTACATAATTTAATATATCACACCAAAAAATAAAAAAAATAAACTAGACTGATATTATCTGTGCCCAGGATTCAGGGCTAATTTCTGGGCAAGATTATTCCTCAAATGCTGCTGTGTCTTCCAGCAGGAACCACATGACTGGTTAGCTCTTTTGTGTATGTGATTTAAGATAGCTTTTTCCCAGTGTGTTTAATCACTTTTCATTGACTGTCTTGCATATAGTGAGATATTCTGCACTTCTCTAGGTTCAAGAATAAACTTGTGACAGGCATGGGTGAAATAGTCACAGGGAACTTTTGCAAAGTTGTGAATTTGAAGGCAGCTTTGAGTTGTTTTATTTTTTGTTTGGCATCTTTAGTATAGTAATCTAAAAACATACCCCAAATTACAGGCTTCCTTGTAAAATGCCTTTTCTTGAAATTCCTTCCCAATGATAGGTCTCAGGGGGAAAGAGGATGTCTTCCCCCAAGTTGTCCAATCCTTATAAAAACGTAGCAGATGTATTTTTAATCCAACAGGTGAATTACCGTGCTGATTATGAGAAAAATAAGCTGAATTACACACTGCCACAGGATGTACCTCAGATGGTGAAGGCCAAGACCAACGCTGAGCTCTTTAGTGAGGTGAGCACATCATGGGAGAAGGTTGTAGTGGGGCTTGTGTGTAGCTGCAGAAGTGAGATACCAGGATGTTCCAATAGGTAGGGAATGTGCTTTTCCTGAGAAAGTTTCATCAAAGATACACTTGTGTAATCATTTTGAGTTTTACCATCTTGTGGCACACTGTAATTTGCTAAGGATGAATCAGTCATAGTAATTTGTTTCTCATTATGTGAACATATGTACCATGTATGTGAACACACACACACCCATCACCACCATCAGTATTGTCATTGTCCTGGTGACTTCTAACTGGAGACTGTGTGGAGGCAATTTAAGTCTTTTTAAATTTTATTTATTTTAGAGAGGATAAAACAATAAAACCAACCAAAACAAACCAGTGTAAAAGATACAGGACTTCAAAACATTAACAAATCAACATGCCTTTTGATGTCTTCAAAATAGCTGCAGATAATTTCAGATATAGTAAAAATCAAACAGAACAGAATAGAATAGAAACAATAAAAACAAAGCAATGAATGTAATAAAGGACTTCAAAACAAGCCAATAGTAAATACAACATGGCTACCATAAAATATCTTGCTGTCTTTGAAACAGCTGTTCTGGCCATGAAATTTAACATAATCAAACAAAACAAAAGAGAATAAAACCCATCCCAACAAAACAATGGAAATAATATAGGACTTCAAACCAAGACCATAGGGCATCAACAATGATCATCACCCTCAGAAGGAGATCCCCCCAGATGCCATACTGTATACTGCTGTCCTCTGAACCTATGATCAGACCACTGGCCCTAGACCTGAAAAGTTAGTGGAACACCAAAGCACCACAGGCATCCAATTGCATTTCCATAGCTATCATGACAGCCTGTGTTTCCCCTGATAAGCCAGTCACTTACGGCGGAGAGGAGCTGGTATTTCTCATTTGCCAGCCTGTATGCCAGTAGGGGTTGGGATCTGTCTGTTCCAGTCTGGTGGCAGCCCACCAGAAGTCTAAGTTTTAAGAAGAGCAATCTTAATCATCTGAGTCTCTTGGTGTCACTGGTGATCTGTGATTAGGCTTCTCATACTGGATAGGATTTGTGGGACAGCAGAAGAATAAAAAAGATCTAATATTTTTTGAAAGCCAGCTCTACACTAGGATAGGTGAGATGAGTTGTTATGGAGCTACTATAAGCCCCAGGAGATATTGCAGAGCCACAGTTGGTGACCAGGATTTTGGTATCAGGTAAGCCTGGGTTCACGTGTTGACTCAAACACTTTTCTTTTTTTAAACCAGCCTGATCTTAGGTGAGCTCTTTAATTTCTCCAAGTTTTACAGGCCTGATGTGAAGATTTGCAGTGACTGAGTTGAAAGCATTAGGGAAGGGCTAGCGAACAGTAAGGTGTTGACCATATCAATACCTTACTTACTGATTTAGAATTTGCTTTCATAGACCAAATGCAGTTTACTCTTGCAGCAACTCTGAGCACCATAATATATTATTTTTGTAAATTGTAAACTAAAGCTCAAAGAGGTACTTAATTATCCAACATCACATGATTGGGAAGTAACAGAGCCAGCAGGAGCGCATGAGTCCTCTCTGTGTCCTGACCCAGTACCGTGGCCCCATATGGTCCAGTGGCTCAGGACCAATGGACAGTGTTCATAATTATTACTACCAGGTTGAGAGTAACAACCAAGACACTGGGGGCACAGAGTCAATGAAATCAACTTTGCTTTAAGGAAAAGTTTCACTTCAGCTCTTGGCAGGAATATTGCTCACGTGTGCTTTTGTTTTGAAGGTTAAGTACAAAGAAGGTTGGGAGAAGACAAAAGGGAGAGGATTTGAGATGAAGCTGGACGCCATGTCTCTGCTGGCCGCCAAGGCCTCTGGGGAGCTTGCCAGCAATGTAGGTTTCCCCTCATTAACTCAGAAATGCATCAAGAATGGCTCCAATAAAATGTCAGTGGTCCTGCTGAAAAAAAAAAACTGTTAACATTGTAAACATCACAATACTTTGATCATTTTCTGGGTTCACAGAAGACTGGGAGGTGTTTTTTCAGAATTGTTTTATTTGGACTTGTTAAGCCAAAACCCCACAGATGGCAAAGTTGCTCCTTCACTCACAGTAGACTTTCTTCTTTCTCTCAAGATTAAATACAAAGAAGAATACGAAAAAACAAAAGGCAAAGCCATAGGAACGACTGACTCCAGGCTTTTGCATTCCCTGCAGGTGGCCAAAATGAGCAGTGAGGTAAACACTTTTTCTACCTTCCAGCTGCAGCCTCTTACTTACAGTTATATGATATTCAGTTTTCTCTGGGCCTACTTCACCTGGAACTACTAACCTTTTATTTTCTACCTTCAATTCTTTTCTCTTTCTTGGCTGGTGTAAGATGTTATTGGTTTCTTTAAAGCAGATGGGGAGCCTGGCTATAAGATGGCAGCATCTTTTGATCAAGGTTCAAATGTGTTTGGTTGTATTTATTTATGCTGTAGATGTTCACAAGCCATTATTATGGACAAAATTCTGCACAAGATACTTGGGCTATAAGACTGAATAACTCTTAATAAGTTAACGAGCTTAGCTTTCCTGAGAGATTGCCCCAATCCACTTTCTGTTACCACAACAAGAAGCCTGAGGCTGGCGATTTATAAAGAAAAAAGTTTATTTTGGTATGTATTTCTGGGAACTGGAGAGTCCAAGTTTGGGCAACTGCACCTGGTGAGGCCACTGTGTTGCATTGTAATATGGTAGGATAAAACAGAAGGGCAAGAGATAGAACATAAGAGGTGACTTACTTTATGATAACCCATTCTCATAATAACCAGTCCAGTCCCTTTGGAGAAAATGAGCCCTAAGAGAAATGATATAACTTCTGGAGGTTGCCCAGCTGGTAAAAAGAAGGTCATGTTTGAACACAGGCTTGCCTGCTCTGCAGCCCTAACTTTATTATTGAGCCTTTTAAAGCATCTACAGAAAACATAGGAAAGGAGTCTCCTTCTGGAGCATCCAGGTAAAAAGAGTTCAGAAGGGTGAGTGACAGACCTCCAGAGATGAAGTACACGAACCCATAGCTCCCCAGCCATCCTGCCTTATAGGAGGGGCTGGGTTAAATCTTGTTGATCACAGATGATGACTTTGCCCGGAATGTCTCTCTCTCCCAAAAGCCTAGATATCTTTCCTGTATTTTTACATCACTCTAGCTAGAGCAGGCTCTAACTAATCAGCCTCGTTTTTTTGATCCATGCAAGGTTGAATACAAGAAAGGTTTTGAAGAGAGTAAGACCCACTTCCACCTGCCTATGGACATGGTAAATATTAGGCATGCTAAAAAGGCCCAAGCTCTCGCCAGTGACCTGGACTATAGGAAGAAATTGCATGAATATACCACACTGCCTGAAGATTTGAGGACTCAATGGGCCAAAAAAGTCTACGGACTCCAGAGCGAGGTGAGCCTCACTCAGTACTGGCTCTTCCCATGTGTCTTGCAATTAGAAGGTACAGTCTCAGAGTGATTTTGAACCTGAGCATGAGTCTATTACATAAATCAGAGGACTAAGAATTGCTGCTGGAAATATACAAGGCCCAAGGAAGAGAGGTGGGGAGGAGGTAGAGTCCAGGCAGTGGAGACTCGAGGATGGAGAATTAGAGCTCAGAGTCGTGGTGGAAGCCAAGATGGTAATAGTGATGAGCAAAGGAGAAGCAAATGTAAAGGATAAGTAAATCATGTAATTTTGGTAGATTGGCAAAGAAGGTCCTTTGTTAAAAAATAGAAGTGCTTTTCTTGGTAAGGCTTTGGTATGTCAGCACTAAGGTAGATCATGCTGTTCTTATTATCAGGTGGGCCCACTAGCCTTACCTCACACGTAGAGATCTGCCTGGCTGTAAAGGAGGAGAGAGAAGTTCTGGGAAGACAAATGCATGACTGAGGTTTTCCTAACTCTGCTCACTTTGTCCTGTATACACCTGTGTATCTGAAGAGCTCTTGGTGGCTTTCTCTTGCAGCTGCAGTACAAGGCTGACCTGGCATGGATGAAGGGAGTTGGGTGGCTAACAGAGGGGAGTCTCAATTTGGAACAGGCCAAGAAGGCTGGACAGCTGGTCAGCGAGGTAACTTGAGCTTAAGCTCCTGGCTTCCAGGAGTTCTCAGGCCTCCAGTCACAGAGAGTGACCTTTTCCTCTGCACCCTGGCCCCTGTTTTGTATTTTGGAAGTAATTCAAAGGGTAGTACTCTCTTTATTGGTTTGTACCTGTCACAGTCTGAATATAACTGCAGAGGCATTTTTAAGAAGTCTAGCAATTTAGGGAGCATGTGCATCCAAAGAATACCCTGATATAAAGATATATAGGTTGGTTATCCTTTGTCTAAAAATCTAAAATCCCAAATGCCCCCAAATTCAAACTTTTTGAGCACCAATCTGGTGCCACAAATAGACAATTCCATACCATGAAATTTTGTTTCATGCACAAGTTAAAAACGTTATATAAAAGCTACCTAAAGGTTATATGGATAGGGCAGATCTTAAAGAAATGAATTATGTATTTGGACTTGAGTCTCATCCCATTATATCTCATTTTGTATATGGAAATATTAAAAAATCTGAAAAAAAAAATCTGAAATCCAAAGCACTTTGGTCTCAAGCATTCTGGATAAAGGATGCTCAGCCCATAGTGTTTTCCTTGTGTTAAGGTGCTCTTCCTTCTAAAACAGAGAGGGCAATATTTGAAGTGAGTGTTCTGCTGTGCATTAAACTCACAGCAGACTTCGGATAAATCACCTAACCTTCCTGTCCCTTTTCCCCCACACACAAGATGAGAAAGTTGAACAAGATGCTCCCAAGGTCTCCTGTGGCCCCATCTTCTCAGCTCTTTGCACTATGGAAGGCTGCCTTTGGCAGCAGAAAGAGGAGGACTTTTGAAGGACATTTTATTTGAAAATGTGACTATTTTATGAACTTTATTTGGGATCTTCAAAAAGGATTCTTGTTTCAGGGCCAGGAAGACTGAGTTGGTGTTATCTCTTATAAATTATAATGGTAGTGATAAAGTAGCCACCACTTATGGACTGGTAGTGATTATGTAACCACTTGTGTAGTTGGTGGATTATTTGGAGTGTGTCATTACACATTTCTATTTATAGGTCATAATGGTCCTATGTTGGTAGGTATATGATTATCCTAGTCATATTCCCATTTACATATGAGGAAAGTAATATTCATGTTCCTCAAGTCACACTTCAAGTAAGTTGTAGAGCAGGGGTCTGTACTCAGCATATGGGGTCAAGTGTCCTAACTTTTGTCCACTAGGAAATATTGTGTCCTCAAAATGTGTTTAGTAATTTGTTCTTCTCTTTACCTATACACAACTTTTTCTCAGACAGGCATGCATTTAGAATTAGAATACAGTATATAAATACAGAGAGTTGATAAAAGAGAAAAATTCTTTGGGATTCTTATTACCTGTCTTCTTCAAGATTTGCTGAAATCCAGGTGGTGCCTTGAGAGATGGGAGGGCCCTGGACTGGAAGCAGCAGAGTAGCTGTCTTCCAGCCTCAGGAATGTCAATTTCTGCCTCATTTTTTGTGTTGCTTACTAATTTTTAAGGCCGTTGAGGGCCTGGAGGAGTTGATCTCTTTCACTTTTTTTTAAATGTGACAAAATGGATTCTTGGTTCCTCCATATGTACTTATAATTTGACCAATGCAAAGTCTTGGATGACTGGGAATTTCCAAGAGTGGAAGAGCGGTGTGATTTCCTTCCTCAGTAATGGGGCCAGAGTTTTCCTACTCAACACAATGGGACCAGGAAGGAAGTTAGAAGTCATTTTATAGAGTATTCTATTTAGAACTTTTTTCCTCCAAAGTGAGGAAATTTGAAGTTTCCAATGTTCCAGTCACTAACTAGGCTTTGTGGTGTTTTTAACACTCTTGTTGATGGGGCTGGGAGTTTTGGTGGCACCAGGCTGTGAGGTCATCTCTGATCCTCTAGTACATGATGCTACTGCTTCAGTAGGCTGTCCTCAGCAGCCACCTGCTGCCACTCTGGGAACCACAACAGGAAAACTAGAGAAACTAATCTTCAGGAAAGAGAAGTCTCCATGGAGGGACAGAATTAGCGCATTTGAATACTTGCCAACTAATTTGTGTTTCTGAGTCAGGGACATAATGTGAGATCAAGGCTTCAGTGACCTGGAAAGTGAGAAGCTGTGAAGGTGAATCTTACCTGACCTCTGGCCTTCAATTTGCAGCTCTTGGTCCTCCTTCCTTAGAGCAGATGCTTCCTGGATGAAGTCTTGGTACTATCATAGACCACAGTGATGGCAAAGAACTAAGCATGGGGGCTGGGGATTTAGCTCAGTGGCATAAGCACCTGCCTTGCAAGCAGGCGGTCGTGAGTTCGATCCCCGGTACCGATAAAAAGAAAAAAGAAAAAAAAAAAAAGTGTAAAAAAAGAACTAAGCATGTATGGCAAGGACCTGGCTTGCATAGAAAGCATGGCATTGAGGTCTCTGTTCATCCCAGAGCAAAACAGCTTCTGTTGTCTCTATTGTACAGTTGAAAAGAGGAAGTTCAGGACCTTGAGCTTAAGGGATGCATTCAGTACCACGAAACTGGAATAGAGATTTGAGCCTCAGTGTCTGTTGTAAAGCCCAAGGTTTCTCCACCTAAGTTTCCTATGATGGATCTAGATTTATAAAATGAAAATACCATATTGTACACAGTGAAACGTGGGATACACTAAAAAGAAAAAGTGATGTCCATGCTCAGTCACAGCAACAACAACAAGCTCACAAGGCAGGTTGATTTGGGGCTGAGTGGCTCTTCGTCAAGTTGCAGGAACATCTAGAACCTTTATCCCCCTCCAAGGAAATACTTGGGCCACAGAAAATGTGCATGTGTATGTTGACATTTGCATGGTGGTAGGAGGTAGCTCAGTCCTAACGATATGCGGGCTTTTTTTTTCCTTTGGGGACAGAAAGGCTATCGGCAGAGAGCAGACGAGCAGAAATTCACCAGCGTAGCTGACAGCTCCCAGATGGAACACGCCAAAAAGAGTCAGGAGCTGCAGAGCGAGGTGAGTCCTGGGCTGCCCTCTCTCCACCAAGCTGCTGTGTCATGAGCCTGGGCACCTCCGAGGACAACAGCAGGTGCTGCCTGGGTGATCCAGTAACCAAAGAGCCTTTCCTTTAAACAGGCTGAACCTAGCTTTCTGTCAGCTTCCTGGTTGTTTCTGGAAACTGGACACCAGGTGTTCCTTCCTTAGCCATCCACCTCTCACTGTCTTACTAGAGGTAGATTCAGAGGTGACCTTATTCCTTTTGTTTTCAGTATTTCTTAATTCCTATTTTCTTCTTTTGCTTTCTTCTCATCCAAGACTCTGTAATTTTGGAGCCAGTGCGTAATTATCTTGGAGAAAGATGACATTTCCTTGGGGGCTGTACACAGGTCCTGCTTATCTGAGCTCAAAATATGGGAGGCAGAGCAATGAGGTGCCATGTGCATTATTTACAGATTAGTTAGTGCTCAACACACACACACACACACACACACACACACACACACACACACGCAGGTGCCCTTGTTCCTATAAGCTCACCTGACCCTCCCTAGCTTCCTCTCCTAAATGTCTAGCTATACCTTCCAGATGCTTTTAGTATAACTCAGAGACAACAGAAAGCTGCAGTTTGGAAGCCTGATTCAGAGACCAGAAAAGAGAAAGAAAGCATGCTAAGTTTGTTATAGGTCAGGAGTTTTTTGCTATCATTTTGGTCACTGCTTTCTCCCTGGTGTCCGCACCTCCCAGAGTACTAGGTTGACTGTAGAGATGCAGGAGGCCGAGTGTGCTTCTTATCTATCCCACTTGGAAACCCTTTGGTGTAGTAGTTTTTACCCCATGACCATGGACAGTGTAGACGGCAAAAGCTTGGGGAAGGCAAGAGCATCTCAAGGAGAAGATGTGAAACAGATACCTTGGAGGGGTTTTCAGGCTGGCTCCTGACCTTAACTAAGTTTTGCTGTATTCTGTCACCTAGTGTCTGTGTGTGCGCGCGTGTGTATACAACTGTTTTTAATTATAGTTATTTGGGTGGTATAATGTTACACTTTGACCCATGTATACATCATGTAAAGATCAAATCAGGGTGCCTGGCCTTTCCACCTTTTCAAATATTATTGTTTCTATGTGTTGAGAATCTCAAGCTCTTTTTCTCTAGTTATTTTGAAATGTTCAATAGATTGTTTCAAACTATAGAGGCCCTATTGTGCTACACAGCACTGGAATACCTTGTCCGCAGCTCTATTTTGTACCCTACTTCCCACCCCCTTTCTGTTTTTCCTCCTCCCCACCATTCAGCCTCTAGTGACCTCTATTCTGCTTTCTACTTCTATGTGATCAACTTTTCTGGATTCTACAAAGGACTAAGATCACATAGAATTTATCTTCCTGTGTCTGGCTTATTTGGCTTAATGTCCCCCAGTTTCACCCCTGTTGCTACTTACAATGGCCCTCCCATTCCCAGCCCTTCCTCTGCTCCTCACCTGGTGACCTCTCCCAACAGGTGGCCTACAAGGCAGGACACAAGCATTCTCTCCACCAGTACAGCATCAGCAAAGACGAGCCTCTCTTCCTGCAGGCCCGAGCCAATGCTGCTCAGCTCAGTGAGGTACCATAAAGGGGAACGGGCAGCTGTGGGCTCTGTTCCCTTGTGTCTGTAGCCACTTGTTAACAAACCCACAAGGCACACTGAGTGTCAGCAGAGGCTACTACGTGTGATCATTCCAAAACCAGCTCATCCCGCTGGCTCCTTATCGGTGCTTTAAGGAGGAGGGAACAATGTGCCTAGCAATGAGCTGGTGGAGGACTGAGATGCTGAATAGATGATGGAATCAGATAGGGTAGTTATTCCAGGGTTCAGGTATGAGTGATGGCAGACGAGAGTAAGAACTCCAAGTTGGCTCCAAGTTGCGTGGGTTTTATCCTTGGTGCTACCTCTTACCAGGTTTGTGCCCTTGGGCAAATGCTTGACTCTCCATTTTCCTGTTAGCAAAATGAGGCTAACCCCATCCCTTCCTGGCTGGGCTGTCGGAGGCCTGAGTCAGATGGACACGCAGAAGCACCAAAGGAGAATGTCCACGATAGTTGTTCAGTGGAAAGCACCCGTTGTTCCATCTTCCCCTCCATGTGCAAGGAGGGGCTGCATTTGACTCTTCCTGCTCAGCCACCAGGTCTCTGGAATCCTGACCTGGGAGGATAGGGAAGAGAAATGGAGGGAGAACCAGACAGAGACAGGGAAGTGTACCTTCCCACAGATAGCCCTTGAAGCCTGGAGGTAGGAGCAGGGATGGAAATAAGAGGCTCAAGGGAAAGGTTGGGTGGACTGGAGGCTGTGGGGTCGGTGCAGGAATGAGGAGTGCAGCTGTGCCTCTGGGGACCCCAAACAGACACAAACAGACCACCCAGATGCCCAGAAGCCGGGAGGAGCAAAGCTGCTCTCCCTGTAGCAAGTCTTTGAGGCTTCCTTGAAGATGCCTAGTATTTTTTAAGGCTTCCTGAACTCCTGAATTTAATTTCTGAGGGAAGCCTTATATATCAAGGGACCTTAAAACCAGTGATATTTAGGCTACATGAATCTGGGGTTCTCAGTTTCTAGGGAGGAATAAAATCATGGTTTCCCTCTTAGAAAGGCCACGATGGGGTCTAGAGAATCTCTCTCACATGAGGTAATCTCTTCCCTTCTAAATCCTCCTAGAAACTGTACAAGAGCAGCTGGGAAAACCAGAAAGTGAAAGGGTTTGAGCTGCGTCTTGACTCCTTGACTTTCTTGGCAGCCAAAGCCAAGAGGGACCTGGCCAGTGAGGTGAGTCAGTCGCCGACTTGTTAGAGAGACCACAGGACCCTGCTGCTTTATGACCAGGAGAGGCTCTAAGCATCTGGGCAGGAGCTTTATCTTCCTGAACCTTGAGGTTTTTATCTGCAAAATAAGGACAACAACATTCACCTTGCAACGAGATGGTCATGCCAGTGCCTAGCAAGTTACTTGCCACACACTGATTCTCAGTAAGCAGGAACTGTTTTTAGTAGCAAGAACAATAATCCAAGTTCTTGTTTTTCTGATAAACTAATGTCCAGAGGTACGTGTTGACTTTCTAAAGATGTGAGGGCCTGTTCACAGTTAAGAGCATGGCTCTGGTGTCGGACACGGGATAAAATCCTGCCTGTGTCAGCTACTGGCGCTATTTATTTAACATTTCAGTGTCTTAGCCTGCTAGTAAGCTGATCATTGCAAAATGGTTAGGAGGAAAAGAGTTAAATTGACACACAGGAAGTGTTTTAGCATCCAGGGCAGTCTGTCAGGAGTCAGATGGGAGATGAGGAATTTGGGTCATCATGTAAATTACCTACTTTGATTCCTACATTGACAAAATCTTGCTTAAAAAAAAAAACAAAAAACAAAAAGCAACACAAAAACAAAAAAATAATAAGACTAATATTAGCTTAATGGTGTGGCAGAGTTTTATTCCAACATGGGCCCCTTTTGGTGTCATTAGCTGGTGCCACTTTACAAACTACTCTGTGGATGCAGTGGCCCAGGTTTGTTCCTGTCTAGCTCACAGATAGTGCAGTGGCAGATACTGATATTGCTGCTGACAGAGATGACAGTAGAGCCCAAGTCTCCTAAGGACCAAGATAAGGATAATGTTGGAAATAATGCCTATAGTGGCAGCGTGTCATGGTTTTCACATTCACTCTTGCATGGCCTAGTGTTTCACTTTGTTTGTTTGTTTGTTTGTTTTGTCCTCCCCACAGGCACCCTGCTCCTCTTATTCCCCATACTCCATCCTATGAGCTCCTTAGACAACAATTGTATCGTGGATATCCTGTGTCTCTTTCATGTCATGACTAGTTTTTATTTGTAATGTTCTCATTAGTACCTAAAAAGATATTAAGATGGCTTTCATGCAAATAACAGGCTACTTAAAAGGAACCTGGGAAAGAGTGACCTCAAATAGAAAAGAGATAGAATCTCACTAGAAAATTGGTAGAAGGTTGTTACTAAAGCTGACCACTCAGATGGTGCAGCCAAGGTGAAAAGAGAATTAACGAGCAATCATTTTGTTTTGCTGGTTGATGAAAGGAAATATATTAGTGGCCCAAATTAATTCTGATAGGATTCTGTCAGATGACTTCATAACTCTGCAGACTATAGTTTGAAGCGTAGCAGCTCCTTCAGGGGATTCTCATGCACTGATGCTCTGTTCCTGTTATTTAGGTGAAATACAAGGAAGATTATGAGAGGTCCAGAGGAAAACTCATTGGGGCCAAGAATGTGCAGGGGGATTCGCAAATGAGCCACTCACTGCAAATGTCCAAGCTGCAGAGCGAACTAGAATACAAGAGGAGCTTTGAGGACACCAAGTCCCAGTGCCACATCTCCCTGGACATGATCCACCTTGCACATGCCCAAAAGGCTCAGCACTTAGCCACGGACATAGGCTACAGGACAGTGCCCCATCAGTTCACAGCTTTGCCCACTGACATGAAGCTGGAGTGGGCCAAGAAGGCATACGGTTTACAGAGTGATGTAAGCTAAGTGTGTGCATGCTCACACGTGAGCACATGTGTGCGAGTGTGTGTGTGGTAGAGCTGATGCAAGTCTTTTGCCAAATACTTTGACTCGATGGTTTATGTTAATAGGTACCTGTGTCTTGATCCCTGATGGCAGCTCTAGCTTCTGAGTGGTCTCACTTTTGTTCAAACTATGCCCATTTTAAATTCTGTACTAACAAACAAAATCTCATAGAGCCATTTTTTCCTTCTTGGCATTCTTATCTGTAGTATGTTTTCTTGGTTAATTTTATTGCTAGGGGGCTACGTCTGTGACATCCCCCTGGCTGTAATCAGCCGTGAGAGAGCACCACTGATAACTGCCCAGGTTTTGGAACATGGACTTGCTCATCCTCAAAAACTTTCTTTCATTCCTCCATCCCTGGTTTCTGTTTCCTTGCTGTTCTCAGTGGGCTCTTGTACAAGACTGTGGGTGAAGGGGAAAGGTGGGGCACCTGCAGCCAGACAGCTAACCACAAGTGTGTACGTACCTGTATGTGTGTGTGCATGTGTGTACATATAGGCATCTCTTCTGGCATAGCTCTGTCATGATAGACTGATGATAATGTGCTCATTTGAGAGAGGTGCCCATTTAAATAGCTTTCCATTAAAACTACTCATTCAGTGTTAAGTAAAGAGATAAGAAATCTCCTCCTCCCACTGAGGGAAGCCTCTGTTGTCTCGTGAAATTCCCTCTGTTGACTTCCACCTGGGCACTGTTATGAATCCTAATTTTTTTCTCCCCTGCATGTAACTTTAAACAAGAAAACTGGTAACTCAGACAATGAGGATGGGTGTCTTTCCAAGGCAGACAGGGGTTTCATAATGAGGACCAGGGTTGACCTGGCCCCTCCTGCCGTCTCCACAGTAGAGCTGGGTGGCGTCTAGAACCACCTGCCATGGGGAGGGCTCCAATTAAAGGGGAAATTAATTCACATTTTGGAGCCCTACCTGTGACTGTGCAGAAACACATAAGACAAAAGTGGCATCTAATTTGACTCAGCTGGCATCACGGGTACATTGGGAGCTGTTAATAGCCCTTTAAATGTCTGTGCACCAACAATGGCCGGCGGTTTTTTTTTCTTTCTTTCTTTCTCTTTTGTCAGAACCAATACAGGGCAGATGTGAAGTGGATGAAAGGCACAGGCTGGGTCGCCACCGGGTCATTAAATGTGGAGCAGGCGAAGAAGGCAGGAGAACTCATTAGTGAGGTGAGGTTTCCTGACAGCGTGTAACAGGCCTGGCTGCATTAGGCGTGCAGCGTTTCTGTATAAAATTAAAATAATTTCCACTCAAAAGGCAGAGAAAAAGGCAAAGCCACATGAAAGGCCTCAAAACTCGGACTAGGGCTGGTAATTAGAGGGAAACCACATACCAAACACACACCAGTGGGGGCCCATAGAGCCCTGGCAAAAACAAAGTGGGTGACAAATGATATTATGAATAATAATGACAATCAAATGGGACTCAATTGCTACCCACCATCTTACCTTTTTAATGAAGGAACATAAGAGAGATGATGAAAAGGTATATTTATTGCACCCTGATAGCCCTTCTGTGGCTTTGCACACTCTTTCTGCCACAGTGTAAACAGTGTTTGAATATTCACGTGATGTCCAGCATGGTGACATGGTTGGTTCCTTTTTGTGGGTGGGTGTCTCACTTCTACTGGGTTTAAAACTCATTCTGGTCTCTGTGGCTGGACCCCAAAGCGTTGCTGCTTACAAAAAGAGCCATTCCTTCCCATTTCAGGACAGTTCCATTGAGCAGAAATTTTAAGAACCGTACTGGGGGGTTTTCAGCCTTAGCACTGTTTGCTAATTCTTTGTTGTCTGGGGCTGTCTTGGGTCTTGGAGAATGTTTAGCAGCATCCCTGGCCTCTAGATGCCAGTAGCTCTCTGCCCAATTGCCTCATCTAAAAAGTTCCCAGACATTGGCAAATGTCCTTTGGGGGGCAGAACTGCACTGAAGCAGGCGTCCCAGGGAGCTGTCCTCACACAGAGGGTGAACACCGGCCAAGTACTCAGTTCTGCCTCTCTTCGTGTCTGTCCTGGGCGGCCCTGGCTCAGAGGGCAAGTGGGCATTTACCTGCTGCAAAGTAGTCTGGTCTTCCTGGACTTCACTAGATGCGGAGGAGGCCATTAATGGCTGCGGGCCTGTGAAAACCTTAGCTTTGGCATTGAGGCTTCCAGGACCTTGTTGTGAAAAGATTTTCTCCCCTTCATAGGCAAAACAGAAAGACTGTTCTGTTGGCTCTTCAAGTGTGCCTATTGAGCAAATGTACCATTTACCCGACACATCCCAGACTTGATTAGAAAGGTGCTTCGCTCTGGTAGGACAGTTTTAGGCATCTTAGTCAGCACTCAAGGCCCAGAAGATCCTTGGACCTCAGTGGAGACAGCATTTCCCTAAATTTTTCACCAAATCGAAGAAAGGCCCTCTTTGGATGACCAAGAAATGCTTAGAGGGATAATTGTTTGGGTTTGAGGATTCACACTTCCAGACTTGATATTGGGGACTATTCATAAAAGGAAATGAAGAATAAAAATAGCTGTGTACATGGTTGAGACTTGTGCATAATTTCTGTAGGTGTCTGAGTCTGGCCGCCAAGAGATCTTTTGGAAACCATTTACCCCATAGTGGTTCTAATTTGTCACCTCATTTTTCAAACTTTCTCAAAAAAAATTCTTATCTTATTTGATGTCCTTGCATCCGACCCAGTCCTTTAACTTCAGTAAGTTAGACAAGACATCTTTCTGCAAACTTCCCCAGTGATCTCATTGTAGGGTGGTATACATCCAAGTTAGTGTCAAATTGGGCTTAATTTTAACCTTCAGAGAGAGCCATAAATGCACAAGTGTGTACAAGCAGGAATCAGCAAAGCTTTTCTAAAGGTAAATAATAGTAAATACTTTCAGCCTTGCAAATTATATAATCTTTATTGCAATCAGTCACAAAATGGCCACAGACAATATGTAAATAAACAAGTAAGGCTATGTTCCAATAAATTCTATTTACAAAAAGATGTAGCAGGCCAGACTGAGCTAAATCTAAGGCCTCCTAGCACAGTATACAAAAATCTAAATAGATAAATGAATGGATGCTCATCAAAGAGCTATTTAATTTGGGAAAACATAAATGTCACAGTCCTATAAAAAACAACCATTTAAGATCCCTGGAATTGTACTTTGATTAAAAAAATATTACTTTAAACATGATTTTCAGAACATTACAAAATTGAATACCCATGTCTCTGCTAGCACTTAAGTTTTTTGTAATGTTTTTTGTTTCAGTGTTTTTTCAAATGGTATAATGACTACTCTCAAATAATAGGACCCTTTAAAAAAATTATTGTTGTATTTTAAAGAATTAATACACATGTCAACTGAACCGGCTCTGAAGTGATTGGCTAGTCTGCATTCTCTGATTGTTAAATGCAGGGCTTTTGACTGTGACAATGTCTGCCAAGTCCTTTTGTGGAAGGAAAATAGAAAACTTCAATGGGTAACTGTAACTATGAATGCTCTTTCTTGCTTAGAAAAGCCAAACTAAGATATGTAAACAACTGTAACATGGTATTTGAAGCCTATAAAAAGAATCCTTTCCTAAGTGTGTATCCTACAGTATTTTACCGGTATAACCTAATTTTGAGATGTTGTCTTTCCACCAGGTAGAAATACTTTAATGTTAATTGACATGAGGTTATTCTTAAATTGAAACAAATATTAACCTGAAGGCACCTAGGATATAAAGATAGAGGAAGCAGAATAATAATTATGTTCACAAATTCACTCTAATCTCAAGCAACCTATGATTTTCTCTTTCAAATGGCATGAAAGAGCAGCACAAAATTCACAGCTTTGATCTTTTCCTGCTCAACAGAAGAAGTACCGTCAGCACCCAGATGCTTTGAAGTTTACCAGTATTAAAGACACTCCGGAGATGGTCCAGGCCAGAATTAGTTATACCCAAGCAGTGGACGTAAGTGATAATGTATATACATTATGACTCCAAGAGTGGGCTCTTCTTTCAGCTGTGCGATTGAAGCAGAGGGGATCTCTGGCGTGCTCCTTCTGTTGTCCTGAGGATGAAGGGGCGCCTTGTCCTTTGTGGGCCCCCCTTAGCAGGGGTGCTTGCTCATTAGGATGCAAATGGGGCGTTTCTGCACTTCAGCATGCCAAGTGGGGCTCCACACCCCGTTGCCCCATGACGCTCTTCTTCCTTTCCATTTGCATGTCTGCCGATTTGTCTGTGATGAGGCTTTTCCCCTCTCCTTTTGTGTGAAAGTGGTGTCATTAGAACTGAAATGTTAGCTGAAATTCTTACTAATTAGGATACTGAAACTATGCTTCAGGCTCTTTGGGACCCAAGGACAGGAATTGTTCTCTGATTTTCCAGACTTTCAGAATAATTTGGGTCAGCTTTATCAACATTAGTGTGACTCCTGAGCCATTTTCCAAATTTCTTTTGTAAAAGGAAACCAAGATTTGGCCCTTTGCTCCCCTCATGTGAGGTTTGCTAGAGACTAAATGAATGATGAAGTCCTATAAAAATTCATTTAAAACATGGATTTGGCTGATTCTACTGAGAGAAGTCCAGGGATCTTTGTGTAAGGCAGGTCTGCCTTTTATATATCTTAAAAACATTCAATTTACCATAAGCAGCATTTATAAAACTTAGGGTCAGGAGCTTCAAAATTCCCCCCTTTGCTTCCCAGCAATATGGCTGTGCCTTATTCTACAGATACTTGAAACACCTAAGTGCCTGTCACAATAAAAGATGGAATGATTCACAAGCTTCTGAGTTTAGGAATTTATAGTGTCTTATAAATTAAAATCGAATTGAATTCTGAGAAACGTGATGGTCAAAGGAGAATTTCTTGGAAGAAAAACAATCCCTGCTTTGTCCTTAGCCTAGCCAACTCTAGGGGGCACTGCTGTGATATGCAGAAACTTCGATAAGGCTGATGAGATTTGAGATAGAAAAGCCTTGTTTAGAAACTTTTTCTGGTGGCCAATGCCAACTCCTTGTGTCACTTCGAACTGCTTGGCTATTACAAGCCCAAATCAGACTCAACGGGTGAAGATTTAGGGCAGGGGATATTTAGGGCAAGTATGGTAAAGCCTGCCTGCAGAAGAGCCATTTCGCCTCCTCTAGAGCCCCCTCACAGCTTCGAGTTAATAATCTAATTACACCTCCATATGAGACTTTATTTTTTCACTTGACACTCATCTCAGCAGTGTACTAAGAGTGGAGTGTTCGTGGAGGGAAAAGTTTCAACCTGTCATGTTCTGAGCCAGGAAGCAGAACTGGAGAGAGAATGACATGCGTGTCACCGTGCTGGCTGTGAGATCTGGGTAGAGACAGGATGCTGGCGGTCATATCTCTCGGAGGACACGGCAGCTGCAGCTCCTTGGTCTCCTGGAGTGTAACTTGGCTGCTGGCTGCATGAGGGATGCTCTGGGTTTCATCAGAATCTCTTTCTATCCACAGAGATTGTACAAGGAACAAGGAGAAAACATAAAGCATCGTTATACGCAGACGGCTGATCTGCCTGAGGTCCTGCTGGCCAAGCTGAATGCCATGAACATCAGCGAGGTGAGGCTGACCAGAAGGATACAGGTCCATGGCTGGAAGTCAGGATGCTTTTGTGCACTGTGCCCCATGCTCGGAGAAGCCCGCATTGGTTCGGGGCTCGAGTCTCACCATCTTGTAACACACAATCACTTTGAACCGGGGACCTATGCTTTTGTTTGCAATGATAAAGCTGCCGACGATAAAGCTGGACTCACAAAAGAGTCAAGTTTGTTGGAAAGAATGAGCAGAACAAAAGCATCTGCCTTAGTGCCAAGGGCTTTTGGAGGAGCTGAAATTTGGGATCTCTGTAGAGCTGAGTATATCCAGCGACTGTGCCAAGGAAAGACCTGGGGGTTTGACTCCTCCCTTCAATAATCTGTCTGTAGGCCTTGCCACTATTTTTATTCTTGATACAGACATTTGGCTTTTCTTTATCTTCAGTAAAGAGCTATGTAAATATAGTCTTATGCCTCCTCCTTTGAATCAATTTGCTGCTCAGAAAGCTATGGGCCTGTCTGACGCCAAAGCCCTCCCCTCTATGGCTTTACCTACCAAGGGTGAGTGTCAGGCCAGAGCCACTTCTGCTAGTTTGTTGTAAGTCACAGTGATCTCTAAACCTAATTGCAGGGTTGGGGTCAGGGAAAGAATCTCACAACCAAGCAGATTCCCATTTTGGTGTACTGGAGTTCAGGAAGCCACCAGGTCACAGGAAGGTCTTCACTTGTGCACTTTCTCCCACCAGACCCGTTATAAAGAATCCTGGAGCAAGCTTCGAGACGGTGGATATAAACTGAGGTTGGACGCCATTCCCTTCCAGGCAGCGAAGGCTTCTGGTGATATCATAAGCGATGTGAGCATCTGGTGCAATGTTCAATCCTATCCAGTTTTCAGTCCTTTTGCCTCTCACCCCAGCCTTCTTTTGCCTGTGGATAATAGCCTCTCTTCTCCGAACTGACTGTGTTAGGGCAATCAGATAATGGCCACGAGAAAGAACATATCTTACAACAAAAAATTCCCTGGCCTGGCGTACAAAGCCAAATGCTGGACTGTAAACATGGACCCTGGACAGATGAAACACACCCTCCACCAAGAGTTTTCACAAAGCCAGTCTGTGTGAAGAGACCGCTAACAATGCCTGCACCTTCCTCCAGCCTGGGCCGCCGAGTGCTAACACATCCTGCCATTTCATAGCTGAGCCCTTTAGTCATTGGGAGTCTTGCATATGAAAGAATAGACCTTTTGACGACTCCCTCGCATTTTCTTTTAACTCACCCAGTTACTGTCAAAAGAACAAAACATTTTCGCCCAATACCCACCTCTGCCATTCCATGTCCCTTGTCCCCGAGCTGTTACTCTCTCCCGCTCTCTTTCCCTTTAGTACAAATACAAAGAGGCGTTCGAGAAAATGAAAGGACAGATGCTTGGCTCCCGGAGCTTGGAAGATGATCTCAGCCTTGCACATTCAGTGCATGCGACCTCGCTGCAGAGTGATGTAAGTGGGAGGAAATGCAGCAGGGGCCGTGGGGCCGCACCTAGCCCTGCTCCAGGCATGGACCCCTGGTGTTCAGCTTTGCGTTTCCCTCCACAAATGGGATTGGATGAGTTGACTCCTTAGTTCCCTTCTGAGCTGGGAGTTCTTCATTTTTTTGTTTTGGGTACTGGGAATTGAGCCTAGTGCTTTCACACTAAGCTATACCTCCAGCCCAGTTTTCATTTCTTATTTTGATAGGGGTCTCTCTCAGTTGCTATGTTGCCCAGGCTAGTCTCCTGCCTCAGCCTCCTAGAATGCTGGGATTACTGGCATGCACCACTACACCTGGCTGCATTCTTTGGTTAAGACCTGTGGTTATACAGTGGGTCCTAGGGGCTGAATTTGGCCTGCAAAGGCATTTTATTTGGTCTGTGCAGTGAGTTAATAGCAAACATTTAATAATGTGAAATTTTGCATCAAAGTTCTCAACTACTACCTAGAAGCTGGACTGAACACTTAAAGGCTCAGTGGATCAAAACTGTTCACTCATAGTCCTTGCAGAAGAGGCTCAAGTTCTCCTGATCATGTAGCCACTCCGCCTTCCCAACTTCTTGCTTTGTTTATTTGTGTTTCCTGTGCAAGTATAGGCATCCAATTTGCCACCACCCTCGGACAGTCCACTGTGACCCTGTCTGCCGGCCCATGTGTATATACACTGTCTCCTTGTACATATGTGAGGTGGCTACTGTCAGTGATGAAATTTACATCCAAATCTGTCACAGAAGACTTGATACTCTCATGTGCGATGTCTTATATAACCATCAAACTTTCTCTAGGAACTCTGCTTTGTCATTCATCTTGCCTTATGAAGAAGGAGACTGAAATTCAGTTCCTTGTCTAAGGCCAAGATGCGGAGACAACTCCTCCTCTCATTCCCTTTCCATAGCTTCATGATATTGCCTTTTCTGTGTTTTTCCTTCCTGTCCTGGGTGGCTGACCTATGAATATGAAGTTGGGTGTGAACTATTCTTAGCCTTGTGCTAAGTACGAGTGAGAGTAGGACAGGTGGACCTGGGAGTGAGAGGTTAGGGCCAAGGGATTGAAAGGGGATGGAGAAAGCGAAGAAGAGGAACGCTACTGCATCTGAATCCCAAGGAAACTCTGAGCGAGTTTCACAGACTTTTTGTTCCCAGAAGTGTGTGAAGTGGTGATATGGAATGAATGACGTCTCCCCTCCTTTCCCTGTATGCATGTTGAGTTTAGGGCACATCATTCATCCAGGGCTGATTCTTCAAGCATCCACCTCTCTGCTTGTAGCTCCCAGACTGACTAGGAAGTTGTCTAGTATTTTGAGGGAGTTCATCCTCATGCTAGCAAGACGATCTGATTCTAATCCTGAATTTAAGTGGACAGCAAGAAATATGTAATAGTGGGTGTTCAGGGTTGTTGTGCATCTTCTGAAAACTGGGAAGATCTAAAGCACTGAGTGAGAGTCCCCGGCATTATATCTATGCCTTGAATGTCTGTGTTTTCTCCTGTTGGAGGACCTGTGGATCTTCTTCTCCCAGATCACTCCAAACCTGGAGTGATGAATATCAGGGCCTGGTGTCAAGCCCTGCTTAAGGCCAGTGCCTGAAAGAAAGGAACATGGCTTCTGCCAGGACCCCCAGCCCCTCCCCACCCTGAGCTGACCTGGGACAGTTTACTGCTGATGTTCTCCCTGATGGTCCCATTGTAAACAGTGACTTTCAACTTGTTGCTGTTGATCTGCCTGGCCCTCTAGGTAAATTACAAGAAAGGCTTTGAACACTCAAAGGCACTGTTCCATCTGCCTCTGGACATGGTAACCCTGGTGCAGGCCAAGAAGGCTCAGACCCTGGCCAGTGACCAGGACTACAGACACCCGCTCCCCCAGTATACACCATTGGAGGAAGACCTGCGGCTGTGCTGTGCCAAGAAGGCTCACAAGTTGCAGAGTGAGGTAAAGGGGGCTGACCTCTCCCTGGGGACCCTTCTCCTTGCAGGTCTGACCATGTGGGAAGCAGTGATCTGCAAGCCTCTGTGGGCTGGTGAAGCTCTGAGGTCAGGAGTCCCAAGCACACAGTTTCTTTTGCGACACAACCTGACTGCTCTGAAGCATAATCACACTCATCTCTAAAAGCAGCCACCACATACTGAATATTTCAGTTGAATCAAAAGCATTATGTTGTCTCACATCATCTCATTTAATCCTCATGGTAACTCTGTGTCAAAAGTCGTCACCCCACATTGTACAGAAAAATTACAGAGGTGCCAAGGAGGTAAACTGCTTGCCCAAGATCACATAACTGCGTCTGAGAAATGGGGGTGCTGGGTTTGAATTGAAGATTCCTTTCACGTTCGTGATTTTTCAGGTTCAGCATTTGCCAGTGGTTTTTCCTGGACCCTGGGATGGATGGAGGGTTCCTCTGGGTGCCACCTACATGCCTGTCCATTCTTCTGGGGAAGCCTGGGCTGTGTTGAGAGGGATTGTTCAGAACCTGTGCCTCCTGATGACCCACAGCAGGGAGAGGAGGGCTCAAGGAAGGCTGGGAACTTAGGGTCTCAGAGGACCTCCTTGGGTCCTTTCACGGCATCTTTAGGTTGCTCTGCCAAGCGCACTCCACTGTTTGCAGCATGCAGTCCTAGGAGGGCTGGGAAGCATAGTTTGCACTTCCACCAAGGGGCAGCATGCACTTCCAACAGACAGCAGTGTCCTGCTTGGTACATACACACCTGGCCCAAACTTGCTAGGTTTGCACTCAATGAGATTTGCAGGCAATGAGCCTGTGTAGGGAAGCAGAACACTACTGCACTGAACCGCTTTCCTGATGTGAGCTGGGCGACGCTCATATCTGGTGTCTGTTGTCTTTTGGAGTTGTATGTCTGTGTACAGCGTTTACAAGTGACACCAACTGTCAGGAACCCGAGAGCAGCTGTAGAATGGAGGGAGCTGCCAGGCGCATCTCAGGGCTGTTTGTCACTTTAGCATAGCCTTGCTGGCTCTGCCTGGCATTGTGATGGCAATTGGAAGGCTGCACGCCCAGGGGGTGCCTTGCTGGCTGAAGGGAGTGAATCTGGGGACTCTTTAAACTGTCATCCCCAATCATGCAGGTGCACACACTTGCCCTACCCACGCAGATTCAGATAGACCTTTGCCAGATTATTCTGGATTCGTTTATCAGTTGCGTCTTAACCTATGATTAATTGATGCCTCCCGGCTGCTGCTGGGTTTTGTTTTAGAAGACCTGTTAAAACGTTTGCATGTTCACCCCAGCAAGACCAACTTCCTAACACAATCCACTCTGGGGTTTATTTTTTGATGGTGCACATTAAAATAAAATCCACCTTGCATCCCTATAACAGCCACTTGGAGGCAAGCAACGGCTGAATTATTTTCTTCTGCCTCCTTCCATGAGCATTTACTAAGGAGCCTCTGCATGACTGTTGGGTAGAGTAAATCTGAGAGAGGGGCTTGGCCTTGAGTTCTTTTTTATTTTTATTTTATTTTATTTTTGTCTTTTTCGTTTTTTTTATCGGTACCAGGGATCGAACTCACGACTGTCTGCTTGCAAGCAGGCACTTATGCCGCTGAGCTAAATCCCCAGCCCCTGACTTTGAGTTCTAATTATGATGTTGTTGGATGCTACCACAAGAGCCCTCTGGCTTCTCTTTGCTTCCTTGTTCTGAGAGTTGCGCCTTTCTGATTCTCCACGTTGTTACTTACAGAATTTGTACCGCTCGGACCTGAACTTTATGCGAGGCGTTGCCTGTGTGATCCCAGGCACGTTAGAGATTGAAGGGCGAAAGAAAGCATCCGAGCTCATCAGTGAGGTAACCGGGCATGCGGGAGGGGCACAGGGTGGTGGGGATGTCACAGTCAGTCTGTTTTCTTCTGCTAAGGCCTATTGCAGGGTGAGCTGTTAGCAGTAGGAACTCACTGCCTCCACTCTTGCCTGCCTTCTATTCATACTGGATTCTCCATTCCTAGTGGGTGCCTCTTAACTCAGCTTTGTGGATATCAAGTCTGCTCCTCTGTTAGCATGACTTATAAAATGTGCTTTCCCTGTGTGCCTTTGAAGAGTGGCCCTGTGGTACAATGCAAAGCATATAAGCTTTGGAGAAAGAGATTGAAATCCCAGACTAGTACTCATTTGCTGTGTGACCTCAGACCTGTGACCTGCCTTCTCTGAGCCCTGGATTCTTAATTAGTCAAGTGGAGAAACTCAGTCCTCTTCGGTTAGTTTTTGTAAGGATGAACACTGACCTAAGCACTGCATTTCTATGGCAACTGTGTATGAAATGGTTGTGAGATGCTTTACCTCCCTGGTGAAGGCCTAACGCTCCTTCTCGCACCAGTGAGTGTTTCATGGGCATCGTCCTACCCTCCTCCCTGCTTCTCCAGCTCGGTGAGTGCAGAAGTCACATGGCAGGTGATCAAATGCACTCTGGAGCTCTAGTCTGGCAGCTTGTGCAAAATGAGATGCTACCTAGTCCTCTGAGCTGTTTCTGTCCGAGCTTACAGTTCACAGAGCCATCTTCTTTTTCTTGGTGTGTGAATTCAGAGTAAATACCGTCAGCATCCTGGCTCATTCAAGTACACGACTGTGACGGACACCCCCAACCTCCTTCACGCGAAGTTCAGCAACCAGATCACCAATGAGGTAAAAATCTTCAGGTGGCTTTTTAGCAGCCGTGAGGTTGTCAAAAAATATGTGTGAATGTTGATGGGCCGGAAGGAGGGGATCAGATGTGCGTGGAGAGAAAGACAGCATTGCACAGAGCCCATGTATTTTCCAGAGGGCAAGAAGGCCAGTCTCACTGCCCTTGTGCAGGCTAGACCAACAGCACTGGCATCCCTGGGAGCTACGGGCTGTGCCCAATCTCAGGCCCTAACCTGGAGCTGCAGACTGCAAAATCAGTTAACAAGAGCCTCACATGATTCCTTTGCCTCTGAAGTCTGAGAAGTTATAGTCCATAGCTCAGTTGTTCTCTCTAAGCAAATATTAGCTGACCAATTTTACCTTGTCATCCTGATGGTCATTATAAGGAGGACTAATTTGTCCTCCTTATAATGAAGGACAATTTACAGTGCAGTGCTTGTCAGGTTGCTAGGTGACCCTCCACATCTTCTTGATACTAGTTGATTCAGACTTTACCTGCAGAGGGGAGATGTAGGAGAAAGAATCTCATGCCAGAAAGTCATCTTTCCTGCCCTATTGCTTTTACTTCTTGCAGTTGCTGAGCTACAGGCTTGAAATAGGTGAGCTGAGCATAGATATAAATGGTGAATCATCTTTAGTTTTTAAGACTCTCCTGACTCTAACTTTTAGAAGTCAAATGATACTTGGCTATTTATACTGTTAACTTCCACATTCATCCCAGGTAAGAAAGTAAGAAGTAGAAGCTGTAGAAAAGGAAATCCAAAGAGGTGGAAATTCAGGATGTGAAGCATTGATGTTAGCAGCTTTCCATCCTTATTTTACTTTTCTGGATTCTTTTGTGCACTGTGTACTATGAGGCAGTGATGACCTTCAGGGTGGAGGTCTGGCCTTGGAGAATTTAGCAAACCCAGTCCCAATTCTAATCATGGGTGGTGGACCAGGATAGCCAGGTCAACCCTGGCAAAAGTCCACTCATGCAAAGGAATCTGGGGCATTAGGAGAGGATGCAGATCAGGGCTGAGCACCTCCTGTCTGCTAGGTAGAGATTCTCTACATTTTCCAGGTCTAGCATTGTGTTGTGGTGGTCCTCAAGGACAAGGTCAGTGGTGTGAGGACCTCAGTGATTAGTATTCTTAAATATATTTGTCATTCCTTGGCCTATTTTGCAAAGCACATTTCAGTGGTTTTTTCCCCCACTCCTTTTGAGTCATAGAGCAGGTCTATTGAAAGAAATGTCTTCCCGAGGTGACAATGTACCTATGCCACTGGAACGGCCTTTTATTGCCTTGTTTCCCCAGTTGCGAAGGAGAGCCTCCCAGCACTGCACAAAGCACAGTGATGACCTCTTTGCCTTTTTCTTTTGGGCACAGCGCCTCTACAGAGCAGCTGGAGAGGATGCGCGACACCAGTACACCACGACCCTGGGCCTGCCCGAGTTCACCCGAGCAAAAACAAACGCAGCCAATCTGAGCGATGTAAGCCCATCTTCCTACTGAAGTTCAAGCATACTCCACAGCCATGCTTGTGTCGGTCATCTAGCGGCAAGCTTTCCGGCATCCATAGAAGCTTTTAAAATGTGTGTTCTAGATGCCCATGTTAAATCCACATACCTTTTCACAAACGTGTTACATGCTTATGTGTGCTCAGAGACCACCACAGGGTGTGTGCTAATGAGATTTTCTCTGCAAAATAGAAAGCTTTTGTGGGACAGAAATTGATCCTGGAACACTGTACTGCAAATGAAAGGAATAGCTTTTGTTCACTGATTTGCAGAACTTGCTTTTTTTCAAAGATGTACATATGTTCCCACTTTAGGCAAGATACCAGGAGTCTTGGCGTAATCTTCGAGCTCAAGGCTACAAGCTGACAATAGACGCGCTCCCCTTCCAGGCTGCACGGGCCTCGGGAGACATGGCCAGTGATGTGAGTGGAATGCTGTGACCTTCTGTCTTGCCTCATATCTGTTAACTTCATGTAAAACAGGGTCTACGGCTGATTTTCTTGAATTAAAGCAAATCTATAACTGTGTGAGACAGGATGTCACCTGCAGAATATATTAGTTATAAACGAGATCCTTTGACAGAGGGAGGAAAAAAGAGGCTCTGTTAATCGCAAGCTAAATTCGGCAAAGGTCTCTAGCCAGAAGGAGCTACGGACTGATTTCAAATTGCAAAATCTAGGCAGCAGTTCCCCAGAGCATGAGAGCAGCCTGATGCGCAGCTCCACCCTAAGTGAAAAGAAGACTGGGCTGGAACTCACCAGGCTGGAACACACTTCTGTGCAGCTCTCTGTACTTCCCCTCGTCTGTGTTGGGATTTGCCCACTGCGTTTCAGCCACTCTGTTGATAACATTCATAGCTTTGGGACATGAAGGTGACTTTCTCTTTCCCACAAACAAATTACTGAAAATGTGGACTTCAAATACATGGATCCTGTCTTTTGGGTTTAATGTTTTGCCAAGTGTAAATGGCTAAAGCACAAATTTCTCTTTTACTCTTTTTTAATAAATTCCTTTTGGCCACAGGATGTGTAAGGGGGGAGGGTGGCACCCTGACTTTGGTTCTGAGGATCTGGCTTTAATTAGATAGGAAGAATGGAGCGATGTTTTAATTATTCATCTGCCAGGGAGGTGGACATGTTCTCTGACAGCCCCCACACTGTGGTCTTGCAACCATTACCCCCTAATGTGAGAAGAGGGGATTTTTCTGGGGTCTGCTGGCCCCTGACCAGCTGCTCCTCCTTCCCAGTTTCTCTACAGGCACGACTTTGTGAAGGAGAGAGGGAGGCTCATCGGGGTGCGGAGCGTGAGTGAGGACCCCCGGCTGCAGCACTGCCGGCGCATGGGCCAGCTGCAAAGCGAGCATCAGTACAAGAGGGAGGCAGCCAGCAGCCAAGCTCAGTGCCACCTGCCCTTGGACATGGTGCACCTGGTCCATGCCAGGAAGGCCCAGGCCCTGGCCAGCGACCGTGACTACCGGACCCAGTGCCATGAATTCACGGCGCTGCCCGAGGACCTGCGAATGGCCTGGGCCAGGAAAGCCCACGCCCTACAGAGTGAGGTGAGGGGCCTGTGGAAGGCAGCCCAGTTCACCTTTCTCCGGCCTTCATGCCAGTGTTTAATCTTCATATCTTCCTTGGCCTTCTTGAGCCTCCCTGGACCGAATAATGACTTTCCTGGCCTCTGTCATCTAGGTTGGAATCATTTATTCACTTATTTACACAATATTTATGGAGCAGCTACTATGTTCCAGGCACTAAGCCAGGCCCTATGAATATAGCAGTAAACAAAAGAGTAAAAACTTTCCATTATTCTGAAACTTCAATTATCCTAAAAGATGACAAGCCAGGATGACTAGGGAAAATGTAGTATGTCATATGGCAGGGCTTGCTTTGGAGACAAATGGAGCAGGAAGGTACGGTGGGAGTATGTGTGTGTGTGTGTGCACATGAGCATTTAAAATAGGGTATTAGCGGAATGCAGTGGTGCATACCTCTAATGCCAGCACTCAGGAGGGTGAGGCAAGAAGATCTCTGAGTTTGAGGCCATCTTGGGGTTCCACAGTGAGTTCAAGGCCAGTTGGAACTATATAGCCACTCTGTTTCTTAAAAAATCACAAGATAAATAATAAAAAAGTAGGGCATCAAAGTAGTTCTCATTGGAAAGGCAACGTTTCAACAAAGGATAAAAGGAGATGAGGGAAGGTACAGAAAATTATAGGCAAGCAGGGCAGCATGCTCAGAGACAGAGCCTCAGCATAATTGGGGCTGGAGAAAAGCAAGGGGTGGCTGAGTGGAGGAATTTCAAGGGGGTAGAGTCCAAGAGAGAACAGGGCAATGCTGAGGACAGGCAAGGTGGAGGCGGCCACGGCGGCCGGTGTTGACTGACCGCTTCCTGTTGCTCTGCCTTTGCTGCCGTTCTGAGGTAGGGCCAGTTGCTATTTCCTGTTTTGGTTGTGAGGGAGGGAGATACTGAGGCAGGACTGGCTGCAGAACCTACGCTCTGAGCTCTCCTGCTTTCTTTGAAGGAGCTTAGAGGCAGGGCACTGTGCTCCTCAGGGTACCCATGTAGCTTCTGAGGCTCAGAAAAGGGAGGGCTTTCCTGAGCAGGTTGGGGGGGGTGGTCCCAGCCCCTCGGATGATGCGGTGGGCTCCAGATTACAACTCCGAGCTGCAAATCCCAGCTGCTCCACACTTGCTGTGTGAGCTCGGGCAAGTCTTGGCCTTATGAAGCCTTGCCAAGCCATGGGGACAACGTCATGGAGCACAGTAACGGTGACAATGTGATTACTAGCAGTGTTTATGGTACTACGACTCTGTAATGTCGTAGGCATACTCCTTTGTTGGGGGGGGGGTGTTGCCCTTGCATTGCAGGATTCTGTGCAGCATCCTCTGGGTGTCTATGGAACCAACCAAAAACATTTCCAAATACTGTCCAGTGTCCCAGATGACAAAATTCACCCTGGTGGAGAATATGGCTCTCGGTTGAGTACTGGTCAGTGTGAATGAAGTGCTTCCCATGATGCCTGGGCCACGAACAGATGCCTAAGTACTAGCTGAGTCCTAATAGGTGCCCCTCCACCAGTGTTCCCAGTGTCAGTTGCTTTCCAGGCAATGCCTGCTCTTGATTATATATTGTAGGAGGTGGGATGTTATGATCACATGACTGGTTATATTATTTATTGATGTCATGATTAACTATAATTTGGTGTGCTGTGATGTCGCATGATTCACATCAGAGAGCGAGTGGAGTAGTCTGAGTTCCTCAGAGCTACATTGGGAACTTAACTACCACAGTGCCCGCTCAGGCTCCCTGTAGAGTCCTTGTCCTAGCAGAAGGCCTTCCTAAGACCCTAAAAGGGTGACCCTCCAGGGCCCAACCAGGGACCCTCTGGTCACAACCCATTATTTGGAAGAAAAGAAGTCTTCTGAGACAGGACAGGACCCACGAGGAAGACTGAGGCTTCCTGGGAAAGACAAGGAGGTGGAGCCAGAAGGTGGCGATAAGAGACAGCCTTGTCACCTGCTGGCTGAGTGTCCTCAAGTGACCGTTTCACTTTCTAGAATCTCTCTCTTCATCAGAAAGACAAAAGTTTGAGCTGATCCATGATCTTAGCTTTTGAGATCTAAGAAAAAAAATCTGTGTTTTTAGTTCTGGGAATTGAACCCAGGGAGCTGTAAGCTTCATCCTAGTTTGCTATTATTACTGTTGTTATTGTTTTTATTTATTCTTAGTAAGGCCTTCCTAAGTTGCTTAGGCTGTACTTGAACTAGGGATCCTTCTGCTCTACACTCCCAAGTATTCAGGGTGCCACCACACCTAGGAAAAATGTTTAAATAGTAGGATCTATACAATATCAGATTTTATTTTACTAAGGAAAAAGAAATCCTGAAGGTGTGATTTATATAATTGCTATTTCTGAAAAGAAAAGATATTTAAATACCATTTTAAGAAACAGGCCATAATCCCAAAAGGAGAAATGGCAGGATACCTATTAATTTTTTCAGTACTGGGGATAGAACTCAGGGCCTCCTGCATGGTAGGCAGTGCTCTCCCACTGAGCTAAATCACCAGATCTTTTCATTTATTTATTTTTAAATTTTCATATAGGGCCTCACTAAGTTGCCTCGATCCTCCTGCCTCAGCCTCTGAATAGCTGGGATTACAGCCATGTGATACCATGTCCATCTTATTTGTATTTTCAGACTACAAATTGGTTATTTTAGAGGTCTGCATTCCAAGAGATTATAAAGAGCAGACTTCAAAATTCCCAGCTTCTTCTGAGGTTTTATCTTTATGATGGTCATGATCAGAAGTTTAACTTCACGGGGGTATATCGCACACAAAAAGAAAAAATGCTCAATGAATTTTATTTGCTCACTGAAAGTTTCCTCATCTTGGTTCTTTCTGACCTTGATATTCCATGTTCCTTTCATGCACTCTCACTAGGGCTGCAGACAGTTGTGCCCACCCTGTATGGGGAGTGACCTCAGGTAGATGCTTGGGGCTCCCCTGGCTTTGTTTCTCCATCAGAAAGAACAACATTAATAGCAATAGCAAAAATGTATGGACCCTTTACCCTGGGCCAGGTATTAGTATAAATATTTAGCAGTTTCATTTAACATCTCCATAGGTTCTGTAGTATCTATATTTTTGTAGATGCAGCAATGAGGCACCAATAACCTCATAACTTAACCTAGGCTATAAGTGGGCAGGGCACGCAGCTAGCAAGAGGCAAAGTAGGTCTTCGGCCTTGGACTCTTGTCCCCTGAATCTGTCTCATTGGCTTCCCCAGGCGGCTGGGTTATGAACTGAGGTGCTCTGGCTTCTGAGTCTGGGGCCTTAATCATTACCAATGTGATTTGCTCAAAGTGTGTAGCCCATAGCTTTCCTATCCAAACATCATTTGAACACCAACGTTGTTCTTAGATGAAAATGGAAACTTTCCTTTGCAAAATGAGATAATGATCTAAACCAAGCTCCTGCGCATCATGTAGTGATAATAACATTTTTGGTATTAGTTTTGTTTTTTTGACACAGGGTCACACTGTGTAGTACAGGGTGGCCCTGAACTCACTATGTAGCTGGCTTTGAACTTGCAGAGACTCTTGCCTCGGGGTCCTGAGTGTTGGGGTTACAGAATGCACCACCACATCCAGCTATAACATTTCTGCTTGTGACAAATATATGCCTTCTTGTAGACATCTCCTGGGTGTACCTACTTCCATCATTCCTGTGTTCATGAGAACGCAGGGACTCAATGCTGTAGCTGGTATATTTGCAACCCAGGACTGTGAAATAGGGGCACTAGGAAACCCTACATGTAAATCTGCAGATGACTTCCACACCTCAATCTGTGTAAGGAAAAGGGGTGAGGTAGCATTTGAGGAAGCCAGATTCAGCTGGGCAGTTTGGGAAGGTCTATTATTATTTTAAAGTCATCCTTCAAAACCATCTTCAGGTAGCTGACTCCTGTCTGCTCCCCTCTTTTCCCTTCTCCCCTCTTTTATCCTAAAGTCTGGGGCAGGTGTGTTGTTTTTAGGGTCTGCGTGAATAGTCAAAGCTGGGCCGGGAGCTGAGATATCAATAGACAATCCATTTATAAGAGAGTTTGAGGCACAGTTAGATCTTTGGGGAACCTGCATCTTGCTTTCTGACTTACCTGCAATCGTACTGTTCAGCTCAACAAAAGGCGAGTTGAAAGAGCGCTCCCCACTTCATCTCGCTTATGAAAGGAGCAAACCCTGGCTGTGAAGAGGCCCTGTAGGATTATTCTCTCCAACTTAGAAATTTATCCAATTTTCTTTGTTCTTTATCAGAGTAGAAGGCAAAAGCTTTGCCAGTGTAGACTGAAAGATCGCGGTGTAAAAAGCAATCTTACTGACATGGGGTTTTGAAACCTGGTCCCGAGCTTGAGTGATGTCTCCCTTCGCCAGTCAGCAAGCAGAGTCGAATTTGCACAGGAACATTAACCAGCAGACAGTAGATCAGAAACGGACCCTCTTTGAGGCGCGCTGTGAGGAATGCTGTGAATCCTGAAATGAAAGAAAACTAAAAAGGCCGAGAGGCTGATTTCTGGAGTGATAGTTTGCGTTACAGCAGAGGTTATATCTAAATTAGAGAAACGCCATCAACTTCCTTTAGATCCAAACCTTAGATTTCCTGAGAGAGTTTTTTTCCCCCCTCAACCTTTAAAATGCCTAATTTCCATAAAGAGAAGAAGAAAGGCATTTGGGTGACTGTCTCATTGCAGATAATGTGGACAGATCAAGGAATCATAGCAAGATTTGATATATTTAGGGGTCTCTCGATCAGACCTATTGTCTCGGAGCACCTCTTAGTATTTCCTCCCAGTACTCATCTTCTGAGCCTTTAAAATAAAGAGAGGAAGGCTTAGTCTATATTTGCTATGTAAGCAAATCATAATGAGCCACAATGAGAGAAGGAGATAAACTGAGTCTTGAAAAGATTAATAAGCCTGTTGTGTTCAAATTTTCTGCAGTTTTTAAGGTCCTGCTGTATCTGATTCCTACCTCTTCCACTGATATTACTGCAAGAACAAAACCCCAGCTGGCTCCTGTCCCCAGTACTCTCAGGTGTTTTGAGGAGAACAGCAGGGTTATTGTGACCCTCAAGTGTCACTGAGAGAAACTGAGTCGCATTTTGGTAAAGCGATTTGCTCCAAGTTACAGAAAGTTTCATCCAGGACTCAGCACCCTTTTATTAACTGAATGGGGGTAGACTGTTTTTGTTGATGCAGGCAGTCAGAATGAAATAAAGTGATGCCAGCTCGGATGTGAGCACCTTTTCAGCTTTGTCATTAAGAGATTGACTGCAGAAATCATCATTTGCTTCAAATCTTGCTAATTCATTCACTGGGGTTGGAGGACTTTTTGTATCTATGCATGATCCATTATTTAATTCCTGGTAAAATGCACAAATTCACACAGTTGGATTTGATAACATGCAGAAGATGCTCTCAGGGAAGATACTGAACTGTTTTGCTGAAGCTTTATTACAAGCTAAGGACCCTCTTGAAATGCTTTAAACCACCGTAGGTTATCTCCCAGGATGCTTTATCTCCCATGCTTTTCTTCTTGCAGTTTCACTACAAATCAGACCTGCTGGGCATGAAGGGGGCGGGATGGCTGGCACTGAATTCTCCACAGATAGAGAGAGCAAAGAAGGCTGGAGAGCTCATCAGTGAGGTACCTGGAACCACCATGACCACAGGGCCCACCTAACATTTCCTGTTTTTTAACTTTTATTTGTTGTATCAGAATCGAACTCAGAACCTCAGGCTTGCCAGGCAGGAGCTATGCCGCTGGCTAGCATTGCCTTTTGGAGACAGAACCTATTTATTGAGTATAGATGCCTAGAGGGAGCAGGGCCCCTGCTGACTTTGTGGTATTTTTCTGGGATTTTTTGTAACCAAATTGTAAAACAAAGAGCAATTTTTCTCTGAATAATTTCACTGCTGGGGAACTAATGCATCGCACAGTTATAGTCTGCAGTGGTCCCCTGTTTTCATTGGGATGGGGAGGCGGTCGGGGCCCTGTGGCTTTCTGACTTCCAGAGGCATTAAAAGCAGCACAGTGATAGGGACAGGAGCTGGGCTCTCCACCAGACTGATGGGGCTCCTGCCCTGGGATCCCCTTGAGGGTAGCACTGCCTCCTTCAGTTTCTTAACATCGTAACTTACTCAGACAGTCTGAGCCAGGTCCCTTTGATGCTGGAAGCTGCCCTTTACTAAATTCCTTTGTATCAGGAGCCGCTTTCTTCCAGAGAGTAAATACCTGTCAAATGTTCCCCTCATCACAGAGAAAAGCCTGGGGGTTTTTCAACTTTTTTTGAGGGGGGTACTGGGAATTTAATTCACGATCTCATGCTTGCCAGGTAGCTGCTGTGCCACTGAGTTAGATCCCTGGCCTATTTTTCAGTTTTGATGGTTAGATGGCCACCAAAAAAAGAGACTCATCCAATATCAGTGGTACATTTGGACCCAAGAAGGTGGGGTAAAGCAACACCGGGAAAATGTATGAGGTTTGATTGTGTTTTGTGGGAATCGTTTTCCTTTTCAGACCAAATACCGTAAAAAGCCAGACAGTATCAAGTTCACTACGGTGGTTGACTCCCCAGACCTGGTTCATGCCAAAAACAGCTACCTGCACTGCAACGAGGTGGGTTCTTTCTCCTCACTCATCCTGGCCGAGAAGTAGGGTAGTGCTGTTCAGTAGTCAGTGCTGAGCAACATGGGCTCTGGGTAGCTGTGAGTGCAGCGCTATCTGGATGATCGTGAACCAGTTGCTTTATCTCTTCTAGCCTTGTTTCCCTTATTTGAAGGAGATGGGGCTGAGGGGGTAATAACAGCTATTTCATAAGATCGAGTGACTTAAATGAAGATTAAATACATGAAAGCAAATAAAGTTTTAGCAAGTCCTGGGATCGTAGTACGTCTTTTAGAACTGTCTCCTGTTACGGTTTTTTCATAATGATAATAATGCCAATCATTATTGATGATCCCATACCAAACATGAGATCAGATGCATCTTAATTGCTGATGGAATGACAGTGGAATTAAAAGCTTAATACATTCCAGAAAAGAAGTCTTTTTTTTTTCTCTGAAGAAGTCATATTTGAGGTCTTTCTTTTCTGTTCTTGCTCTGTGTGAGTTAGCCCAATTTCCTCTTGCCTGTATTTATTTAAAGGAAGAAAAAGCTAACTTATCCCCACCCCACCCTGAACTATCAAGGGACTCAACACCCCCTTACACACAGCAGCAGAACTGCCTCAGCCTCCCAGAGAGCTCAAGAGCTGCACCGACCAGTTCATGTTTGCAAACTCAACTATCACATTTTCCTCTCTTAAAAGCCGAGGAGGCTAAAACACTTCCTCACATTATTTACAGGTCTTAACATGGTGCCCTGAAAATAACAACCTACATGAAGCTTGAGGTTTAAATTCCATTTTCCTGGGTGAACTATGAAAGCTTTAATTCTTTGAATTTTCTTTAAGGTATTTTAAATGAAAAGGGATTATTACATGTATGCAATAGTATTTTGACTGTTGCTGTTAAACAACAAAGACCTGAGACTACATTTTTTTTTACCAATAAAAATATGCAGTGGTCAGCTATGAAGATTCTCTGCAGTAAACCACATTTTAAAATGCACATCACCAAGGCCGACCAGGATATAGGTTTGTGGCCCATAATGAGCAGATCTTGGTATTTTTAACAGGCTCTATTTAAAACCAGCTACCCACATGTGACCCTGGACACATGGGAACCTTCCTCCAGCAGAGGGTTCTAGAAGGATACTCTCCATGGGTGGGCCATCAGGTGGGAAGGGCAGGAGAGAGAACCAGTTGCTTTATCCTAGAGGATTCAGCAGTTGTAGATTTACCTTGACCTTGAACTGTCTCACCCACAGCGCCTGTACAAGTTGGGAGATGCAGAATCCCTGCACAGGTATACTGTGATCCCTGACCACCCTGAGTTTGCCCGAGCCCGCCTCAATGCCTTGCATCTGAGTGAGGTGAGTGAGCCTCTGTTATGCGATTCGTGCTGGCTTTTGTAAAATTCTCTGCCCAGAATGGATTTTATTTGTTAAACAAAGCAAAACAATAAAAATCTTAGGAAAGAGGATGGGGAAAAAAAGAACACCTGGCTTAGAGTAGGACAAACTGCAGGTATGACTTCGTATCACTTTCCTTACTGGGGCTCAGTGTGTTCACCTGTAAAATGAGAATGGAGCTGGGCTAAGCTCAAGTTCCTTCCAGCTCTAAAAAACTGATTCCTGGATGGCTGAATGATCCCAGGGTCCCACCAGCGTAGACAGTCGCTCAGTTTATTTCCTGAACCCTTCTCATCACTCACTCCAAGGATTGTGCCCATATCTGGAAAGCTAGACTCCATGGTAGCCCATCCTGTGCGAATGTGGCTGGCTCCTTTGTGCTCAGAACCGTGCCCTCCAACACTGCAGTATCCCTTGGACGTGTGCCCTTTGCAGGACTAACTAAGACGCTGCTTCTTAAGCCCAGGCTTGTTGTTGGCAGGGGCTGGAGGCCCCTGGTTGTAACAGAATAGGCAGCCATGCGGCCAGCAAAGCTGTGATCCCAGGATAACAGATAGAGAGGCAGCAGAATCAAAAGACGCCGTCAGAACAGAGTAACACAGGCTGCGTGTGTCAGCCTGGGATGGTGCGCGGCCTCCTAGAGTCCGGCCATTCTTTCCTCCCTGGCCTGGCCATTGTGTCCTGGGGCTCCGAGCGGACACAGCTGCTGCGGCTCACCCCAGAGGTGGCGCCTTGCAGGGGTTGTAAGAGGCACCTTCTAGTTAGCGTGTGTATTAGTTTGTTGCGTTTGTAAAGCCCTGTGGGATCCCGCGCAGTGAATGCGCCTGTGCTTTGTAAATATGAGTTATTATGACCATTTGATGCTTTTGAGGGATGTGCAAAGGATAATTTTAGAACAGTAGCTCTGCGAGGCTGACCTCCATCTGGGGAAGCAGGTCCGCCTCCTCCGCAGAATACCCAGCTCATTAATGTGTGGAGGACGGGGCGGTGAGGCCTCTGCTGGAGGGACTGTCAGAGACACACTGCCAAGGAAACTGGCATGAAACCGCCGGTTCATCTAGGGCCCAGCTGAAGGAGGACAGAGCGGCTTCCCTCTCACAGGGGAGCCAGCCCACAGAGGCCGCGGTTGAAATTAGCTGCCAGGGTGCGTGGGTGTGGAAGACTCACAAACCTTATTTGAAAGAGCACTTCTTTGGGGCGTGTGGAACCAGCACAATTGGATCAAGTGCTCTGCTAGGAGGGTGTGGAGGCAGAGTGACCTTCCTGGGCAAAGAAAGCCATTGAGATGTGTAAGGCAGCCGAAATAACTCAAAATCAAATGACTCTAATGTGTGAGGATGAGGGCAAAACTGTGCCTACTGTGATCAAGAGGAGGAGCGCCCAGGATTCCAAATCAAAGCGCCTGCGGAATCTAAAGAACCCAGTGGCAAGGCAAAAACCTCTGCAGAATAAAAACCCAGGGAGGAAGTGATCACAATCAGGCAAAATAGCACACGGGGAGGGAGCCCTGGAGAAAGGGAACCAGTGCACTGGGGGTCTTGAGTCATCCTCTCTCTGCTTGATCGTCAGTTACCCAAACTTGGAAGCTGGCTGCCTTGGACACCAACATGGAGTGGTATTGAACTCTGAGGCTGTGCAAAGTTTGTTGGCATGAAGTAGTCTGGGTCTGGGGCAGAGGTGAAGGCCCGGTGCCCGGCTCACAGAGAGTGGGAGAGCTCTGCCCACTATTTGCTGCTACAACACTGATGGAGTCACCAAAATAAGAAGCATGGTGCCAAGGAGTTGTTGCTGTGTTGTTATCTGAACGCTTCCCCCCTTCTATATACCTTTTAGTCCTAAAATGAGCTCAATAACTCAGGAAATCTAATCATTGGATCTGTCACCCATTGATTAGGCGCTTACCTCAGTAATGAGTAGATGTAGTCCAGGGCCCTGAACACAGTAGATGTTTGGCTGGTGCCTTTCGGTGTTGGACGCTGGAGTTGGAGGTGATGGTGGAGGTGATGATTCCAGTGGAGCGCAGAGATGATGACACCCACGCTGCTCAGCCCCAGTGCTCCGTGACCCCCACTAGTGAGTGTGAAGTCCAGTGTGGAAGCGGGCAGAAAACTTAGCTTTTCACCTGCCTGTTCTTCTTTGCTTGATCCTCCCTCCCCTGCAGGACAGAGCACTGGCCTTGACCTCTGTTTCCAGGTGATAAAAGTAAGGTTCTTAAGGGCCTACTGATCTGTTGTAGCTCACAGAATGAGCAAGTGGCCGACACGGTCTGGGGCTATCTCTTTGTCATTTGTTGGTGATTGGCTCTCCTGCCATCTCCCTTCTCTGTGGCGGAATAAAGGACAGCCTTCCACTGGGATCTCCCGAAGATTCCTTTCATGGAGCCATTCCCTTATCTTGAAAAAAAATTAGCTACATGAAGGCACAGAAGATTTTGATGCCCCTATCGGTGATCCCGGCCTATGTGAGGGCTAGGAGGATATGATTACAGGCTCTCAGGGGGGCACGAGCACAGTTTAAAAGGGAAAGGAATGAAAGCGAGATGAAGGACATGGGTCAGGTACCCTGTCAGCTTCTCCGCAATGTGTTTAGTGCAGGTGGAGGCTCTTCCTTTGGAGCAGGCGCCTGGGCCAGTGTGACATGTGGCTTGCCTTATAGGGATGAGGTGGAATGTGGCACCCGAGCCAGGCTGAGGGCTCCCCCAGAGTTAGTGGAACTGACACATACGTGGGTGCCAAGACTCAAAGAGCAGCACGATTGTCAGCATGTGGGGAGAAACGGGGTTCTGGAGCTCTGAGTTCTGGCATCCAGAAACAAGGCATGAAGAGAGAGTGCAGGGACAAGAAGATGAAGCCAGAGCTGCAGACCACAAGCCGCATGAGAGCCAGGCCTCACTGTCAGCTGGGGGCCTTCGCGCCGAAGGCCTTCATGGCCAACCCTCTCCAGTCCCAGGCGGGAAGTGCCCAGATTGAACAGGAGGTCTCGGGCTCCGCTGTCTTCACAACACACTAGATGTGGGAGCCACTCTGGCTGGGAACCAGTCGTACCCACACCAGATTACCGCTCCTTACTTAATTGTGCTTTTGTTTTCCCAATCCAGAAAGTCTACAGAAACTCTTGGGAGCAGACCCGGGCTGGTGGCTATGACTTCAGGCTGGATGCCATCCCGTTCCAGACGGCCCGCACGTCCAGGGAGATTGCCAGTGATGTAAGACCCTATGCTCCCTCTGTGGCTTACCGGTTTCATTCTGTTCTTCCCAGAACATTGACAGGCACAGGGTAGGCACCAGGAGTCAGAGTGTCACTTCCACACCAAAATGTAATGTGTGCTTCTGAAGAAAGACACAGGAGGTCAATTTTTTAGGCTCTCTGCCAGAAATTTGAGATTAGGGGTTTGTATTCCTCTCCCCTGTCTCTCAGGAGAGGCACTCTTTTTTTTTTTTTTTTTTTTTTTTTTGGTCTTTTCATTTTTATCGGTACCAGGGATCGAACTGACGACTGCCTGCTTGCAAGGCAGGCGCTTATGCCGCTGAGCTAAATCCCCAGCCCCAGGGGAGGCACTCTTAAAAGTTGGTGAGTGAGCACCTAGAAATCAGGAAGCACATGGTTGGGTGAGTGATTTTCATTAAAGGGACTTCTTCAAGTAGAGGCACAAGTACGGAGTGGAAAGCAATTGGGACTTTGCCACATTGACTTGAGTTTGAGTCTTGGCTGTGTGACTTGGGCAGGTTGCTTACACTCTCTGAACTCAAATTTCTATATCTATGAAAGAGTGATCTAATACCTGTCTTCTAGGACTAGTGTAGGGACAAAAATAAAATGGTTTGCAGTGCCCAGCACACAGCAGGTATTCAAAACATGGCATCTACTATTACTGAAGAGGAGAGCATTGTTGATTAGACACTATATGCCTGGCCACCCATGAATGGTTGTTTGCTAGTCCACCATGAGATAAGGACAGACCTCAGGGACAAGCATTCCAAAATTGACTTATTCATTAGATATAGAAACATCTAAGCATGTGATTGGTGGACTCAACTCACTGAAGAGGGCAAAGGACAATTTTGGGGTTATCAAGTGCTGGAGATAGGTATTTGACGGATTAGAAATTTAGCAATACTAAATGAAACAGGTCCTTCACAAATGATTTGAGAAGCACCAGACTAGGTTCCTGAAAGTTGGAAAGGCTTAGAAGAATGGACATATTTCCTTTCCTGGTGGAGTACAGATTACAGCCATGACAATACCAGAGTCACCATCAGTGGACATGGATTGGTGCCAGGCTTGAAGCTCAACACCCATCTTGTTGAATTTTCTCAATATGCTATGGGGATGGAGATTTCTCCCATTTATCAGATGGGGAAATTGAGGCTTAATAACTAGCCAAGATCACACAGCTTGGCCCATGGAATTTAAAGCCTGGCTTCATGCTGAGCTTACTGCTGAGAATCCTGTGGGCTGCCCCATCAGCGAGGGTGGCCATGGCGGGGTGCTGGGTCCCTGTGATTCACCTCTGTTCCTCTGCTTATCAGTTCCGGTACAAAGAGGCCTTCCTGCGGGACCGGGGCCTGCAGATTGGGTACCGAAGCATCAGTGATGACCCAAGGATGAAGCATTTCCTCAACGTTGGCAGGCTCCAGAGTGACAACGAGTACAAAAAGGACTTTGCCAAGAATCGGTTCCAGTTCCACAGCCGCACAGATCAGCCTGGCTTCCTCCAGGCCAAGAGGAGCCAGGAACTGGCCAGTCACGTGCATTACAGGCAGCCCCTGCCCCAGCCCACCTGTGACCCTGAGCAGCTGAGCTTGAGGCATGCAAGGAAGGCCCACCAGCTGCAGAGCGATGTGAGCACCTTTGCACATCTCATTCTACCTTCTGGTGGGGAGCTGGGCTGAGACAACACCCCAGACACTGGGATTTTAGAATCCAAAGGCATAGTGACAGTACTTACCATACCATTTCTGTGCTCTGTGCCACGCTGTGTGCCAAATGCTTTCTGAGCATCATGCTCTGTGGCCCCCATGATTCTACTACTGCCTTACTTTACAAGTGAGGAACCTGGGGACCAGAGAAGTTAAGCAGATCGGGGATACAGACCCTATTGTTTTGATATGAGGGCCCAGACCCTTGATCCCCTTACTGTACTTTGAGGGGTCTCACTAAGTTACCTGATCCAGCCCTTGCACTTTTCCCTGGAAGAAAACGAAGCTCAGGGAAGGGCAGTGACTTCTCTGAGACCCCAGAGAACCAGGTATCACCCCGGTCCCTCCTTACTCCACTGCCCCTCCCATCACTCAAACAGAAGATGTCAATGACAGCCCTGTCCTGGCCAGGCTCACAGCGGGTCCTCCATGCCAGGGAGCTCCAGCTTAAGACGAATCCACTCCCCTTGTCCCCGTTTTACTGACAACAACATATTGCTTGTCTCACTGCTGCAGTTTAATCCCAGTCACTCTGTGGTCAAAGCACCCCAACCCTGCCGACACATTCAGAATCTCTCGCTTCTTCCCTCCTCTCAGGTCAAGTACAGATCAGACTTGAATCTGACCAGAGGTGTTGGCTGGACCCCTCCTGGTTCCTACAAAGTAGAGATGGCTCGGCGCGCTGCAGAACTGGCCAACGCGAGGGCCCTGGGGGTCCGGGGGGCTTATGTGAGTAGCAAGCTACAAACCCCTCCTGCCTGGCAAGACCGCAGGAAAGACAAAGCCTTTGTTTCTTTTCAAAGTTTATTTTTGACCAGAGGTCAGTTGGCTCTAAAGAAGTGTGAAATGCAGCTGAGCAAGGCACCTAATTTCATGGGTCTGGGATGACCGGGTGGATGACACACAGGTTAAACTTCCTGCAGGCTTTTCTCTGAAGTCACAGCTATTAGTTCTGCAGAGGCGAACCTACTGGGGAGACATCAATCCCGGGCCAGGGCACCCAGGCTGCGCTGACTGCTTGCTTGTTACATGTGCAGAGAGGGTCAGGGACTTGCTAGCTGTAATAGCCTGCATTTTGAACCCTACTTTGTTCAGAAGAAAGACACGATGCCTAAATGAGAGATTGGCTTGCTTCTTTCTCATTCTTGCCTTGAGGATCTTTTTCCTTGGGCAGAGTGGAGGAGGGGACCGGAAGGGGAGGATAAATATGTTAAATGCTCAAGGAGCATCTTGGTGCATCCTGTGGGAGGGGTGGAGTGGAGGGGGCTTCATCTTAATCCAGGCAGATGCGTTTGATTTCTGCAGGGGGCACCGGAGGCAGTGGAGGCTGAAGATCATCTGAGGGGGGAGGTGAACCCAGATGCCACCGAGATCCTGCACGTCAGAAGGAAGAAGGCTCTGCTGATGTGAACACATGGACCCTGCTCCAGTTCTTGAGACGCCAGAGTGGAAGTCTGCTCCTCAGAGCCATGCTGGAAACGACTTCCACTTGGGCAACTGTAAAAATGGCACCACATCCCATCTCCAGATCTACCTTCATTAAAATAATGGCTCTGGAAGCAAACAGAAGATGTCGTAGTTTTGCTCTTTTGTGTAACACGTAGATGAGAATGGTGGGTGCTGTTGAGTATTCAGTTGTTCAGGGTGAGGAGTAAGGAGTCAAGGTGACTGTCAGCGGTGCTGAGCATTCTACTATCTCGAGTTTGTAGGTGTCCCTGATGGAGGCTATCTTTGTGAACACTGATTTTCTAGAAGGTATAGTAGGCAGAAAGGAGGCAAACCTAATGTGTCCAGTGTTGAGTCCATTGTTCCTGGGCTGCCCAGGAAGATAGAGGAAGCCTAGGAAGTTGTGGATGCTGGCTGGCCAGGCCCAGGGTGGATAGCAGGTGTCTGTGCCCAGAGCAGGGCACTCCATGGTGTGGCCTCCTGGGCACTCCATGCTGCCTGTATGGTCTTCTTAGTCTGGTGCAGAGGAGGATGAGCTCTGAGTCCAGGACAGCACCTTAGAAAACAGCCTCATTTTGCATTGTGGTTTTGATCCAGCTTAGGAACTTAGTAACTTGGGTGTAGACCCCTGGCTTTTTCCCACATTCCTGGCCCCAGCTCACGATCCCATAGACGTAGTAGATGCCATCCTTCTCACAGGTCAGAGGACCTCCAGAGTCACCCTGAGGGAAAAAGCAGCAGAAGTTCATCCTTGTGGACCTGAATGCATTCAGAGATGCCCCCGCCACCCCATCTCTCAAGGGTGCCAGAGGTGATGGGGTGGCATTGCCTGCTAACCATCCGGGCTTCTCTGGAAAGCCGTAACATTGCTCTTTTGGTCCCTCCCATGATGCAAGTCTCTGAACAAAAAAAGCTACACTGAGAGTCCAGGGTCGCAAGAGTCTTGGGAAAGCAACTCAGAGCTGCAGTCACAGTGTGACTGGCAGATCCTACATCCTGATCCTTACTCCTGCAGTGTTATCACTGCTAGTTCTTTTGGCAGTGGACCAGGGGGTGAACAGAGCCACCCACGGGGGAGGAGGACAGCGACTCAGTGGCAGCCATGGCCTGAGCATTCAACCTGGGCTGTGGGCTTCAAGCTTCTGCATTCCAACCGAGGCTCTGCCAGCTGCCAGCCATGGGCCTTGGGAGCCTGTTTCTCAGCTATAAACTATGCATAGCAACTGCTGCCCTTTCCCAGGGTTCAAGGATACTTTGGTTGTAAAATACACAGAACAGAGTCTGGTTCGTGTTAAGCCCTCATTGCAGAGGCGAGGATAAGTTTGGAGGAAAGGGCAGTGAGGAGGAGACTCACAAACAATGCTGCTATCACTAACAGGCCTTTAAAAATGAGCTCTCTCTTAATCCCAGCTACCCTGGGATGATCTTACAGACATGTTCATTCCATCAGGCACCAGAGACTGGAGAATTACTTGAGTGACTGATCAAGATCACATAATAACAGATGCAAACAGGTTTTAAACTCATGGGTATCTGTTTCCAAAACCTACAATGAAGCCTCTGAATTATCTAGGGAATTGAGCTGTGTTTTTTTTCTTCCTCATTTTCTAGTGATTTAGGACAAATCACCTCCATCTGCCCTTGCTGCTCCCTGAGTACATGGATATCTGTGACCCCTGGGGAAGGGACTAAGGGTCGCAATACAGTTTCTAGAGAAAGAAACTTCAGTTTCTCATCTCGTGTGGGCTAAGGGCTGGCAAGTCTGTTGGCCCCCCCTTGAATACTAGCAGGGAGGGGCTAGTATTCAAATGTGATCATTCTGGGGTTTCCAAGAAAGCTGAGCAGTTTATGAGGATATTAGGCAGAAAATCCTAAAATGAGCTATTCCTGGGAGTCTGGGAAGGATGTATCCTATGTGATGTGAGCCGTGCAGAGGAGCCCTGGGGTGCAGGCTGTGACATGGAGGAGGGTCTGAGGTCCCTTTAGCAACAGCTGATGGAACCAACACCTCTTCCCTCCCAAATCGTCTCTAAGTCACAACAGATCTTAGCAGCTGGGTGGGGGCAGAGTCCCAAAGGTCTGGTGGGGTGTCAGGCAGGTTCTAGAGTTGGCTGTGGTCACGGGGGGGGGGGGGAGATGTAGTTTGCTAGGACTAAATCCACCTCCTTATCGCTGTCTCTATTTCTATTTCTGTACATCTGTCTCATACACATTTAAACCCTAATGATTAAGAATATCATTGCAATATCTCTAAGCCTTACATCACTTTCCTTTTAGTCATTGATCTTACGGACAGTTCCTTGTTTAGTAGGATTTTCAGACACACTGCCCAAAACTGATGCCAGAAGTGCCCTGTTCTCATGTAAACATAGTGGAACAAAGTAGCAGAAGCTCTGGTGTCCTGCAGACCTAGAGTTTTCAAATTCAAGGCCTACTTGAAATACTATCCTATTGTGAAAGCTAAGCAGGACTTCTATATCCATACAATGATGACAATGACATTCGTTTTACCAGAGTTGTGAGAATTCAATAAGTTAAAATACAATGCAGCCGGGGCTGGAGATTTAGCTCAGCGACATAAGCGCCTGCCCTGCAAGCAGGCAGTCGTGAGTTCGATCCCCGGTACCGATAAAAAGGAAAAAGACAAAAAAAAAAAAAAAAAAAAAATACAGTGCAGCCAACATGACCTATGGGGATTATTACGCAGAGCCATCTGGTTTGATGTGGATTCTGATTGCTGCGGTCAGTTGTGCCCTGCCTGTGCCTTAGCTTTGTGACAGGTGACCCTGGCTCCCATTCCAGGATACTACAAGGCCTCTATGCTTGTGTAACATTCTGCCAACCTCTCCTTCACCAAGTGCCTTTGGAGTCTGACCTGGCAAGTATCTTGCCCAGGTTTCTGAAGGTTTCCTGCACAAATCATGCTGTCATCAATCGTTTGGTCATAGAGTCTTCGGGAGTTGCATAAAGTGTTGGCAATCAGCTTGACTTTTGCATCCAGAAGATGGCGGGAACCCTCCCCTGTGGACAGAAAAAAGAGTCACTAGGGTGGGGACAGAGTAGCATCCACCCAACCAGAAGCTAGTGGTACAAGGAGAAGGCCACCAGCCCTCAGCTCGGGAAGAAATGAGTTTCCTGGAAGACGGGCAGAGGAATTTCGTTTCCCAACACTGGGGAAGTTTCTCCTTTCCTTCAGCCTTCATCATGCCCGTGCAGCCCTGCGAAGCTGCACTGAGCACAGTGGAACAGAATCATTTATTTCCTCCTCTGACTTTTAACTAAACCACAAAATCCAAAAGGGCATGGATGATGTCTTAGCCATCTTTAAAACTGTCTAGCATCAGCAGAAAGGCTTGCATAAGTAGGTTCGGAATGAATGATTGCATTAAATTATCTGCTTCTAAGAGAAGACATCCCCCCACTGAAGATAATGAAATCAATTAAAATATGTGACTGCCTTTGAACAAAGTGTCTTAGAGGACTATTTGTGAAATACAAAATTGTTTTAACTTGAGGCCCTATAAGATCCTCAATGAAGACATTATCACGTTCCCTAGACCACAAGGAGTGGAACAGAGGTCAAAGGTTTAGATGGTCAAAGATTGAAGCAAACAAGAATCTTCTGGCTGGCCTACATTCCAGTCATGCTGAAATATCTTTCCCCAAAAGCCTCTGACAGTTTTGTATGGTACGTATCACTTTATTTCTTTCTTCTTTTTTTTTTTGTCTTTTTCCTTTTTATCTGTACAGGGGATCGAACTCACGACTGCCTTCTTGCAAGGCAGGCGCTTATGCCACTGAGCTAAATCCCCAGCCCCATGTATCACTTTCTTTAAAAATAGAGACCTCAGGTGGCTCTTGCTTCCCATTACTGAGGACAAGATTGGGAGAGACAACAAACGCATTTTGAGTATACGGGAAAGATTTGAAATACCTTCTGAATGTGTTTGTATTTGGTCATGATTCCACATCTCGGAGGTGGATGTAATTATTCGGAAATTAGAAGTGAGCTGTACACAATTTGTAATCGCCAGATCTTGGAAACAACCCAAGTGCCCATCAACTGAGGAATGGATAAAAAAGTTGTGGTATTTCTATACAATGGAGTATTATTCAGCTATAAAGAAGGATCACATTGAGATATTTATCAATAAATGGGCGCAGCTTGAGACCATACTCATAAGTGAAATAAATCAATCTCGCATGTGTGAATACCGAATAGTTTCCCTAATGTAAGTAATGATTCAAATATATAAAAATATGTGGTAATCATGATTCCCCATTAGGTGGCCTTAAAGCCTTATAAAGTTTTCACTCATTAATTAGAAAGGCTTTATTCTGGGCTTCTTGATATGAAAATATTTGAAGCTAGAGTATATGAAGTTTTACCCAAATATTTCAAGGAAAAAGACACTATGGTAACTACTATTAAGTCAGGTTATAAGGTGGTGAAGTACTAGGTTATTGAAACAGTCATGCTGTGACCTCTATTGTTATATTGTTATGTCCTGTTTTATCTCAATCTCCCCCTTATTGTTTCAAAAAAAAATTATTTAGTCATTTCTTATGTTTGTCTTAATTAAAGAAAAAATTCAAAAAAATTAGGATATATAAATAGTAACTCTTTTCGATTTCCTATTAACTTGTTTTGAAGTCCTGTAGTACTCCCACGATCTTGTTTTGACTGATTAGACTCTGTTCCATTCTATATGATAGTATCAAGTTTGAAGACATAGGCAACTACTTTGAAGACAATAAGATTCACTAAGATACCCATTCTGGTTTGACTATTGTCTTCTTTGGAAGTCCTGTAATGTTTACAATGCCTAAGTTTTATTGGTCTTGTTCTCTACTGTTTTGTCCAACTTTATAATATCTAATAAGATAGACAATTCTTTTTAAGGAAACAAGGGACAACGTTGATAACCATTGTTGATAAACTTGTACTCTGTTCTACACCATGTGCTATGTCTATCCTTGGTATTGACTGACAGCTTTGTTTTGCCATATTTGACTGTATTCTTCCCCCCCCCCAAAGAAAGTAATAAGCACTAAGGAGTAATAAAATCCAAGATGTGTAAATTTTGTTGTAAAAAAGAGAGGGAAAAAAAAAAAAGAAAAAGAGCTCTAACGGATATAACAGCAAGTGTGTTTGGGGGTGTTAAATAGCTGACTTTATCAATGTTTTTCGAACATTGAACACAGCTGTTTGCAGTCTCCCTGTTTGAATGTCCACCTTGTGTTCTTTGATACTGTGATTTGAGGAACTATTTTCAAGAAAATAGTGTGTAATCTACTAGCAGGTAATTTCTTACTGTTATGGTTTTTTGTTTTGTTTTGTTTTATTTTGTTTTGTAGTTCTGTATTGCGTGTACCCTTACGCCGCTTTGGTTTGTTTTGTGTTTTTCTCTTTTTCCTCTTAAATTAAAAAAAAAAAAAAAAAAAAAAAAAAAAAGAAGTGAGCTGTACAAGCAACAAAGCTGAGGATGCACAGCAGAGCTTGCAGTCAAGTACGTCTGGCACTAAAGCCCACGCTCTTTCCGCTCCACCCTCCCTAAAGTCTACGGAGGGACGGGGAGAGGTCTCTGTGGGCGCAGGATCCATGCTTGAGCAGAGTGAGGGTCTAGAGGCAGAGGCCAGGGACTGATATGGAAATCAGGGAAGACCAGGGAACATGTCCTGCAAACGGTAGGATTTACCTAGAGTTGGAATGATGAAGCAGGTGCTTTCTCTTGATAATGTTTTTTTAAACTTATTTCAAGTTAGAAGGACAGCTGGAGTTGGCCCTCTTTTCTCTGGTTGATGTAGCTCCCCTGAGTTGGGAGAGAATGCATGCATGGACTCACCTGTTTCTGTCACACCCCAGCCAGAGATGTGACACTCGGTCCCAGAGGGAAAAGAATCATCGGGCAAACAAACGGTCTTCACATATTTAGACTCCAGAGCACAGTGCCCATCCACTGGCTTTAACTTGAGCAAAGCTAGGTGGAGACAGGGGAGGAAATGGGTGTGACCTCATCTCTTTTGCAGAGAAGCATCAGCTTTCAGTGTGCTTTGGAAGGTGCTAACAGTGCAACTTCACCCTGCATGCCTGAAAAACCTCTTCCTTGGTCATTTGATTTTTCAAACGTTCACTCCAGAGGAGTAACACAGGCTGGGAGTAATACCAGGAATAATAAATGAGTTTGAAATGATTTCTAATCCATTTTATAAAACAGATTGTAAGAGTGGTAAAAGCTAGAGAGACAGAGACAGAAACACAGACAGAGACAGACAGAGAGAGACAGAGAGAGAGAGAGAGAGAGAGAGAGACAGAGAGAGACAGAGAGAGACAGAGACAGAGAGAAAGTGATAGAGACAGAGAAAGAGAGGCACAGAGACAAAGATCAATCCTGTGACACCAGTAGCTTAAGAATGTCATTGCTTCTGCACCATAGCATCCCAGGTGCCAATGCTGGGTGTGTCCATGTTCACGAGCAGGAAGCTTGGAGTTCAGCAACAGTGTTCCCATTTTCCCTAGCAGAAGCTCAGGGAGGTGATTCCATTCCCAGGTAAAAAGTGGGAGTTGGGATTCTCAATGCAATGCTCCTAGCATCCTGGCATCCCTCTCCCTCAGTTTAAGAGTCTGGGCTCATTTTTCCATAACACAAACATACATTCTTTAGACCTGAAAAGCTCTGGAATAAATTGTCTACCTTTCAGGTAGAAACCAACATTATCACAGAACTTTCTAAAACCAAGCCTCAGCTTCCCATCCGTGGAGAAATCCACCCACGTGACACACAGGAGAGCCATCAGAGGGGGGACTTGCCGATATCATTGTATGGAATCTCGTCTCTTTCATTATAGCAGCTGTACTTGATTATCTTCTCCACCCTGAAGGTCTGCTCATGGAATTCTGTCTTCTTCAGGTCCTGGTCCCCTAGTACCACTTTTAGATGTTTGGCCTTTATGCTGCAGAGGAAAATAAAATAGTTAAGAAATTGCACGGGACAGTAAGAGGCAAGACCCACACCCAGCTCTGCTCCTGGTGAGCTGTGTGATCTTTGCCCCTGGCTTTCTGCAGCCTCACTACCCTCATTCCTTGTCCTTTTCTCCCTCACAGAACCCTGCTGTGGATTCCAAATAAAATAGTATGCAAAACTGCTTTATTAAAAGAAGTAGACTCTGGCATGAGCTATTGTTTTTAATCCCAGTTTTCCAGTGAGATCTCCCATTCTCCCTGGGCCTTGATAAAGGACAGCCATCAAGGTCCTGAGCAAATCTGCTGAAATTCATTGACAGGTGCCAAGTATCCATGCACAGCTGTCTACAGGAGGATCTCCTGGAATCCCAGAGGAAATTATTTAATGACGGAATGGGCTGAAAGACTGTCAAGGCCACTTCCAAAATCTGGGCTTCATGCAACCAGCTCTGATCATGAATTAAGGGAATTTAGAGGAGACAGTGATTCCTCCGCTGCTGGAAGTCACTTGCTTCTCGAAGGCACACAGGAAGCCTGGGTGAGGACACTGAACCCCAGAGGCTCACCGATAACAGCATCAACAGTACAGCAGATTATTTTTATCTGCTCATAGCAGATCAGTGTGAATTTGGTTCTGTTCACCTACTTTCTTTCCATGTGGCTTTAGAGAAGGTGCTAAGCCTTTCCAAGATCCAGGTCCTTGTTAATAAAAAGGGAAAAATATTCTCTTGCCCTTTATAGTTGTTTATTGAACACTTGCTACATACCTGCTGCAGGCACTGGGCAAACTACAATGAATAAAACATAAAAATCCTTGCCCTCCCTTGGCTTGTTTCCTGGAGCTAGTTTTAAGGATTAAATGGTATGCAATATATACAAATCCACGGTAGGCAGTGTAGAAATGATAGCTACTTTCCCTCTGGACCTTTGAGCATTTGGGAAGGAGAGGCCACCAGCCTGCATCCAAGTCACCCAGTGCTCACTCACTTGGTACAGTGGGCAGCAGTGAGCACCCAGCAAGGGTGGATCAATGCACCCCCGCAGAAGTGGCCTTGGGGCATGGAGGAGGTCAAAGGCAGTGAGGTCTGCAGGGACGCCTGCCACGGGTGCTTGCCCGCTGTGCTCTTGAAGCCACCGTAGATCCTCTTGATCTTCCTTGCCGTGACCTCAGTTCTCCCGCAGGAGTCAAATCCCAAATGCTGGATCGGGGAGCCCACTGGGCTCTGCTCTGGGTTGTCAGTGTCTGCAGGACGCAAGAAGGTAGATCATACAGCCAAGCCTCCTTCTCATCCTTGGGAAGGATCTAGCCCTAGACATGACTCTGAGTCCAGCAGCTGAGCAAATGACCAGAGCTAAGAGCCTACACTGGTGCACACAGGGTGGGCAAATTGTTGGTATACATTGATATTTGTTGAATATCTTAATGAATACAAAGCAAGTCTTTAGCACTAAGGATGAGGGTGCTACTTTTTCCTTCCTATTTTGAATGTGTGTGTGTGTGTGTGTTATACACAGATCTATCCCTAGCTATCCATTAATGCATGCACACACACACACACACACACACACACACACGATTCTGGAGGCTACATCAGTGCAGCGGGGGATCCCAGAAGAAGTGGAACAGGGGAGGGAAGTGTTTGCAGAGACATCTGGGATACAGAGGAGACAGCAAGTGGTGTCTGAGTGCTGCCCTGTTCCTTTCCTTGGGCTAGTAAGGAGGGAGAGATAACACTTCACTCTGGAAACCAAAGTGGACTGCTCAAAGGAGGGGGTGCTCGGGTTTGTTCCCTAATAATGGTTGGAATCAGACAAGAGCAGATGTGGAATGCAGAATTACAAACAGAGGCAACCCTAAGACCAAAGCACAGATGTGACACTTATCAGGGAGGGAACCCCACTGGCCAGAGTAGGAGGGTACATTGCTCTGAATGTGGGCACAGGCATGGGCCAGTGAGACTGGCTGTGAGGCTGCAATTCAGGCCAGTTGCACCTTGAGAGGCCACAGGAGCCTGGCAAATGTTTGATCACCACTGTACACAGAGGGCTGGCCTGCTGCCACGCACACAGTGAATGTTCGATGCACAGCTGCTGAGTACATTGACTTGGAGTCAGGAAACGAGCTTATAGTTGGTCTACCTAGCCTGAGCTGACAGAGGCATCCTGTTCAGCCCTCTGAGCAGGTAGGTAGGCTGGCACTGGGATGAGAGCTGCTAAAACAGGTCTGGAGGGAGGACAGGGTGCAGTGTCTGCCTGTGGACTATCACCTTCTCCCCAGGGGCCTGGGAATCTGTATCAGCTTACCTACAGCTGGGCAAGCTGGGACATCACAGTATTCCCACTTCACCTTTTCACTATTAGCTTTAATAAAACACCAGGGCTTCTGGTCTCCATCTGGGTTTCTAAAATGAAAATAAAACAGAAGGGGGGTTAGAGAGATGGTGAATGCTGCCTCATTGAAGGACCCTTGGATGAGAGACTACCACAACCTTGTGCTTCCCTGGGGCCACTCTTCAGTCCAGGCCTCCAACAGCTTAGCAAACCATCACCTAGAAGGCTGGTCCGAGTTTATGCGACCAAATATTAACTTTTCGAGGAGAATCCCAAGCACAGAATGGAGTTAACAGGCCTTGGTCTAGAGCTACAGGGCACTTCCAATTATTCACAGGAAAGCAAATAAGATCTCTATGGGAGACTTTCCTTGTCAGAGAAGCAAAATGACCACAAAAACACAATCAGCTCTTCTACCTGAATTCCAGGCTTGGTAATCCTCCAAGAAGAGTTGTCAGTGAGGCCTCCATAAAGACAGCTCCGTGGAGGAAGTAGTTTAAGGAGAGCACAGACTGAAGGTAACTAGTACTCAGCAAGGCAATGCCTCTTATTTGTAGAGGCAGTTTAAAGCCAGACAAAGGATCCCTGTCATTTGTATGCAAATCACCAAAATCTTTGGCCTCTGTTAGGCAATGGGAGGGAGGCTACTGAGTAGAAGGGCCTAGATGCGACAGAAGGGGAGGGGAGTAACTCTAGTTATTAACGGGAGGTCTTGGCATTATCCTGCTCATTTCTCCCATAAGGTTAAGTGGGGCCACATGGTGACTTCTGACCAATGAAATGTACATAGAAGGATAATTTTCTTTAACGCTCCATTTTTCTACTTTTTCATTCTCTTCTTGTCTTCTTGGGTATTTGAGAAACTATGGGAATATGATTCTCCTACCATCCTTCTCCCAATCCTCATGACACAGCAGCATGAGTAAGACACTTTGATTCATTTAAAGCACTGAGATCTGGGGACTGTTTGTTTCAGCAGCATAGCTTCACCCGTCCTGAGTGAGACAGTTTCCTTGACAGACTGCTAATGAGTTTCAATGATCTGTTTCCAAATAAAGCCACCAAGACTGTGTGCGGAAGGTAATCTTTACCTGCAGAAGTTGTGCTCCCCAATCCCATGGCCCTCAGCATCCTCCATAAACATGTTGTAATTCTCCTGCAAGAGGAGGTGGGAGTTCCAGTAAAGACACGTGTGCTGGTTGACTGTCCTGCTCACTCTGCCTCGGTAAGAGTAGCCATCACCAACATAGCAGTCATCAGAACCTCAGAGAGAGCAGGCAGGGACGTGAGAACTGGGAGCAATGGATACACTGTGTCCAGGAAGGCAGGTGGGTCTATCACTGGTCAGTAAATTTGGGCCTGGGTATTGATCACCTTGAGATTTCATCATGCATTTCAAGGATACTCCAGATTCAACCCAGCTTAAAAATGTGAAATATCAAATTTTAGCTTACAAAAGAACTATTAGAGGCTGGCTCGAGGCCCAGATATGCTCAGCCATATTTCATTAGCCTACACAGCATCCCGGATTATTACTTCCTTTCCCTTAGTTAGAAGGATGAGGCAATGCATGAGTCAGGGCAACTTGACTTAAGCCACAATCTGGCCACAAAACCCAAATGGAAAGGATTTCAGATGCCTCACTTGGCCATGGTTTTTGGAGAAATGGTGTCAGAGACCATACCTATTTCACAGAACCTTCCCGTGAACTGGTCAGAACAGGTGCATTTGAATCTGGATCTCCGCCTGTGGTGTGAGCAGATGCCGCCATTCTGGCAGGGATTTGGTCTGCACACCGGAAGCACTGTGAACACAGGAAGTTGGGCCAGGTTGGCTCTTCAGGAGATAAAATCTCCTCATCACCTGTGGTGATGAGGAGACATTGATGACATTTTTCTGGCATTATGCTTTCATGAAAGATGTGTCACTGAATGGAAAGACAGATGCCTCTGAGACTCTAGCAAATGTACACATGAAGCTTGAAAGTATGAAAAAACATAAATGAAGTGATAAGAATGGAAGCCATGCCTAAAAAACAAGCTATATATCAGTGGGCCACTCAATAAGAAATCACAGGAGGCATAGAAGGAATTTGGGGTGGGTCTATGTTAGGTTGTAACTTGACTCAGGCCCTTTATAGCTGTATGGCTTTAAGAAATTTAAGTTATCCTCTATGACTTTCAGTTTCTGTAACCAGAAAACTCTTTCTTGTAGAATTTTTTGGAAGATGTGAGAGAGAATATAAATCTTCAAGGACAGTGCCTGACTCACTGCAGTGACTCAAGATATGCTGATTCCCAAACTTGACCCATCTCAGGAATAGATTGGTACCTACTTCCAAGAGGAGGTGAGTTTCAAGATTAAGTCTTTTATGGATGACAATGGACAAAGATGCATCATTTCATTTTGGGCTTTCTGGGGATGATAGATGCATGAATATCCTAGTTAAAAGGATCCTTTTGGATGCTATGAAATCGTCAGATACATCCGCACTGCCACATGGTAAGATGCACAGAATCCAGGCACAAGCTAGGGCAGAGAACGTAGCAGAAAAGGGGTCTGCACCACTTACCTCTGGAACAGTCTGGACCCGTGTAAGGGTGTCGGCAGGCACAGCGGTAATAGGGAGGATTCTGGGTAATGAGACATTCGCCTGGGCCGCAGCGGTTGTTCTTGCACCTGGTTTCCACTGGAAGAGATCCACAGAGAAGTGAACAAGGAAGTACAAGAAAGTATTTGACTCACATTTTACTTCCAGTGATACCTGCACATCACAGTGTTTGGAGTAGGTGGGGCCGACCTAACCCGGGGCCCTGTCCATGGTTCTGAAACACCTGTCATCCAAAAACAAGGTTTCTCTTATCCCGGGATCCTGAGCGATGGCTTCCTGTGTGTCCTTTGTTGCTCATAGACTGACTGTATGTCTCCATCTTAACAAAAACTCAGTTAAATGTGTGTGATTTCAACAAAAAGAGGAAATTTTGATCTCGCCATCGTATCACGACTTATTTTTACAACTTTGTCATTCCTTTGGTAAGCTGAGGGATGAACTCAATGCTGTGTTCACACACAGTGTTACTCTGAGACGATTATTAAAAAGATATAAATTTTGAAAATGACACAGAGGGAAAGAAGTCAATTATGATACTCATAAGATCCTACTCACGGCCCTCAGCCCATCACCATGGATTTCTGGAGAAATGGTGTTAGAGACCATACCTATTTGCTAGATTGGATGGGATCTGACTTCTCCCTAGGGACTCAGCCCCCCAGTTATATTCCCACTACTGTGTGTCATGGACTCACATAGTGCCAAAGAGCTTACCAAAGGCAGACCCCCTGAGGCTGGTGTCTTCAAAGAACACTGATCAGCAGTCAGGTACCAGGACTGTAATATCTACTCAACTCCTAATGAGCTGTATGAGCAATTCTGAGTCGTCTGCCTCTGTCTTGGGTTTTATGCCTTGACAACCTTTCCGCTGTCCCATCTGAGAACACTATTTCTCTGTTGTAGTTAGTCTGATCCCTCAAAATGCAAATCCCTGAGTTTGGAATACAGTACACCTTGATTATGTTCCAGGTCTATTCCCTATTAGCCTCAATCTTCTTATCTGTACAATGGGCACACTAGTCCCATCTTATAGAATTGGAAAAAGATGCAACTTTTAAAGTACTGCCTGTGACTATATCATGTATACCATGCATGTGCACTTATCATCCATACCACAGGTTCACTTGGCCCTTCCTCACCACCTGGGGTTGGGGCAGGAATGGCTTCTTATTTAATCCAAAGGAGGAGTTAATCTGGGGTTGATATACTCACCATTCTGACACCTGTTCCCAGAGAAGGGGGGCTGACATCTGCAACTGAAGGTGTCCCCGGTGATAATGCAGTTCCCACCATGTTCACAGGGATTGGACTGGCATGGATCTAAGACACACAGGCACAAAGCCCAAAAGAGGCAGCTTGTGAGAAATCCCTACTTCTCACCTACTTTTACTCTCCTGCTCCCATAGAACCAGGGCTGGGCAAAGGGGAGATGCACATCATTCTTTAAGAGCAAGTAGAGCTGAGGCTGCAGGGCCAGAGAGAGGGACTCAGGGAGAGGCTAAGAGGAGAGGCAAGGAAGAACCACTCCTGGCTTGGACGGCGCTTTCCTCGTTGAGAGACTCCTCATTTCCCTCACGAGTGTGTTTCTCCTCCCATCTCGCTGGGAGTGCATGGGGTCTGTCTCTGATGCTGAAGGCATTTCACAAGCCTGAGACCTCCCCTACTTCCAGTGCCCAGGGGTGGAGGTCAAAAGTGGGGGGAAAACCCACCCCTAATGAAACACAAGCTTTCTGAACATCAGGAGAGAAGACCAAAGGCAAGAGGGTGACAGAAGAATTGACGGTGAGGAGGAAATGACCCAGTGGCCTTCATCTTTCTTCAACTACTTGTTCAGTTAGATTTTGTCATATTTCATCTGTGCCTTTGGCTTTTCATGGCTGTCTGAATGGATCTTCCCTTGGGGAATTCTTTATCCTTCTGTTCACACGCATTGTTCTTTGGTTCAGGAACTAGGATCCCTGGGCCTGGCTCTTGTTTTGATGGTCCCTTCTGATGTTCCCCTGGTGCCCTGTATCTTGGCCCTGCCTTCTAGGCCACTTCTCACAGTTATACAGCTTTTATTTCAGCTGCCGAGCACTTTCCATGCTTTCTTCTGAATTAGGCACATGGTTTTGCTTGGACCTAGTTTCTTATTTTCCTTTCTGTTCCACTACTCCAATTAAGCAGCCACAACACAAAAACATATCTGGTAGAAGCATATGTGTGTGAGTGCACACAGCACGCACACACACACACACACACACACACACACACACACACACGTATGGTAACAATTGTGAAAACTTTCAGAAGAGCAAAGTGAGGGGAAAAACACACAGCAAAGATGAAAGGGAAGGAAAGTCTTAAATTCAAACTTGTAAATGCTACAGTTCAGTGCTCAGTGATAGCTTAGATTATTCTGTGTAATTGGATCCTAATATGAGATCAAAGTCGTGGAAATGACTCTGTCATGGTGTCAGGGGCACCTGCATGACGAGGCCTTGATTTCTTCCATGACCTTGGCTAAGTCCACTCCTTATCTGGCCTCACTCCGTTGATCTATCATTTGAGGGTGGGGTATGTGGTCTCTAAAACCTCCCAGTTCTCATGGTGTGTGTTTCTAACTGAATCAAAACCAGTCTGAATAATTTTTTTCAATGTCTATTTTTGGTGATGGCCAGAGAGGGAGAAGCCCTCGTATATGGCCACATAGACTCCCCTGAGCATGCTGCCCTCCTGTGAGCAAATGTGGTACTCACCATCTGATGCATAATACCAGTCAGGATTCTCATGGTTGACCAGCGAAGTATTGGTGTTCTCTTCCTGGATATCGTCGTCATAGCTGTAGTCATAGAAGTCAGGAGTCCAGTCTGTGTGGGTGGGAACAGTACAGAAGAAACTTACCACTATACTTAAATAAGATAGCACTTGATTTAGCTGATTGCCTTTTCTCCAAGAATTCAAAGTCTCTAAGGAGGGATCACATGTTTTTCAAGCTCTTCACAATGATGGAGATGGATAGGAAGGGTCAGGCCATGTGACTTCATTCAGAGTATACTATGATCCAGCAAGGCAGTGCTGACACTCGGCAGAGTCAAGAGCACCTGATTGAATGGGGAGAAGTCCAACCCCAACATTCTGCTGACTGTGACCTTAGAAAACCAATTACATTCTTGGTTTTTGTATCTTTGTACAAGAGGAAGAAGACAGGTTCAGAAGCTCTCCACAGTTCTACATGGGTCTTCCAGGGTCAGACCATATAGCACCTGAGCACTTCTTTGAGAGGTTTTGTGTATGATATTTCTTGATGAAACCTTATTAATCATCATAGTTTAATGAAGTGAAAGGAACCTGTCACGTTCCTTTTGATTATGGCATCAAACTACCCCCAAATTGTATTTACTGGAATTTTTCCATGTACCAGGCCCTCTGTTAAACATTTCCATGCACCATTTCATTTCTTCTTCATAGGAATCTAGGAAGTGTATGATCTGCTCTACTTGAAGCTAGATGCCTGAAGTGGAAGGGTGAGGTACTTTGCCCAAGGTCAAATGGACAATGCCCCTTAAGGTTTAGACTAAGGCAGTTGATCTCCATAGAATCACTAAATTTCAATAGGTCAATGTCAATACTCAAGTGCTTCCATTGTCGTCTTACATTGTCTTGGCTACATTTACACTTTCCTTGGAATAGAGCATCCAACCATGCTTACGGAATAAGCAGCCTACTAATTAGAACTCATCCAAGTATGACCATGAGATCCAGGGTCTTGTCTACTGAAAAAGAAACCAGTGTGTGGCATGGGCCACAACTGCAAACCTTAAGCTAATCTTGACTTTGAGAAGATTAGGTCAATGTAAGACTGGACTCAAGCTCTTCACTGTCTGGGAGTTTGGAAGATGCTGGTAACTCCAAGGCTTGTGGAGAGAAGTTTGAGAACTGAAGAAAGTTAGATGAATTTTGCACTTTCCGGCAATGAGAGTGCAGCATGTTGGTAAGTTGAAGCTGGAAGGAGGCTGTCCAGGGATGCATATGATAATGAGGCAGGGCTGGAACGCAGAGAGCAGGCTTGAAAAGGGCTCCGACAGGCCAGCTGAAGGGGTGGAGGACACACTCTACCTGTGCCTGATTATCCACCACATTATCCCACTCACCCCTCAGCCACTCTGTTACAGTCTTTATCTCTTTGGCTTTTGAAAAATCAACTTTGCACAATGGCTGCTTTATATTTCCCATTAAAAATGGAACTATCTTTTTATTTCTTTTTTGAATACGCCAACTCTGGTTCCTTGGCAAGCCTTCGCCTCATTTATCACAGTGTCAAGTCAAGACTCCCTTTGCTCGCTCATTATTTCTCCCGAGCTGCTTTTCCTCACTATGAAAATGCTCCCAGAGGAGGCCACCTTTCCAAGGATGAGGATCTAGGTTGAAGATAAGACCATTGTCTTCCTGGAGCAAATAAAGTTTCTTCTATCTAGCACACACACAAAAGAAAAAAAAACAGGGGAAGAGAGTGTGAAAATGAGGAAAAAATGTCATTCTGAGTTTGACATGAAAGATTTCAAACTGACATTTGGAAGAGACAATGAGATGATTGCATCCCTTCTTTCTTGTTTTTCCTCTGGAAAAGTTATTTGTGTTTTTCCAGCAGGTCTTTACAGATAAGCACATTTCTGGGTGCTCCTATAATTTCCCCCATCACTCCCAGAGGTGGAGGTCAGATTGTTTAATCTTGGCTACATCATTAAGAACATCTCCCCCAGAAAGAGGGGCATAAATTCTTACATATCTGGGTCTGTGTGACTTTTCCAGTGATGGGAGATGGGTGAAATGTCTGTTAGAGGATTTAAACTGGAATCTTTACTTACAAGGTCTGTTCACCTTTCAGTCAACAGTGTGACCATTAATCATGATCGATCAGCTCCCCTGGATTAAGAAATATCTAGCAAAATAATACAGCCTGCCCCTGGTTATGTCGGAGTGGGTCATGGAGCTGTGGCCTTGGATACTACATATGGTCCCTTATCCTGTTCCTCTTTGGCACTGATCTTCTGCTCTGCTTCCCCAGCCTCCATGAACTAAGCATCTTTGCTGAGCCACACTCTTCTGCTGTGAAGTTTCTGTGTTGGAGCCAGCTACCATGAACTGAAACCTCAGAAACCATAAACCAAATTAGACCTCTCCTCTTTTAAGTTGCAGATATCAGGTATTGTGTCCCAGCAAAGAGAAAGTTGACTAACACAAGCCAAGTGGGAATAAAACATATAGACTCTAAATCATACTCTTGCTATGAAAGACAGTAAGTCCTTTCTAGCACCAGGATCCCAAAACCTTAGTGGAACCCAGGCTCAGGAAGGCTCAATGGCCTTAGACCCCCCCTAGAGCAGAAGCCAAGCAACTGCAAAAGGCTGTGAAAGAATGACACAAATAAAAAAAAATCAATGACATAAAGGTCTTTTCCTTTGAGTGGCTTTGGAGTGCCCTGGAGATGCCATACTGGAGTGTCACTTGGGGTGGTTGCTTCACCTCCATATTTAAAGCTTACTTTGTTTTTTGTTTCATTTTGTTTTTTCCATTGTGCCAGCACTCTATCCTACTAGCCATGTAAGAAACTTGTCCTGTAATTTTACACACCAAATATGGGCCAAGTATCATGCCAGGTGCCAGAGATATTGGATACAGTGGAGAATTCTACAGTTATACAATTTAGAGTGGGATGTGATGTCCTCCAAAGAATGTCCAGTCCAAGTTGGATGAGGGAAGAAAGCTAGCCAAAGGGAAAGATTTAGGGGTAGTGAAGAGGTAGGGAATCCAGCTGGGGTCAAGCCCAGGCTTGGGAGCCTTGCATTCTGTGTGGAAACTGGCTTGGTTGCAGCCAGTCTGATGAGAAATACGCCTCAATTCTCTGCCTCTCAGTCCAACCTCCCACTCACTGTGTCTAGGTCAGCCTTCAACCAACACATCTGTGATGATGCGCCAGTTCTAAGCCTGGCTTTGGGAATTCTCTCCCCCTCTCTCCTCCCCTTCCTCTTTCTTCCCTTCTTTCCTGCTCCTTCTCCTTCTGCTCCTCTTCTCCATTCACCTCCTCCTTTCCCTCTCCAGTTCCCTCTCCCCGCTGTGACTGTCACATGAACAGTTTGGCCTATTTTGCAAGACCATAAGAGGACGTGTGAGGCAGCCACAGGCTCAGTGGTCCCAGCAGAGCTCACACTATGAAAAAGCTTAGTGAAGGTCAGTAAATTGAGAGGCCAGCCAAATTACCAGCTGGCTGCTGATGCACGTGGAGGTCCAGCTCTGATCAGCAGAACCTGCTCCAAACCAAAAGAACTGCCCAGCTGAACCCAACCAAGTTGCTAATCTAAAGAATTAATATCTAAATGCATGGTTAGCGATTAAAACTGCAGAGCCTGGGGTAGCGTATGATGCAATAGTCACAGCAGGTTCCGAGGGCTTGATTAACACCATGTTGCAGATAGGCTAAGCATCTTAGATATAGGAGAATTTCCTGCCCAGCTGGCTTCAGAGTTTAGGTTGGTGGCTGTATCTGAGGTGGTGCCTCTCTCCTGCTACTGGATAGTTAGCTTTTTAATAGCAAAGACTATTGGATTCTTCCCTTTGCCCCACAATGCTTAGCATGGGTCAGCTGTTGTGCTTGGCACATGGATTTTCGCCCTGTGGCTAAGCCTCCCTGCTTTCTGATTGGCTGGCACACAACCCTGTCTACCATCATGGATTCTGCTGGAAGAAGACCCAGTGGGAAATCTGGGAAAGAAGCTGCATGACATTTGGTGCATAGGCATCTAGTGAAGAAAATTCCTTATGAGCTCCATAAACAGCTACAAACTTGTCCAAGTGCCCTCCTGATTAGAAAGGGCTTGTTCCCTGGCTTGCTATCTGGTCCCATTGGCACACTGTAGAAAACCACTTAGGGTTTAAATTCAGATTATTCGAGACTTTCTCTGGCTGTAGCAAAGGAAGCACTATGAGGAAGAAATGGGTGACTGTCAGAAGCATTTTATTTTAAGAAAAAAATGCATGTGGATTTGTCTATTAGTCTGTTTCTAGAAATTACCAGGAAGAATGGTGAGAATATCCTGAATTAACCCAAATAATCATAATAATGGGTTGTTACATATTGAATACTTTTTATGTATCAGACATTAGGTAAAGTAAATATGGTTGAATGCAATCATATTTAACTTTCAAATCATTTCCTGGCATCTGTATCATTATGTCTACTCTACAGATCAAGAAAACCCAGGGCAGAAGAATGTGGTCTCCTAAACTAGGTCCACTTAACTCCAAATCTTGTTAGCCTTTTTATGAGCCAGAAACCTTTGGTGGTTTTGTGTTTCAGAGCCATCATGGGATTTTGCTTTCAGGGAGTTACACAGATTGAGAAATCTTCTTTAGTACACACTGCCAGGTCCGTGACCAGGATCACTACTAGGATCCCCGTTCAGGGTCTCTCCACAAAAGCCCAGAATTCCTGCAATGGGAACTTCGCAGCTGCTCCAGTTAAAGAGCTTGCCAGATGTGTGGAACGGAATAAAAATCTCCGGAATGTCATCCCTGTTGGCGTCATCCATCACCATGGCACAGACGGCTCCTCCAAGGGGCTCCCCCAGGCCCCAGCCCTGTCGCACTGCATTTGAGGCTTCCAATCTGGCAGCCAGAGCAAGGCCAACAGAGAGCCTCGCTGGCAGGGAGCAGGACAGCTGATGGATGGGCTCAGCCCATGGCACTGGGCAGAGCCGAGCCAGCTTTGAAGAGGCGTTTCCGCAGGCCTGCTGGCTGTGTGTTGCCTGCTTTGGGGAGCCAGGCAGAGTCTGTGCTATTTGATGGCCACATCCCCTGCTACCATCCACTAGGGACCATGAACTGGGTACCTTCTGCTCTAGCCAGGTTCTTGCCATGCACTGTCTCCAGCAAGACCAACCAAAGAGACGGCTTGCCTGTGGGCATGAGTGCATGAGCACCGGCCTCCTCACTGTGCTGCTGTCTAAAGCCAGCAGGGATCTGGCAAATTCCATCAAAGCACAAACCTCACATGTGATTAAATCAGGAGCCTGCCACGGACGCTTATACGACCTAACCTGCCTTTTGCAGGTAGGCTTGGCCACCGTCCTCCCTGCTCCACAGCTAGGGGCTAACAGAACACCTCCAGATGGTCTCTGGGGCCCAGGGGAGGCTATTCCAGAGTCCCTTCACTTGTTCACCAAATTGTCAGAAGCTATCGGCAGAGTTCTTTTAGAGCCTAGATTCCCAGGGTGCCAACTCCAAGATTCTCCACTCCGTCCTTCCTAGGGTATTTTTGAACCTGCACTTAAATATCTCTCGTGATGGGGAACTTACTACCTCCTGAGGGACCAACAACACAGTCAGATTTGACACTTTTGTTTTTAATAGATTGAAGTAAAGCTATAAACCTTATGGACATGTGGAAGGAATCCACTCCCTTTTCTGTGATCTCTGCCTTCCAGTTGTTCAGACTGTTCACTGAGCAGATCCAGGGTGTCATAAACTCATCTGAGACTTGTTTCCCAACTTTCCAGAAGACAGCTGGGAGTGTTTTGAGGTAGAGGATTCCCACAAAGCTACCTCACAGATGAGGGGTGAGTCTGCTTTTAAGGTCCCTTGAGTCCCTGTCCCCTGTGTGGCCCCACAGCTTCTGCATCCCTGTCTCCTACACAGCCCTGAGGGGCCCTTGAGTGCAGTCTCAGCCATCTGAGGGAGAGGTAGCCCTAGTAGCCCCTGGAGAGGGTCTCTTCCTGTAGCCACGTGCAGCAGGGCTGTGGCCACCAGCAAGGGTGACCCTCTCAATCTGGCCCTTCTGGAAACTGACTGAATATTATTGAATACTCTCATTCCCGCTGGAGAAAGATGCAGATTCTCTCAGAAGCCCACAGGCCGCACTTCCAGTGTTTTGTTCCATAGCCTGAGCACATAGAGTACGACAAAGACTTGGCCTCGTGTCCTCTGAGCCTCTATCAGTCTCTGCCATCCATCAATTTGCTGCTGGGAGCACTGACTGCCAACTGCACTTGGCCCAGCCACCACCAAATAAATCCTCCATCAGAGCCGAGACATGGCCAGAGCCTCCCTTGCCAACCTCTCGTCCTCTGTGGTGAGCAGCCAGGGCCTCCCCTGGGGGATTCAGCCTCTGGCCAAATGGAACAGTAGATGGAGTTTCTTCCCTGGGACTCCAAGCCTCCAGGAGAGCCCGGGTTCCCCATTGGGTAGGGGAAACCTTGAGCCTCAGACAGAGACAATGGTGGGAGTGTTGGTGGGTGCCATCACCTGGCCCAAGTCCCCCCTGAGCTGCCTGCCACATGTCCGGGCTCCCCCCGGGAGTGGAGCATGTGTGTAGATGCCAGGCCGACATCCTTGCTTTCCCTTGTCAACTCATCTCAGCACTCACACCCTGTGCAGCCAGGAGCAAGTTGCTGCTCCTCTTTGAGGCTCCGTCCCTGTCTCTGTAAAACTGAAGAACTTACCTACATCAGCACTCCTCCTCTGGGGGGACTGAGAAGCCATGAGGGAATCATGTCAGGTGTCGTGCCACCTTTCCAAGTGCGTGCTCCCAAAGGGGCTGTGACATTTCTAAGCCAGTTCAACCCTGAGGTTCCACCAGTACTTCCCTGCTTGGGACCTTCCTGCAGCCCAGAACCAGTCCATGGTGGGTACGAAGCTCTGGGGTGATCAGCACACTCACCTGGGTCCAGGTCATCGGGCAACGGCTTCAAGAAGAACTGAAAAACAAAGTGACACAGAGCAGAGCACCGTGAGTCTGGCAGGACCTGAGCAGCTGTGAGCCAGAGAGGACCGCATCCCGGGCATCGAGTGCTGAGTGTTTTCAGGATTGAATCGCTTGCCACACCGGGAAACAAGCTGCCCAGGACCTCTGTCCTTGTCAGTTAGGTGGTCAGACCTCTCTCTGCATGATGGCATTGGTGCCCGATGTTCTTACAACAACCCTCTTAGCCTTACTCAGGAGGAGAAAATGCAGACTCAGATGTCACAGAATTATGATCAGATTAGGATTTATGCTCAAGTCACAGTGATTTCTTGGGAGTGACAGCCCTCCTCTACATTGGAAAGAAATGAATGCTTATATCTCTTCAGGACTTCCCACTGGAAGGTCTTGGAATAAAATGCAAACACCTGCCGTGACCTACAGACCTCCTCCCACATCTCCACCATCCCACTGCTCTGTACTTAGCTCCAGCATGTCTGGTTTCAAAATGGTGCCAGCTAAGCCCCCTTTCCCCGGTCCTTTGTACCGACCCTTCCCTCTGCCTGGGCCTCTTCCATGACTTTCTCTAGGTCTCAGTTTAAATGTCACCTTCCTGAAAGGCCTTTCTGTAAATGCCCTAGCAGTATAACACCCCAACCCCCACATGTGGTTTATGCACCTGCTCATTGCCTCCATGGTCTTTATTACAGTACACTCTTTTATATTTATTGACATGTTCTCTGTCTGTCACATCGGACCTTGCCATCCAGAAAGGCAAGTAGCTTGTCTGGTTTATCAGTGATGAATAACTCAATACTTACTTAGCACAGTACTTGGGACCTGTCATTCCTCAAAAAGTTTTTGCTCAATAAATAAATAATGGCATGAAAACTTCCTTTTAGCATACAGCACTTAGCAGGAAAAGAAAGTGTTGCTTATCTAATAACTTGGATATATTCTTTCACTTACATCATAGATCAGCACGCTAAGGCCCTTGGGAAAACCCTACCAGATGTGTTTTAATAAAGTTTTATTGGAAAACAGTCAGGCTCATTTGTTTACATATTTTTCTATAGCTGCTTTGGTGCTACAATAGAAGAGTTGTGACAGAGGAAATGTATCTAAAAAATGTACTATCTGGCACTTTCCAGACAAAGCCTGCTGACCTCTGTTGTAGAAAGTGACAGTTTTATCACTTGACAGCTTTTCCTTTGGGGATTGGCTGTGGAGAACTGAGCTTTATGCAATGCATCTTCATGGTATCCACATAAATCGTGGAGTTTGATATGGTTGTTTCTTTATCTTCGGTGGAAGTTTTAATTTTCTGTTTTACTGTGGGATTCGTTGAGCAGTTTGAGAAAGTAGGCAGGTGGTAAGTTAGAAAAAAGATAGAAAAAGTGCACCTGATATGATATACTGAGCACATGACATCAATAAATAACACTTGACAAAAAATATATATTTTAATCTACTCGTTCTGGGTATAGTGGTACACATCTGTAACCCCAGGAACTGGGAGACTGAGTCAAGAAAGTTGTCATGAGTTTGAGGCCAACCTGGGCTACATAATAGTTCAAGGTCAGCCTGACCTGTGTAGTGAGACCTTGTCCCCTACTCCACCCCCATTCCCCCCCACCCAAAAAAAAGCTTCTCATGAGTCAGATCCAATCTGGGAGACCCAAATCATGGTCATTTCACAAAACAATTAGCCTGACTCTACAAAAATGCCAGTGTCATAAAAGACTGAATTTTGTTTTTGTTTTTTTTTTTGTACCGGGGATCAAACTCACGACTATGCACTTGCAAAGCAGATGCTTATGCCGCTGAGCTAAACCCCCAGATGAACTTTATTAAAAGACATATGGGCCAGGAATTTAAATGCAAGGTCATAAGTTTGATCCCTGGTACCAAAAAAATAAAAGAGAGAGAGAGAGAGAGAGAGAGAGAGAGAGAGAAGAGAGAGACATAACAAATTGATACAAGGGGACTATTGAGACAATTTGGAGATGTAAATATAAATTTTTGTTAGGTAATGTTGATTTTTTTGACAGTGGATAATGGGATTGTAGCTGTACAGGAAAATGTGCTTACTCTTCTTTTTCCCCAGTACTGGTTATTTGGGAATTTCATATGGATTACTCTACCACTGAGGTATAGCCCAGGTCCTTGTTTTGTATACTGAGACAGAATGGCCTCAAATTTTCTGTGCTCCTGCCTCAGCTTCCCCTGAGTAGCTGAAAGTACAGGTCTGTATCAGTACACCAGCATAAGTGAGCTTATTATTAGGAGATGCTCACTGAAATGTAAGATGATATCTGGTCTCTTTCTCCAAGCAACTCAGCAAATAAAACCACAGATGCTCACACAGGCAACAAGAGCGATCACACAGGTAGCAAAATACTAACAATCATTCTTCTATCTACCTGGATAAAAATGTTCATTGCCTTATTTTTTCTATTTTTCTGTAAGTTTGGAAAATTACTCCAAAAGTTGAGAGAGGAGAAACAGGTGCCAAAAAGGAGGAGTACATTTGTTTTCTGGAACTAGGTCTCTCTCTACCTCACAGGTCCGCAGCCCAGTTTCTACAGGGAACAGACAGGAGATAGGTGTTTGGTTTGCGGGGGAAGGTGTGTCAGTGAATAGAGGGGGCTTTACTGAAAAGGGGCGTTTGGGTCTCGGGGGCCAGGAATCCAGGGCATAGGGTTCTTGAACAAGGAGCACCTGCTGCGGACTCTGGGTGCACAGTGTCCAGGTGCAGAGCTAGGCTTCTTTCTCTGAATTCTGGTATTTTAGTTGGGTAGATGGCCAGGGCAGGTGAGAGGACCCTGGGTACACCTTTCTCAGGACCTGGAGGAGAAGGGCCGTTCAGGGCCTGCACACCAGGACAGAGCCAAATCTTGGCTCTCCTTGGGCCTGAGTGGCCAGGTGTCATGCTCCCCAAGGCCAGCAGGTGGCACATGTGCCCTTCCTAGGAAAGGATGCTGGAAGCGAACCCAACCCAAGAAGCCAGAACTTCCAGGGGAAGCCGACCTGGGTAGCCAGCCCTGCCTGGTTATGTGGCACCCACAGAGAGGCCGCTGTGCATGGTGGAGGCTGGGGGCCGTGTGGGAAAGGCCTGGGCGATGCACAGGTGAGAGAAGGGACACAATCGGACTTCCTTTCATCTTCTCATTCCACTGTTTTCCAGAGAGGCAGTAAAATCACAGAAAAACTCTCACTCCTGAAACTTGCAATCCAGAAGATTAATGTAGGATGAGGAGAAGGAGGAGACTAAGAAGGAGAAAGGATGAGAGCCATGAGCTCGGTTGACGATCATTAAGAGCTAACAGTGAGCCAGACTGTGCGGAGATGTTTTATGTGCATTTTGTCTTACTTATTGCACTATAATTATGTCCATTTTAGAGGTGAGAAAACTGAGGTTTGCCAAGACAAAGTTGTCCACATTAACATAGTTCATCAATGCTGGAGCTGGACTATACCAGACTGTATCAATCTTCTGTTAGCGTCCTGCCTTAGTCAGGTTTACTCTCAGGACTGAGGGAGCCGTGGCCTGTGTACGCTGCAATAAAGGGATGGCGGAAAAAGAAACAGAAGAATCCTTAACTCTGAAAGAAGCCGGTGTTAAGCCAGGCTGAGAAGTCAGGGCCCCTGTTCGTAGGCAGTGCTAGGTAAAACCTGTCCACACTGGCTCAGGCTTGGCAGGCCATAGAGAGGGCCATCTGAGCCCTGGCCAGCCTGCATCTCAGTGGACATCTCCACCCAGATCAAAAGGCACACACAGTGCTGTGTGTTTCTCCAACTGCTCCCATTCCAATTTCAGTGATCCCAGATCCTTTCAGAGACCTGGGCATGGGAGATTCTCACACACGGAGAGGTGGGCTCTGCAGTGAGTTTAGCAGGACCACTCTGGACACACTTGCTATTCCCTCCACCTGTGCTTGGCCTTTATCGGTGGATCCATGGCTCGGGGCCCTGACCTTCCCAAGGCCAGGGGCAGGCCCTTGACAATGTTAGATTCCTTTCATCCACCACCAAGTTTATCTCAGGTCTGGTGTGCTCTGCGAAATGGTTAGTAACAAACAGAGGGACAGATCTGAGCCTTAATGATTTACTGCGTAATTTTTCTGGGGGCTAGGGGTTATTGGATCTGATCTATTTTGTTCTATCTCTAATCTGTGATGATTCCTTTTCTTTTTTTTTTAATCAGTACCAGGGATCGAACTCACAACTGCCTGCTTGCGTTTATGCTGGCGCTTACGCCACTGAGAAAGAAATGTTTTCTGGAACTAGGTCTCTCTCTACCTCACAGTTCCGCAGCCCAGTTTCTACAGGGAACAGACAGGAGACAGGTGTTTGGTTTGGGGGGAGGGTGTGTCAGTGAATAGAGGGGGCTTTGCTGAAAAGGAGTGTCCAGAGCTAAATCCCCAGCCCCAATCCGGTGAGACTTCAACCCAGGTTCTTCTCTGCCTTATTTCTAAACTTTCTGGCAAATAAAACAAAAAGGCTGAGGCTGGAACTCTGAGTTGATGGCTCCAGAGTTACAAATAGTTGACAGACAACGTTCTCAGACAATTGGGATACAGCGGAGGGTATGATGGGCGAGAGCTGTCCACCAGGCTGGAGGGTCAGCTCAGATGAACCAAGACAGGGAAGTCTTTCTCCTGGCAGATACAAAGTTCGGACTCTGATCCCAGCCGTCCTTCCTCCATGGCTGTTCTACCAGGCCGTTGGTGGACACCGCCTGCTGCAGGGAAAGATTATATCGTGTCCAAGGGCAGAGGGCTAGAGAGAGCTGTGTGCCTTGGCCAAGCTGGGCTGGACTGCAGGGCTGGAAGGCATGGACAGGGTGAGTGCACAAAGTTCAGCAGTGCCAGTCCCACTGTGGGCCCAGCTCCAGGCTAGAGCAAATGGCAGAGGTGGTCGAGGACAGTGGTGGCCAGTGTGCAGGCCATCCCATGAATTCCTACTGTCTTGCTCCTGTTGGGACAATCAGCGCTCTACATTTTTGTAGTAGGT